AAAACAAAACACTTTACTCGTCTTATGATATCTGAAATTTACACATAAATTCCGATTAGTTTTTTTCTTAGGTTTGGATTGTTACCATACATATTGTGTGGCTATCGATTACTGGTATCGAAAAGTAAGACCATGCTGCGTCCGGCCTTACTATTTTTCTGTAGAGTATGATCTCAAATTTATTGTTAACGACATTCCACCTTCTGGTTAGGTAAAGAATAGTAATATAAGTCATGGTATTATTACCTAACATTTCATGGAATTCTTTATGTTTTCTTCTTTATTTTCAAATTGAAGTGTGTTTTAGAAAGACCGCCAAACGAGGATCAGCTTCTTCTTAATTGGCTAGATTGAATCATGTCAATAACGAAAATAATATAAAATGGTATGGGTCATTTTGAGAACGCTGATTACCTATTTTTGTCAATGTCCAGAGTGGCAATTTTTTTATGTACACTATAAATGAAAAAAAATTCAACAAAAATAGTAGGCTACGGAAAAGGAATACTCACAAGGATCAATAATTTATTTTGAACCTTTTATAAATAATGCTGCAATTGTAATTAATAACTTTTATATAATAGTTCAGCATCCTGACCTTGAAACAAAATTCTATGTACAATGCTTTTCATTAAAACATGTATGTTTCTCGTTCGAGGTGATAAGTATTTGAAGTTTACAAACTGAAATATAAATTTGTTACGACAATCCTGTTCATAAAAGCAATCCAAAGATTAGTTCAGATGTTTTGGTGGTACATTTGTAAGCACTATGGTTTATCCTCACAGCCACTTTTAACATGTGGTACGAAAAACAGAAGGGGTCTATACCATCGCAAAAAATAAGTGTCTTTGCTTTTGCTCCAAGTTGTAGCGAAGTGGCGGCCTTGAACATTTTTATCCAAACAAACTCGATGAAACGCCGGTGAGTAACGACAAGCAAAACTCACCAAGTAAAAGCACCGTGTATTTTCAACAAAAAAGACAGATGTATTTTATTGGGAACAAATTTTACAAACAGCTCGATTGTGTAAATAAACCAAGGCTCCGCAAATTAAACGGACCGGGTAATTTAGGCAAGAAAAAGGCGAAAAATCTCAAAATTAATGATACCAGTTTTATTGGTCGAAATTACTAGAAAGTCGCAACTGACCATGATGGTGGTGTATTTTATACAGCTACGAAATAAGGGGACAACGTTTTTACGAAATGATTTACATTTATACTATAGTTTCTATTCTTTAATGAAGATCAAGAAACAAATGCATTACAACACGTTGCTGCACGCCTGTTACTCGTAACTCAAGCTGAGCTAACCCTTAACAAGAGTCTCGCCTCTATTACATAAGCAAATGAAAGAGGGTTAAATCCAATGAAGGTAATTTTGAAGGTCGTGAATAAGCTTATAATGATTTAAAAAACAAAATAACTGAATGGTTTAAAGTTTGAATTGTTGTAACAAGTTGCATACTTTAGTAGCGTAATAATACTTAAAAATCTAGACATAACATTCAGTAATCACTTCTCATTTTACAATCCATACATGCATATTATATATGATTGAAAAATATTTTAAATCCTTTTAAAAATTGATTTTAAAGCGATTTAAAAGCACACAAATACGTTGATAATTCTGTTGAAATCTTTTGGTTGATAATATCGGTATAAGTAGATTCGGTCGAGAGGTTATGAATGACGAATTAATCCATTTTCTGTCAATATTGATATTTAATTGGGGTCGAGGAGCATCAAGTCATTTATTCTAGCTCACGACTTTGAATAAAGAAAATGGTCATAAGATTTAATATGATACAGTTGTATTTAAAACTTCACGGTGTGCTGTTGGTATATTCACATTAAATCACACATGCTAATATATAAACCTGCGCCTTACATGTATTAGATCTACATGTACATGCTTAATATCATGTCTTAAAATTTCCATATTTTTTTAATCCATAAAATACTGATTACTGTAGTTATGAACATATTTTGTAATCCATAAAATACTGATTACTGTAGTTATGAACACTCCTTGACAGACGCGTGACCGCTCAACTTAGTTTCAAATCCCAATAGTGTCCTTCCGCTGATTTCTGGTAAAGGGTTACCTCTCCGTGATACTCTGGTGTTCCCTTCTCTTGTCCTTACTAACATATTATATGGAGGTTTCTTGGTAACATCCACAAATGTTGGGTGTTTTTCTGAGACGACCTGTGACCTCACATATGATGTAGGTAACATTACCTCTGTGTTCGACCTCACAGGACCGAGTGTCTCCTTAAGTGAATTAACACTGCGAATAGCGTAGCTTCCTCTTTTCGAATTACTAAGCACTTGTATAGCGTGTATATGTTTCATGGCTTTCTTTTCAATCTCCTTTTCTACAAATGATGTCGATTTGTTTTTCTTCATTTTCATATTCCTATATCCAGAAAACGTGTCTGTGCTTTGAGTACGTAGTCCAAAATCATTGTAGAAAGATTTTGAGGGTTCAAGAAGCACTATTCTTTCACTATCAATTGGTGGCAGCATTCCGTTTTCGGTTTCGCTCGATTTGTCAATGTCAGCATCAACTGATTCTGATGAAGGAATGTCAATAGAATCAAATACTTTTCTACCAGATAGTAGTAATGAAGCTGGCCACTTTTTCATTTGTCTCGGTGATCCGTCATTCAGCCTTGTCCGTTTATATATTTTAGATTCTTTTGCTTGTTCATATCCAATTTTCAGATCTGGTTTAATGCTTCTGTCCTCGTGTAAAGTGAGCAGCAGGTTTCCATTTATAACTGTATCCCGAATATTTGGCAGCTTCTCAAAACTTCCGTTTCCTTTTCGTTTGATCATTGTCTAAGTTAATTAGAAAATCCGGTATTGACCACTTTTTCACATTATAAGAAGTTCGTTTTCATGATGTCACTCACTGCTTTTAATCGCGTTTCAATGTACGAAATGAATTTCATTTAAATCCGATACAATATTTAATAATCAGGCCTTTTTAAACAGGCTTAAGGTAAATTGTATTTGCATGTAACACTTTTAATGAAAACTAAGTCCCATACCTCAAAATGGCTACGTATCTCCAGAGATTTATAATATTAACACGTCTGCTTTTGACATCCAGTTCTTTGTGATTTGATGGGGTCATTGCGGTTGTTAATTAAAGTTTTTAAATATTTATATCCAATAATGTTTTAAACTCTTCTGAATCTACATAGTCATTATGACTAGCCTGGACCTTGATAGGTAGCTGAGCTGGTCCTGCCATTGTTTCGAATAACAATACCGTCGGCTTGATATTGTAAGATATGTAGGTCTGATTTAACAAAACCATCAATTACGCCTATGTATATATAGTCAATATTTGATATTAAAATCAGAAATCTACAACAGTTCATTGTTCTATTGTAAATTGGTTTACCGAGCTCAGGACAAAGTGTTTGCTTTATAAAACCATTAACTTTCATAAAATATTTGTCCGAAATTGATTGTAAAATTTATATTGACATATATCATTCAAGTATCTTATTACATACTATTCAACATTAAAATTTGATGAGAACCTTTAACACGCATTTTAAATCTAATTTATACATTATGCTTTACAATGTACACGAATGCAGTTTTATTGTCCATTGAAATTTGGCAAAATGTTTACTTTATTGTAAAAACTTTTTTGATTAAATTTTCTATTATAAAAAAAAAGAACAAATGCCAACCAAAAAATGCGTGTTACGATTGCTCAGTTTATGTATTCTTTCACAAAGAATATATATATATCTATAATATATAACCACAATTACAGGTTAACTGAAGCTTGAGTCCTGAGTACATAACATAAAACATAAATAATAAATATTTTGTTCTTAAAAGTAAACGAAGTAGTTCGTTCTCACACAAACTGCTATTAATTAGTTACCTCACCTTAGTTCAGCAATTTAGTGAACTTATTGGTCTGCTTATTAACGTACAACGAACGTAACTTTTTTTTAAAATGAGGGAGCAATAGTTAGTTACACAGTCTTTGATTTTATCTCATTCTCTGAAATATGAAAACATACTTACTGTGTATGTTGACATGCTATTTACTATGCATTTATCATTCAAATGGGTACCTATTGTGCTTCTTTCTTGTCAATGAATTTGAATGTGTGAAGTTTGTTATTGTTTAAACACAACATAAGCACACATAATCAAATAAAACACAGTTTTCATATTAGATAATGTGGTCTTTCGACAAATTTAAGTGCATTTCAAAATCGTTACAATATTATATAACCCTTTTCGGTAATCAGAATTACAATGATTTCGATGTGCAATAAATGAATTGAAAGAGTTCAGTTTCAATCATTTTGGTACTTTATCTGTCGGTATTTCGATGGAGACACATTATACCAATGTGGTATTCATGGATTTGTTTCGTTGCTGCGATGAATCTTATTACATGATTTAAGCTAAATTAAACTCATTACTTCCTACTTTGATACTGAATACAACACTCCAATTTCTGTAAACTATGACCATTCAATGGTTAGGATAGGATTCTTGTGGCTATGATGTTACAGATCAAGACGTTATGAATTTTATTTGAAAAGGGACCGAAATATCGTCCAATTTCTATACATAACTGGAGAGAAAAACGCAAAGTCATCAGCGAATCTCTTTTTTCTTACTTCGGATTTTGGTACGGGAGACTGTTTATAAAACTATTCTTTCTTATAAAGTTCATAAATCTTGAAAGCTTTACTATTATGTTCTTGAAAAATTCTCGATTCTCTCGGAGAATGTTTCTCGTCTGTACAAGCGAACTGTTGTTGTTTGACGTAGATACTGTGAAACTGAGTCATCAAAGTATGTTCATGCTGACTAGTTTACCTCTTCTAAAAAAAAATCGTAAATAAAGGAATAAGTTTCAACAACGACTGGGTTCCTAAATTAAATAAGAAATATCTGTGTAGATCTTCAATCGATTGATTTTAAACTTCAAATATTTCTGTTCCATTGATTAGTGCTCTTACAACTGTCAAGGAAATTGTTATGTCTTTACTTTGATGTATAATTGATATATAAAGTATATTCAAACCAAAAGTAATAACTGATCAATCATTCTTGGGTTTTTCATAACATTTAACAATGTCACAGTATAATGCCTATTTATGGACAAACTAGGAAGTAAGTTTAAACAACACAGTAAAAAGGATCAAAAATGTAAGTATAAGATATATTTTTATATTTTTCTGGCGGTGAAGTATTGTTTGACAGGTATATATATATATGTGTGTGTGTATTGAAAGCAAGACTACTCAGTATAATTAAAGGCGTTTATAGTGACACGTTGAAGCTTTGTAAATGTAAATATTTAATTCGTTTAATATTAAGTTCCTACGATCAAAAGTATAGTTGTTTCCTGTTCTTTTGGTCCTATGCATTAATCATTTTGATTTGCATATTACTTATATAATTCTTTATTGCAAAGGACAACATAATGATAATAGTTTTTTTAGTTATTACTGCACGTTGTATGACTGAGATTAACGTATATGAGTTTTATCTTAATTATCCACTCCTTTTTATTATCTAATAATGCTTTTAATTTGAACAAGCATATTCAGAGAACTTGAATCTGAGAAAACTAAGATTCGTTTATAAATTTCTATGCTCAGAACAACTTGCAAGTGTTTCCACATTTATAAATTTTGTTTCTTTTTCAAGTAACGAAGTTTGTGCAAAAATGATGCAGATGCCCAGTAAATCAATTACCAACAAAAAAAACACCAGTTACAGAGGTTTGAAGAGACATACAGGGGTCGAAATTGATTGATCTCAAAGAAAGAAAGAAATATGAATACACAAAACAAAAGAGATATAGGCAAAATAAAACTCGGGCTCAAGAAGGCTTTCCGAAATAAACGCATCGGCGTTGTACGACTAGAAATAAAGGCTTGTCTTATATTAGACGATAGACTAGTGTATATAGAATGGAACAATAAAGGTTTATTCCTACACAGAGCCGATGGATCATTTATAGGCACGATGACCGTCAAAAATGAGCCATTTGATCTTACGCCAATCGATGGCAACATAGTCGCTGTTACTTATCCATTTACAAATCACTTCCAGATCATTGATATTTCATTGAAGAAATTCCAAGATATTGAATTTCAAAAGTTTTGTTACGGTATAAAATGGTATAAAAAAAGACTGTATATTTGCGTCGACGGAGGAGGGATATTGGTAGCAACAATTAACGGAGAAATAGAGAACAAGATACCAGTTGATATTGAAATATCTACTCGCCTTGATATTGAGGGGGATACAATTTATTACACAAGGACCAAAACAAGTATGATCTACTGTTGTGACTTGTTAGGAAATCAGCTATGGACATTCAGAGATGAACATTACAAAATGCCTCTCAGCATAAGATCAGACGGCAAGGGTTGCCTCTATATCACGTGGTACGAATCCAACAATGTCATGGTTATGTCATGTGATGGAAAAGAGCACAAGGAATTAAAAGGAAAAACAGATGGCATCGAGCGTCCGAGGTGTCTTTACTACGACAAACAACGTGATCTGTTACTTTTATGCAATGACTTTAGTGATGAATCTCTGTTATTTAACGTCTTATGATCGAATCAAATGTACTTGAAAATACTTGCTTTTATTTTGTTGAAGTATTCACATAACAACTGGTAGTACCATGGAGCTCGTTTTTTCACCCATGTAAAATTTCGCGATTTAGGGGCAACAAAGTATACGAACAATTTTGGCGGTTTTTATTTTGGCGGATTTTTATTTTCCTATTAAATATTTTGGAGGATACTGAAATGGTTACAGCTAAAAAGTTGTAAAAATTGACAGGAAGATAACTGAAACATATCTGTTGCTGTAGTTCTGCATGAATACAAGAAATAAAAAAAGATTTATAAGAATTTTGTAATACTACTTTTTCACAAAAATAAACGCATATCTATGAGCATACAAAGTTTTCCCAACTCAAGTCATAATACTGAGCTGTGTCACAGTAGGATGATATGTCTTTATTCTTGTGAACTGTTTCCTTATGAAGAAAAGCATATAGTTGAAAATATAAAGCCAATATATTACAAGTCCAGGTACAAATATGGGCAAACAGGAAATGAAAAAGATCGAATGTACTCCAAATAGTGTGAAACTACGTGCACCGCCATTGTAAGCATAGCAATATCCTACCATGTATTCAGCAAAACATGTCATACTTTTGCGGAATCTATATCAACTGAGAGGTCAAGTCAAGGTAGAGTTATTATTTGTATTGCTTGTAGATTATTAATAGTCTGTGAAGGGACATTTGATCATTACTCAAATGTTTGCTATAAATAATTTATTAATTAGGTCTATTTCGAACTAAATAATAAATAATTTATGGCATACGTCCGGTATACTGATGTATTGTTTGCTAGACAAAGTTATTTCACGGAATGCTTTGGATTGGATTTTACAAAATGGTGTCATAATGTATGGCGTAATTTAGTTGATGTTAGTGCTTTTGCTTCTATGAGTTTTTTTACCGTGCTGAATGATTTTGAACATTTGACTTGACAAAAAATAAAAACCAAAACACGGCTTTATTGTCTATCCAGGACAATGACAAAAGCGGTAAACACTGTGGCATATGAGATATTTATAGATTATAGCAGTTCTACGCATTGATATCGAACAATGTCAGTCACAATGTGAACCAATGTGTCGAGCGGCTGATCGATTTTTTACAATTCGCATAATCTGTCCATGGTACTAATATGCTGGTCACTATTTTGACCTTCATTAGTTTTTTTTAACATTTTGTTGTTCTACCGGAAGTAAGTGATGCAGTACCATTGTTTCGTGGCTAATAAGTTCTCCTCTCACATTGTGACGTCCTGCTCGTACGTCACAAAGCGGAATTACGGAGATTGAGCAAGATGGTATAAACGTAGAGAAACACGATAAGCCTTGTATGCAGTGACATCAAAAGTCCACTGATCTTTTGAGTGTGCATATTCGCAAGGTTAAAGCGCATCTTTTGAAATAAATACAATTAAGAATGCATATATATTTATTGTTATATCATTAACAATGCTTATTAAGAAATCATTCAGTTCAGTTTCTATAACCTCTTCTTTGGACATCGACATTAACTCTTCCCTTTACTTGCTAACAATGGACAGGCTTCGTATCCACTTCGATGGATAAGGCAGATCTTGAACCCCAGGAACCCATGATTTTGTTGAAGTATCAAAACATTCGACTGATCTCAAAATTCGGTTAGACTGTGTGGATGCACCTCCAATTATGTATATAAGGTCACCTACAAACATAATAGTCATGTATTAATCTTATTTCACAGTTTCGTGAGAGAGCAAACTTGCGGGTCAAAGAAGTTTTTTTTTTAATTAAAGCACTACACTTCTCAATATGGAATATTGAGAAGAAGAATTACAGCCATCAGCTAATATGGGTTTATCACTAACCTCTAGTTACGGACATATACAAATATAATTTGATTTGATAAATGATATTAACGGTGTATTCGTAAGGAAACAACAAAATCATATAAATTATAAATCCAGAATTCGCAATACATAGTAACAATGCAAATAGAGTCTAAACGAAGAAGTTTGCTAGAAAATCAAGAACAGATTGATTTCAAGTTTAAATTTCAAAGTTCCGGATAGTAAAACTGATTTATATGTACATGTAAGAGTTGAAATTATTAACGAGTGTAAAACTTATGTCCAACTACCTTCTTGTAGTAAAAGTTTGTTGGCCTAGGGACAACACGATCAAAGTTGAATAGATCATGTATTATAAAATAAGAAGATGTGGTATGATTGCCAATGAGACAACTTTCCACCAAAGACTATATGACATAGAAGTTAACAACTATAGGTCATCGTAAGGCCTTCAACAATGAGCAAAACCCATACCTCATAGTAAGCGATAAAACGCACCGAAATGACAAATGTTAAACAATTCAAACGAGAAAATTAACGACCTGATTAAGTACGAAACAATAAACGAAAACAAATCATATACCACTGAATTGCAGGCTCTTGACTAGGATGTGACATTACGACAAAAGAACAGACTATTAAAATTAGTTGAAAAGGGCTTACCTCATCAGATCGATTCACAGCACATCAAAAACACTTACAAAAATACAAAAGACACAAAGTACAGATCTGAGAGTACTCGCAGTTACAGAAAGCTAAGAAATTTATCACTCTCCCTTTTCTCCGTGCTTTGGTTGAAGTAGATCCAATCTTGTAAATATACATTTTGTATAGACATGACGAGATAAAAGTATATGGCTCAGGACAAAAAGCTATATTTTCCCCAAAAATGACTGAAAAATATGCAACATTTGTTCGAAAGTTTGACAGGAAAATGCTCTTAAAAATACTGTATGGTTGAATTTCAAAGTTCCGGATTTGAAAACTGTCTCTACATACATGCTGACGTTAAAATAACGGGTGTACACTTGTTATTACTTAGGAATAGTGATAAATTCTACTATAGAACATTACTTTTCTGTAAAAAAAAAAACCCGAAAAAAACATATTTGCAAATAATCCTCTTGAAAGGGATAAAAAACGAGATTTATTATATATTCTACTTTATAAGAAATAATCATCTTCTATAAGAATTAAAAGTACCCACAAAGAGCATTATACAATATCAGACATATATAACTATTATATTACCGCTATAGAATTAAACAAATATAAAGTTCAAAACTCCTTTCTCTCCTTCAAAATATTCGATCGTAAGAATTTTTGTATACCTTGACGAGTATTCTAAATAACTCAATTAGGCTCATAAAAGTAAAGCTTTTATCATAATATACTTTCCAACCATTTAAACAAGAACTGGATATTATTAAAATTTTCAATATTAAATCGACTATGTCAATGATGCGTGACAACAATTACAGAAAATCGAAATATTATGTCGTGCACGGCAACAGTAATGATTTATAGATATAAGTAAAAAATGTCAAATAACAGGACCCTAGCATTAAACAAATACGCAAGAAATCTAAGACAGAAACGAAATGGGCGACTGGTAAGTCAAAATGTTTTTAATATGGCTTGTTTGCTTTGCTTAACTTGGTGGATGACTTTTTGATGCTGAACTTTATCATGTTATAATGGAATGTCAATAATTCAGGCTATAATATATTATTAGAAACTCTATAGTTCACCTGGTTGATTTTACTCTTCCGTAGCTTTGCATCGGGGATAATTATAAATGATTGTCTATCTCTCTGCATGTCACAAAATGGAAAATCAACTGACTCTGTTACAATGGCTGGTCTAGTGGAGAGTGGAGTCTTGGGGGTGGGAAACCATTTTCAGCGAAAATCTTTTTTAAATAACGTATACAAGTCGTTGTATGCAGTCGTTAATTCGTTCGAAACCAGAAAATGGTGTTTCTTATACTTTCTTTTGTTTTAATATGTACTTAAATGAAAAGGTAAGATAAATCTTTTTTTGTTTGTTTATTTTATCTTTTTATATAGCTCACCTCATCTCCAAATATCAAGACTTATATTTTGAGTTGCATGTTTTTTAAATCACAAACCACTCTAATCCCTACATCTTTTTGATTTCGCAATGTAATAGTGGACGATTATACTTTTGAGATGTTTTATGACTTACCAACTGAGGCAACGGCAGCATCATGTCTGGATACTACCATATCAGAGCAAAATTCCCAGACATCATGTTCTTTGTTGTATACATCGATACTAGACACACTGCTGATCACAGAATCCATGCTTGTATAAGATCGGGTTGCTCCACCGCAAAGATACATTATGCCGTTGATAGTGACGATATTACCATGGCAACGAGGAAACCGAAGATTGTTATGAACGGTCCATCTGAAATCGAAAAGTAATGCAATGTTGACAGTATAAAAACCTTATGATATGATTTTTTGTGTATAAAACATTTTATTTTAAAAAGTGAATATTCAATTAAACTGAAAAGATGGTAAGGTTTCAAGATTTTTTTCCAAGAAAAATACAACGGACAAATATCAAGGAATAACAAATATCGATGATTAAGCACAATACAATGGCAATAGTTTAGTAAATATTCCTGTGTAATTTATCTAATCCAATTAGTTTTTATTTCAAATATGAATAACAAAAGATGTTTGATATATGTCAAAAAGGCAGCAACCGAACAGCACTAATAATCAACATAAGAAAACCCTTTTATTATTTTAACCTACATGTTTTTTCTTGGATCGAAGCTTTCTACGGTGTCAAGAACAGGCATTCCAGACCTTCTGCTGATATTTTCTCCATAACCTCCAGTAACAAACATTATACCATCAAGGTTTCCAACTGCAGCACCCAGCCTCGCTGTTGGCATTGACTTGACAAAGAACCAGTTATCGGTCATTGGATTATAACATTCCACTGTATTCAATACACTAAAAATAAAAGGCAATTAAGTTAGCTAAGCAGAGGTCTGCTTATATATAAATTTGTTAGTCTACTAGAAACATACCGACAATCAATTAGGGACTGTCAATAGATTTCTGGTTAAATTATAAGGTATTCCTCAAATCTAATATTATTCCCATTGATAAGGTAAACAAATGAAAATGAAAACCATATATACGGTAGCCCGAAAATACGCATATCAAAAAAGTGTTTTTTGGCATAAGATAATCATGTTTCCTTTGTTGTCTTGTGTATAATTAAATAATATTTTAATACATTGTTGTGTAGAGCAAACGTCAATAAGACAACTACCAAACGATACAAAATTTCAGATGAAATTCAGAGATCGTCTACACAAGTTACATGTGTACATCGTCCCGGGTACAGAATTTTAAAGAACAGATCTTACAGCGACAATAAAAGATCTGTAATCAGCACTAAATCCCCAAAAGGATAAAACATTAAGGTTCCTGACTTAGATCAAACACATGAACATGTTTATTTTTAAACCGTTCCTCTTTTTAACTTGATCAAAACGTAAAATTAAAATTAAAACAGACACATTACTTTATAATACCAGTATAATAAACAAAAAAGACTTACAAGTAAAGAATAATGATCCCTAATATTTATGTACATTACCTGTTATCGCCATCCTGTCCACCAATGGCGTACACCATTCCACACAGAGAGCACAATGAGTGGTACATCCTAGCCGTATTCATGGACATGATTTTAATCCAGGCATTGCATTTGATGTCGTATACAAAGGAATCCGTTGATGGTATTGGGAGTTTTATTTTCATTCTTGGATCAATCCCACCTGTCATGTAGAACAAATGCACATGTGAATAAAGTTTGTCTCCCTACAATTGGCTTGTGTAGGGACCATTTATACTAACTGTACGGTAAGGGTTTTGTTTATTGTTGAAGGGCGTACTGTGTTATGTAGATTATTACATCCTCGCCCTTTATTCTCTGGCGGATTGTTGTCCCATCGGCAATTCATACCGAATCTGCTTATTTATTTTTTTTAATCTTAGTAATGTTTAAAATTTTACAGATATCTGAAATACTTCTAATATTCCCTTTAATTATATTCTTAACTTCTACGTCATTTTGGGCTCTGGTAGAAAATTGTCTCATTGACAATAATACAAAGTCTTCAGTTTATTTTTATTTTAAAATGTTGGAAATGCACAAGTGGTGTGTTGGTAAAATCAAAGGGAATACTACATGTACGAAGTAGTATTAAAAACAGAAGGGTATGGAATACCGATGATGTAACTCTTAACAAGAATAGCAAGAAGATAATTTCATTCAAATGTGTGCATTGCAATCTAGAAATTAATTACATATAATAATCAATTATGTTATTACTATGTAAGGAATTATTACCATTTGAAGATAAATCTATCTTCTTGCTACTGAATCATCATTTACGAATTTTAGAGCTGTATGAAGGTATTAACACCAGTTTAAAGATGTCTAATTGAGGTCGAAAAAACTTTGTATTGTGCTTCCTTAAAAGGAACAAGGTTTTAATTGTTAACAATAGCAATGCTACTAACTGCATATTAGTTTATTCTACTTGCCTGTTACGTAAATCTTTCCATTCAATATTGTTACAGCATAATGAAGACGAGGCTCCGGTAACTCAGAGTAATGTTTCCATGCGTTGTTACTCTTATCGTATCTTTCGATAGACTTAGCTGAAAAATTAATAATAATTCAATGTTAACTCTAAAGCTATGCCCTTTTTTCAGAGACAAGTGCCTGTGTCTACATGTTCAAGTTCTTATATATAATTCTGTCGAAAATGAAACCATTATTTTAAAGGAAATGATTAAATATTGTTTCCATGTATATACTGAACAATACCAGTTTTCTTATCATCAAAATGAACATCTATTGCTTTTTCATGTAAATGGCAATAGGGGCTAGAAAACAGACCAGAATGTAAATAAAATGAAAATATACATTACATTAGCTGTTGAATTTCAAAATATATGCTAATTTTTAGTAATATATAATAAAATATATACCAGAAACGGCTGCTCTGCTTGAAGATGGGTTAAATCCTCCGATCACAATGACATCTTGTAATGTTTGCTGTGTATCGTCTTGTGGTTCAGAACGTTGGAAACGTGGTGTCATAATTGGGGACTGAACCTCTACGTCTACTTTCCGTGAACCACCAGCACTCTGTTTTTTGGGGGTGTGCATAGGGATTTCTGACTGAAGAATGATGAAATGAAATAAAAAATAAAGAAGTATGAATAAGGCAGTGGTAATTGTCTGCAATGTTTTCGTTTTTTGCATAGACATTTTTCTTGAACAAGGTACAAAGTTGCGGACCCCGAGCTCCTATTAAAAATGGGGAAACAAAACAAAACAAAACAAAAACCATTTCTCTTCAGCACTTTTGAATACAAAAAGTCAGTTACTTAAACATATATGTGTGCCAATAGAAACATAATATATACACATATATTTATGGTCCGCCAATAAAAAATCTTTTTTACACCACAGAAGAGAAGCCGACCGTGGGGTGTTATACTGGTCCAGCCCTGGCCCCAGTGACTTATTTCTATCTCTGCTTTATTCTGCTGTAAGTGTCTGTGACAGGAGCAAATAGCAAAACAAAACTGCAATTAATTCGCTGAGGCATGGCATTTCGGTCATAACACTGTACTCAGTACTCGGAGTACAAAATGTATGCTCGAAACAACAAATGATGGTACTCAAGAAATTCATGACCGCAAGGCCACGGCTGCATTGACTACGGATTTATAAAAGCTTGATACAAGATATATTGTACACCCCTTATTTTTGTCAGAAGTAAAAGATTCGAAAAAAGGCAGGTATTTTATAGCTTTGAAAAAAGACAGGAAAACTAAGTATAAGGCTAAGAATTCATTATTGCTTCAGAAATGGTATGATGAAGGTAGTAACATATTTTTTGGGGTTGTAAATACTTCTTAGTTCTCTAAATAAAAGTTACGCAAGTTTAAGAACGAGCTTCGGGGATTTCTAACACGATATTCTAAGTGGTTTGCAAATTAGCAAAAAAGAGTTTTCTGTATTAACTTACATGATACATTTCTTGCTGTTGTGCAGGTCGATTAGCTAATGGTTTATTCATAGTAGCTATACGTTGTTTTGGGACCACAAAGTTGTATGGGTCTTCTTTACATAACATCTTGGCAGTTGCAATCCTGTAAATTTCATTAGACTTACAAATTTACAGTTCATAAAATTCGCAATTTGTTATTATATATGCTAATCCAATCCAGGCAATGTTGACCTTAATCAGTATTGTCTATAAATAAGATGTGGTATTATAATTGCCTATGAGACAACATCTATGTGATCAGTTTATGCCCTTTTGGGGTTTTATACCCTTAAGCGTTTTTATGGGTTTTTTTTGGCTTTCGAAACTTTTGCTCTCGAGCGTAACCGAGGATGGCTTTTTCTATAACACTTGTGGGCATGGAAATTAAATTATTTTTTTTTTAATTTAGAAATGCACAATTTACAGCAATATTTCTCGAGATAAAAACTTGCTTGTTTATATTAAAGAGTTGCGTTTTGTTTCCATGAATTATCAGTTACGAAAAAAGTCATGCGTCAAAGCGAACAAAACTTTCGTCAAAACAATTCTTGTAAAAAAAATGTTTCATGACGAATCAAAATATACATACCAAAGAGCTTCCAGTAACATCTGTTTGCAAAGGGTATCTCCTTTCAATATATCTGTTCTTTCGTTACAGTGGAAGAGTTCTGTCGTGTCCATGTAAGCAAAGCGCACACATTGCATCAGCCTTATAAGGTACTGCTTTCTGTTCATTAGGTTATGTGCAATCCAGCGTATAGCTGCTCCGAAGACATCTAACTCTGTGCTGATGTTAAGATTATCACTGCTCAGAATGGTGATTAATGTTTCAATGTCTATTTCTAGAAACACCGATTCGTGTCTGAATGTATTAAACTGATCGCAGACAGCGATCATTACTCTTTCGTACAATGGTCCGAAAATCTTTTCCTTCATCAGGAGGGCGAGTGCGTTTGCTAATGGTAGGCATTCTAAATGATCAATGACACGAGTTTTCACCATCGGGATTCGTAGACTTTCTGCCATCGTCATCAAATCACCAACGACATCTGGATAGACATCTAATATCCCGGTGTAAATGTATTTGAGTAAGATTTCGAACGCAATTGGTTTAATACCTTTAAGTCGGACAGTAAGTGGGACACGCTGTTTCTCACCTCTGCTGTAAAAAATATCGGCGAAGTAATCGCTGTAACATGCAAGACATATGCGATGTGCAGCATACTTTACAGTACCGATGTGAACGGTTACATCGCATATTCTTTCATTGGCCTGCAGATGGCGGACGTAGTCTCCAAGGTGTGCAAAATGCGAAACTTGTTGGGCGGGTATATTCTTTAATCTGCCTAATGCTTCTTCCACTTCATTTGGTAAAGGAGACATAACTTCCGGTTTCGATACAGAAATTAAATTCTTGATCTCATTCGTATTTCTTACAGGGTGAAGGAAATTCCTGTCATCGGTATAGATTAAAGATGTTGCGTGTTGTTCGGCCTTAAGTTTAAGATTTGGATTTGCATACTTTTCTGAAGAATAGTTAATAATTCTAATTAAGCAAACTGAACACAGCATTGATAAACAAGAATTTACAAACTGATATTTAATCAGTTAACATATGAAAATATTAGGGAGCTACCATTTGATTTTTATGGGGGGCTAGGATGAAAAATTTTGTCCTGCATTTTTTTTTGGTTGTAACCTCTGTCCTGTGTTTTTATTTTCCACTCTATTCGGTCCTGCCTTTTTTTTTTAGTTTATCCTGACTTTTTTTTTACTTAAATTGTCAGCCTGACTTTTTTTTTACAAGTGTTTCATCCTGTTTTTTTTTTTACTCAAAACTCCTGTCCTGCCTATTTTTTTTCAAATTTCATCCTAGCCCCCCCCCCCCCCCCCCCCATAAAAATCTAATGGTAGCTCCCTTAATCCAGGCAAATATGACCAGTTATTTCAGTAGACTTCACCTGAGACTATAGTAGTCTCAGACTTCATATTAAATTTAAGGCATTGAAAGACAACAATACAAGGCTACAAGAGAAAAGGCAACTAGGCAAAAAAATATAGTCACGGTATATTGCTTGTACTATGCCTGAACTATATGTAGTGAAATCAGTTGAAGAAAATAAAAATAATTTAAAACAATTTTGGAATAATTTATAAAATTTGGGATACCAAAAAAATTCTAGAGCAACTTCAAAAAATTCTATCAGGATTTAGAAGTTTTTATTCAACTGATTCTTGCTTCATTCATTAAAACTTAGACAGCCAAAGGGTTTTTTACGGGCATGGTCCTATTAAACCTACAGAAGGCGTTTGACACAGTAGATCATAAGATATTATGTGAAAAATTAGAAGTTATTGGGGTTAGATCTATACCTTGGTTTGAGTCATATTTGACAAACAGAAAACAGGTTGTAAGTGTAAATGGGGTAACTTCAGAAATGTGTAATATTACATGTGGAGTCCCTCAAGGGAGCTTACTGGGTCCACTGTTGTTTTTGGTCTATGTCAATGACGTTCAAACTAGCATTGACTCAGATTGTAAAGTATTGATATATGCAGATGATACTGCAATTTTATTTTCCAATATAGACCCTGGGGTCATCTCCCATAAATTATCCAGAATGTTGGAGTCATGCCATGAATGGTTATTAAACTGACAATAAATTGTCCCTACATTTTGGAAAGACGGAGAGTATAATTGTTGGTTCTGGTCGAAAACTTCGGTCTCTAATACCTGGTGATTTTGCTATCTCTTATTATGGTATTAATATTGAATCCAAAAATTGTAAAATATTTAGGAATTTTAATTGATCAGTATCTGACTGGTGATTTTATTGTCAATTCTATAGTGAAAAAAGTTAATCAAAGGCTTAAGTTTTTATATAGAAATAAAGAGTGTCTAAATTTTCAATCTAGGAGAACAGTGCGTTCTTCTCTGATTCAATGTCATTTTGATTATGCATATGAATGAAGGTAAACAAATGAAGAATAAACTTCAAGTGGCACAAAATAAGATTGTGAGATTTATTCTGCAATTACATCCTAAAAAAGTGTGATATATATTGAAGTTGAAACACTAGTTTTCTTTTAAATATTAGTAATAGAGTCAAACAACTGAGACTCAATCATGTCTTCAATATTTTTAACAATATACACCCAAATTATTTGCATACTAATCTTTTTAGAAATGAAACATCTTTTAACACAAGATCTAGTAACATGAATTTTTATATACCTGGAATTAAAGGGTGTGAATCTACCACTTTTTTCTATAATGGAATAAAAGATTGGAATTCGCTACCAAAAATAGTTAAAAGTTGCTCAAAGAAATATAATTTTAAAGTACAAGTAAAAAAATATGTGATGGATAAATTTAAATCCATCTTTAATATGGATTTTTTTTTTTTTTTTAAATTTATTTTATTGAAGCTTTGAGCATTTACTGTGATAGTTTTAAATGATTTTTTGTTATTTATATGTGTCAAGCTTGGTGTGAACTGGTAGTCTCTTCTTAAAAGGACACCACTGGTAATAAGTTTCTTTAACTTTTGTGGGTAATCCTAAGGTATTAGGCTGCAGTGGAAATCTAGCCCATTTAATTAATTATTTACAGTCTAGTCAAATATTAAAATAATGAAAATTTCTATAATTTTATCTTTTAAATTATTATTTTTAGTGATCATAATTATTGTAAATCATTTTAGTGTCTGTAACAGTAAAATCCTATTCATGCCGAGTGCTATATTTGTATGTCATTTTACTGTATTGTGTCTGTCAATTTTATGCCTTTTATCTTGAATAAATATATGTATAATAAACCGTCATACCTTTGTATGATTCAATTCTAAGATTGCTTAGATGGTGTTTTTGGCTATTCTCTAAAGGTACATGTTGGTCATGTAGCTCTTCAATGGTTTCTTTTTTTTTGATGGAAGTGAAATCCGGTAAAAGTCTTCGAACGCATTAATCAGCAGGGACATTTCATTCATTTAGTTTCAAGTTTTCAGATGGCAGTATGAAGTAATGAACAATTTTCTACATATTTTAGAGATATCCGTGTCCATCCTGTCTTCAAACATATAATGTAATAAGGAAATGTGGTATGATTTCCAAATGTGACAACTATGAATCGAAGATAAAAGGACAGGGATGAGTTTATGAGCAACTACAACCATATTGCCTTCAATGATGAGCAAAACCTATACCTTATAGTAAGCTGCGTGTTTTTCAAGTGTTTCGTTCATAAATTCTGTATGATGTTTACAAGGTTTGTTAGCATAGAGGGACAGAAAGACATGTTCAAATAAACATTGTAATAAGTTCTATCCTCTACCACAATTTCGAGGGAGTAAATGATGAATATATAAACATATTGAGTACCATCTGTCGATACATATTAATATGTGCAGAGTGAAATACATTGTATACATACACTGGTTTTGTATGGCAAGCTGTTTTACTATTTATTCGAATTTAATTTTATATATCTCATATAATTTATAAGATATCTTATATTATATAAGATATCTCATATAGTTTATAAGACATCTTATATACTTTATAAGATATCTTATATACTTTATAACATATATCTTCTAAAGTTTATAAGATATCTTATAAAGTATATGAGAATTCTTATAATATTTTTAATATAAGATATCTTATATACTTTATAAGATATTTTATATACTTTATAAGATATTTTATATAGTTTATAAGACATCTAATATAATTTATAAGATATCTTAAATAGTTTATAAGATATCTCATATAATTTATGAGATATCTTATAAAGAAAATTATAGTAGATATCTTATAAATTATATCAGATATCTTATAAACTATATAAGATATCTTATAAACTAAGTTTATCTTATAAACTTTATAAGATATCTTATAAACTATATAAGATATCTTATAAACTATATAAGATATCTTATAAATTATATAAGATATCTTATATAATATATACGATAACTTATATGATATATACGATATCTTATATAATAATCTGTTTTTTATAAGATATCTTATATAGTATATAAGCTATCTTATATAGTTTATAAGATATCTTATATACTTTATAAGATATCTCCTAAAGTTTATAAGATATCTTATAAATATTTTTTATATAAGATATCTAATATACTTATATATAGTTTACGAGATATCTTATATAATTAATAAGATATCTTATAAAGAAAATTATATGAGATATCTTATAAAAGAGGGACGAAAGATACCAGAGGGACATTCAAACTCATAGATCGAAAACAAACTGACAACGCCATGGCCAAAAATAAAAAGACAAACAGACAAATAATAGTACAGATGACACAACATAGAAAACTAAAGACTAAGCAACACGAACCCCACCAAAAACTGGGGGTGATCTCAGGTGCTCCGGAAGGGTAAGCAGATCCTGCTCCACATGTGGCACCCGTCGTGTTGCTTATATTCCGGTAAATAGTCTAATTCGGTAAGTCACATTCGTGAAAAGGGAAGGGTATTGCAGTTACAACATAAGGAACATATCCGATATCATCTGTGAAAACTATATACGATATCTCATATACTTTATAAGATATCTTATATACTTTATAAGATATCTTATATACTTTATAAGATATCTTATATACTTTATAAGATATCTTATATACTTTATAAGATATCTTCTAAAGTTTATAAGATATCTAATAAAGTATATGAGATATCTTATAATATTTTTTATATAAGATATCATATACTTCATAAGATTTCTTATATAGTTTATAAGATATCTTATATAGTTTATAAGATATCTTATAAAGTTTATAAGATATCTTCTATAGTTTATAAGATATCTTATTAATTATATAAGATATCTCATAAACTAAATATAAGCATATAAGATATCTTATATAAAAAAATATTTATAAAATATCTTATAAACTTTAGGAGGTATCTTATAAAGTATATAAGATATCTTATAAAGTATATGATATATCGTATATAATTAATAAGATATCTTATAAAGAAAATTATATGAGATATCTTATAAACTATTTAAGATATCATATACTTTATAAGATATCTCATATACTTATATAAGATATCTTATAAACTTTATTAGATATCTTATAAACTATACAAGATATCTTATAAATTATATAAGATATCATATATGATATATACGATATCTTATATAATCTGTTTTTTATAAATATATCTTATATAGTAAATAAGATATCTTATATAGTTTATAAGATATCTTATATACTTTATAAGATATCTCCTAAAGTTTATGAGATATCTTATAAATATTTTTTATATAAGATATCTTATATACTTTATAAGATATCTCAAATAGTTTATGAGATATCTTATATAATTTATAAGATATCTTATAAAGAAAATTATATGAGATATCTTATAAACTATATAAGATATCTCATTAACTATATTAGATATCTCATAAACCATATAAGATTTCTCATTAACTATATAAGATATCTCATAAATTATATAAGATATCTTATAAAGTATATAAGATTTCTTATAAAGTTTATGAGATATCTTGAAGTTAGAATAAATGGTAAAACGGCTTGCCATTGTTTTGTCTCGTTTTTGTACTCAACTAAAATTATATTTGACAAAATGAACAGATTGCACGATTATAATTTTAAAATGAAATTGAAACTTACCACTATCGGTTCTATGAAACATACCACCATCGGTTATATGAAACATGCCACCATCGTATGTGTGTCCTATATGGGTTTCTGGTTCCGTTTTAATAGTATTGGAGTGTTTGATATCAAAACTAGCTGTGTTATCTGCCATCTTAAGTGTTAGTGGCGCTGCGACGGCCGCACTAGTTGTCATCTTTCTTGCAGGCTTAGGACTTTCAAGCTTTCCTTTTTGTTGATTTGCTGATTGGTTAGTCTCAATGGAATCTTTACTTGTTTGTTCTGTAATTTCCACATCAATATTTTCTTTATTATTGAATCCTTCTCCTTTTTCTTCAAATGTATCGTTTTCCTCCTCATGATATGCTGGCAGTAGGCCTAGATCTTCTAATGTATATTCACCTCCTGTCAAAGCATTGATTTCTGTTACTAGCTGCCTGTCAATGTCAGACGATGTTGAAGATGCCTTAGGTTCAACAGGTTGCTCTCCATCTGCGATCTCTGTCTTGCGTTTATCTTCCCAATCTGCTTGCGGATCTAGATCATGCAATGGACTAAAATTATTCAACGAGTTCTTGGAAATGTAAGACTCAAAATTGAAGCGCGGCATATTGCTCCTTCTTGCTACTCTCTGCTGAACAGGAGCAATAATGTGACGACGACGTTGTCAATGGAAACCTTCAGTTCTATTGTTCGGTGTAGGTACATTATTTGCAGTGCAGAAACGTCCCGTTTGTCTGATGATTAATGTAGCTGTGATGTCTAAATATTTCTTCAACTTCTGGGTCAATGTACTTTCAAACTTCAATACAAACACTGGGGTCATGGACCTTGTTTTTGCGTTAAAATACGTTGAAATTAACAAAATCACAGTTTTTCTATATGGGTTACTAGTAAATATATAGTGGAAACGTAATTTTTCCTCATTCGGGAAACATTAAAGGATATAATTGGTTAAAATTCAATTAGAGAAATGCTTTTTATAAATACTTCCGAAATACCAAACTAAAATAGGGGGGGGAGGGGTGGGGCACGGGGATTGTTTTCTTGAAAAATCACATAACACAAATTGACCTATCAAATTCAATATAATTATCTGCCCTTGATGTTAAAAGATTTTTTCTGAAAAATTAAATACACTCAACGACTACTATTTTTCCATAGTTTAATCTTTAAATTTCAAGTTTTAGATGTGTCTGTGTATATTGAATGACACTTGGTAAGATATTTAGAAAAAAATCATTTTTGCAACATGCACAAAAGATATGCTCAGAAAAAGAAACCCGAATTACTTTAATATATTTTTCTACAATTAACGAAAAACAATGGTCAGTGATGAATAAAATTAGAAATTGTCATATTCTACTATTATACAGATATTATTGAAAATGCGGGTTTATATTGTACTATTAAAAAAAATGGAGAAAGACCTTAAGATATCAGATGTATTGATCTTAACAGTCCAGCGAGTAAGCAGCATACCATTATAGTAATTCTAGTAACGAAAACAAAAGTTAATGTGCAACATGCTTTGTGCGATGTGTATAGTATTGTCAACTTGCGAGGTAGCTTCCAAGATGAACGTCTGCAATATGACATATTATTTCAATCCAGACATAATATACTGACTTCGAGTTGTATAGTTATTAAATGCTTCGTGCTTGGCTTAAAAGGAGCAGATAGTCGTTATCAATTTTGCTTTCTCGGCGGTATAACGGAATTTACGACTTCCAAAATGTTTTTCATGTATGTTCTTTTCAGGTGATTTGTTGCAAGTGAAGATTGCTTTCCATTCAGATTTTTTATTATTTCACATCGTAACGAAGGTTCGCCCCGATAAAAACTGCCGTTTTACCAATTGAAAATTGGAAATGGATGAGGAAAATAAGTTGATATTTTAAGGTGTATTTCCCCTCCTAAAATGCTGACAATTCAGTGTTATCTGTAAGTTGGAAATGCCTAGACTTATTAGTTTATTACAAAGACTTAACAGTTGCAGATGAAATCAATTTTGAAGACTCACTATGCTTTGTCAGTTTATTTTTGTGTTAGAGGTCTTTTTTTAATATAATCTTTTACACTTCTGATTATGCCCAAAGTCCTAATGACAATCAAATCTCTCAGTTCTCTGTGTAATCTGGTTTCAAACAGTGCATATCTTGTAACTCAATAATTTAATATTTGTCTCTGGATTTTAAAAAACATAATATTCAATCAATAAGAGTTGGTGAAGATATGATATTCAAAACCCCTATCATTATTATTCATATATTGAGTTATCACTTCACTAGCACTAAAGACTTAAGAAAAACAAATATAGGTACTGCATATTTGCTTAATGATTAAATACCAAGTTATACGGTTCAGTAAGGTTGTCCTTGAGGGGTGACTTGAGGGGTGACTTGTCGTGTATCTTTAAGTTTAGCCCTATATTAAAATAATATGATGATTATTTGTTTTAACAAATATCTCAAGAATTGCTCAGATAGCAAACAAACATAAAGGGAATGTAAAACGTAAGCTGCTTTGGTTTTAATACAACATATTGCGAAAAAGAACTGCTTAGATGGTAAAAAAAACCCATTCTAACCAAACAAAGATAAAGAGTATGTAGTAACGTAAGCTACAACTTACTGCGAAAGCAAATTATTAGGAATACCCTATCAAGGCTGAGTTATAACAACCCTAGCAAACGATTTCAAAACATATTTTGCTTGTGTGCTTTGTCTATATGCCATTTTGTTTTCTTTGTTGACATATTTGTTTGTTTTATAGTGATTAAGATTATAGCACAATGTTGTCTGCTGTACCTCTATTTTTGACATTTTTACCTATTATGTCTGTTTGTTTTGTTCACACATTGTTGTCAATATAATGGAATTTTATGCGACTGTCATACAAGTGAGAGGTTTAGCTAGCTATACAATCAGGTTTAATCCACCATTTTCTACACAAGGAAATGCCTGTACCAAGTCAGGAATATGACAGTTGTTTTCATTTCGTTTGATGTGTTTGAGCTTTTGATTTTGCCATTTGATAAGGGACTTTCCGATCTGAATTTTCCTTGGAGTTGTTATTTTACTATTTATTCTCTATTTATAGCACTTGGTTTTGTAAATATGTTGTTGGCCTTGCAGACTCTACTTTGAGGAACTCAAACGACTTTTGTTGTGTTCACCGTATTATCACAAACCTTCCATTACTGCTTTATACCAATTATATTTATAAAACTGGTCATTTTGACAACCAGACAAAAGGTTGAAAAAGTAATTTTTAGTATGAATAATGCTTTTAGCAAAAAAGTCAAATTATCTAGTCCAAGTTTGGTTCAAATAATCAGTGTTTTAGAATAGAAAAAGATAGACAAGTAAAAAATTGGCACTGTCAACTGACGCTTCACATTTTTATTTCAAGGCTTCAGATACACGTATGCTTAAAGGGACAAAGTAACATGTACTATTACTGCTCTTGTTTCACCATTAATGTGTTGCAATTTTTAGTGGGATACCATCCTGAAACCAACTTAAATCAAATTTTCTTTTGGCGACAGTGATATTGATCGTGACCTGTTGACCCCAAAAATTATACGCTTCTTTGTCGTCCATCTGTATGAGTTTCATTCCATTCAAACAAGATAAACTAAAGTTAAAAAATGTTTCCATTTTTTTTCTGCTTTTATCTGTTATCTCATCATCTGACCTATTCAAAAAAACTGAAAGGCTTCTTCCCCTTCCCTATATCTTCCAACTGTATAAGATTCATCCCAATCAAGCAAGGAGAAATTCAAGTTGAACCATTTTCCAAAATTTTACAATTTTTTTTAGTAACAGTGACCCCCAAATCAATCAGATTTTCACTCTTTCCAATATCATCCATCTGTACAAGTTCCTTCTCAATCAAGTAAGCGAAACTCCAGTAACAATCTGGAAACCATTTTCCCCCTTTTTCTAGTTGCAGTTACCTTGACTTTTGACCCTAGAATCAATAGACTTCTTACCCTTCCCTATATCTTCCATCTGTATAGGTTTAATTCGAATCAAGCAAGGGGTACTCACGCAAGTTATCTTACAACAGTTACCTTGACTTTTGACCCTAGAATCAATAGACTTCTTACCCGTCCCTATATCTTCCATCTGTATAAGTTTAATTCCAATCAAGCAAGGGATACTCACTCAAGTTATCTTACAACAGTTTCAAGTGAATAACTTTTAAGAATAGGTTTATTCAAATGATTAATAAGTCAACATGGATTGCATCTAAATTTATGGGCTCTATAAACAACATGACAGTAAATAATGATGCAATCAACTACATTTTGTACTAATCATTTGAGCTATATATTTAAGCACTTTTTTGTGGTAAATTTTAATTACATGAGGAGGTAGACTTTTACACTCACTGGTATGTTTGTGTCAACCATTTCCATACATTTTTTTTCAGGGCCCTTGGTGGCCGAGTGGTCCGAGTAGTCAAATACAGAACTACTAGCCTGTCAACACTAAGGTTGTGAGTTAGAATCCAGCATGTGGCAGTAGAGCTCTACACCAATCTTAATTGACTAGGATTGTTAGTTTTCCTACCAAAGGTCGTGGTTCTCTCAGGCTTCCTCCACCAATAAAAACTGACCGCCATGAACTAGCACAATAGTGCTGAAAGTGGCATTAAATACCAAACAATCAAAAATCAATCCATACATATATACTAAGAATTTAAGACTATCTGTATGTATTGTTGAACAGACTGCTGTGGATTTATTGTTATTTTTGGAATACCAATTTTCTTGGATTTTATTGGTAGAAATGAAACACAAATTAATAGTTCAAATTTTCAATAGGCTTGTTCACAGACTTTAGCTGAACCATGACACCAAATATCCACAAAAATGCAAATTTTCCTTATCCACGAAAATTGGTACCAATGAAAATGGCTGAATCCATTGAATGAGAAATGCATTACTGATTTCAAGAGTTAGCTCCCTTAACCAAAGTCTGTCCCATTAAATTCCTGATGTACAAATGTTCCTTAGCTGGTCTGGATGTCCTTTTTGGTACAATTTTGGGCTAAATAAACCTTATTGTTCTGATTTTTTTTATATTTTGTTTCAAGTACATACCACTGATAATAAAATTGAGAATGGAAAAGGGGAATGTGTCAAAGAGACAACAACCCGACCATAGAGCAGACAACAGCCGAAGGCCACCAACAATTTTTGAAATGTGCCTATGGTGAAACAAACTATTTTTAGTATATTCTAATTTTGTATTGTTGTCACAATTATTTGAGGAAACTGGAGTGACACTCATTGAAAGTGGTACACCACATTCTTAAATAGCAGTTATTATTGGATCACACTATACCTTGAGCATTTGTGCCATTCTGCTAAATAACCAGACCAACTATGAGACTGAATGTCTTTGTGGTAATAGGTCTGATCATGATCTGTGCAAGAATCTAGATCACATAGCTCATCAAATTAGTATGATTTTTTTAATCAGAATTTAACCTATCAAATGGGATGTTTTTATTCATCATGTTCATACATAAATGTGAGGGATGAATATCCTTTTTTTTTAAATTTTCAACAGTGTTATGTGTATAGACGTATTTACACTTGTATGCAAATTTGTCCGCCATTACGTAAAATCAAACAGGTTCCCGTAAACTTTGACATCATAATTCAAAACATTTGACGTCACAATTAAAAAGTGATTGTTGCCTGACGTCAAAAGGTGATTCGGAGTAGATCTAAGGTCATTCGAAGGCAAAATATAGCTAAATACCAAAAGTGTAAATATGTTTATTAAACAATATGTACTGGAATCCCATAAATTAACTTCACATTTTTGTCCATTGTTGAAGATTCACAATTCTGAATTTACAGTATTTTGTCAAATAAATAATTGAAGCCAACTTATTGTGTAAATAGTATAACATAACAGTAAATATCTAATTCATATTTTATTCTGATTTTGTATACAAAACATTAACAGATACAATATATAAAACAATGAGTATACAATCTTTTAAACATGCTAAAAAAAAGTTACTGAGTAAATATATTTTATTTAAAATAATGTACTCTAGAACCAAGTATCAAGGATGACTTAGGCCAAAATATATCATAATAGATAAGGATTTTCCTACTTACTATTTTTTTTTAATGTGTAGTTTTTATTGGCTTTTTTGTTAACGAATTGTGACAAAATTGCTGGTGGTCCCCACATACTCATGGTATCACATTTGAGCAAAATAGAAAAAAGTCTCTTATTTTCTAAAGTAAGAAACTATAAACATACATATTTTTATTTGGCCTTGTGCACAGAAAAAGCCACAGATCTCTAATTAAATGTATACATATTCATTTGTAGGCCAGTAATATGAGATAAATAGCTGATTAAAATGAGCAAAAAAAAATCAAAGATTATTTCAATTAGGGGGTAGGTAGAAAATAAAAGCTGAATTTAAGCAGTTTCATGATGAACATAAATAACAAAAAATGTCCTTTGGGTGAAATGAAAAAAAAATATATTATTATTAATTATTATGACATTTAATTTTCCCAGATTCTATAATGATATTATGACAAACTATAAATTAATATGTTTCATAAGGTTTGCTGATTACCGTGTCCCAGTGTTTATTGAACCATTAAAATTGATGGTCATCCTTTCTTGAATGAAAACATATTATATAAATATCTCAAAGCTGAGTTGGTGAAAGAGCAGATTGTTACCTCAAAAAAAATTGCAATTGTATTTAAACATGAGAATAACCTGGTTGAACATGCTGAAACATCAATTGTCTAAAAATTAAATCGGAACTTTTTTGTTTGATATAAGATACCAGGCTAATCAGTTTGTACACCAGACATGCGTTTCCTCTACAAAAGTCCCATCAGTGACGCTCGATTGAAAAAAAAGTTAAAAGGCAAAATAAAGTTTGAAGTTAAGGAGCTTTTACTTAGTGCCCAAAAATCAAAAAATTTGTAAGGGTTCCGCGGAACCCAGTGTCTCGCCTACTTTTTCTGTTAATCGCAGGCTCGACAAAAATGAGGAAGTAAATCAATAAAAATATTCCTCTTGATACTATCTTTTGATTGTAAGAAGCTTCTGTCCAAGTTTGGTAAAAATCCAGGATAGTTTATGAATCTAATAAATGTTTAAAAACTTTAACTGCAGACTGAATGTAATGTTAACTGGAAGAAAACAAAATTTCCTTCTAGATACTAGCATTTGATCATAAACAAACTTCTGTCCAAGTTTCGTACAAATCCAAAATAGTATAAGAAAGTCATTAAAATTTTAAAAACTTTAACCGCAGAGTGAATATGTTGTTTCCTGGCAGAAAATCAAAGTCCATTTTAAAGTAAAATACAGAAAAAATGGATTTATTTTTTTACAAAATTTACTTCTAGATACAAGCTTTTGATCATAAACAAACTTCTGTCCAAGTTTCGTACAAATCCAAAATAGTATAAGAAAGTTATTAAAATTTTAAAAACTTTAACCACAGAGTTAATGTGTTGTTTCCTGGCAGAAAATCTAAGTCCATTTAAAAGTAAAATACGGAAAAAATAGATTTATTTTTTTACAATATTTACTTCTAGATACTATCTTATGATCATAAACAAGCTTCTGTCCAAGTTTGGTACAAACCCAGGATAGTTTAAGAAAGTTATTAAAATTTAAAAAACTTTAACCACAGAGTGAATGTAATATTTCCCAGCAGAAAAACTAAGTCCATTTATAAGTAAAATACGGAAAAAATGGAATTTTATTTTTACAAAATTTACTTCTGGATACTATCTTATGATCATAAATAAGCTTCTGTCCAAGTTTGGTAGAAATCCAGGATAGTTTAAAAATGTTATTAAAATTTCAAAAACTCTAACCACAGAGTGAATATTTGTGGACGCTGCCGACGGAATGTAGGATCACTATGTCTCGCTTTTTCGACTAAAGTCGAAGGCTCGACAAAAAGGTTTTGCCAAATACAGTACCAAAACTTTTCCGAGAAATATTCATCATTATGATTTTAATCCCTTACATGTACAAATAATTGCATCTTTGTTCATTAATTGAAGTAATAAAACATTGACTAATACAAAATAAAATGGATATAAGCATGATAAGAAACAATATTTTTAAACAAAAGTTAAATCTGTCTAAAAATTATTCACCACCAAAAGCATATTCTCAAAGTAATTGAAGCATGAGTTAGCAATGGTGAAGATCCACCTTCTTTTGCAATGGTAAGTGGAGTTAAGATTGAAAAGGCCACATCTGATTCTGCACCTCTATGTATTATGTTAAAATAAAATAATATTTGTCTTACCAAAATCACACAATTAAATACAGTTTACAAAAAAACTTCATATAGGCAATGCCACACATTATGCAATTACAAACACATTTAAAAAGTTACAATTGCCAAATGTTAGGTACATTAATAATTAATAAATATAAATTTAAATAATATAGATCTCAAAATATATATCAATAATATGAAAACATGTACAAATGTATTACAATGTAATGATTTACATTTTTTTGTAAACATACATGTAGACCACAAAAATTCTAATAGGGTCCACAGCCACAAAAAAAAACAATTTGAATGAAACCACTGAATTGGTCACAATAATGATCAGTAATTACAAAAATGTATGGTAATCTACGACAAATCATAAACAAGTTCCACATGCATGACATGTTGTTGAGAAAAAAAAAAATAAAAACAAGACTTTGATTACTAAGTTCTGATTATTAAAAGATTATCAATTATGTATATATATTTCCAAAAGCCATTAAGATATATGACTATTCAGAGAATTTGAGATTTTGCCAGGGGATATTATTTTTGCACAAATTTGTTTGGCCTAAATGTTAACCCATCAAAGAGTATCCAATACTAGGTTGTTGGTAATAGGTTTACTGAATGGACATGTCCGAATTGTAAGGGTGTACATTTGCATGCCAGTATTGTACATAAATATCCTATACATTGTATATCATGCTTATAGTTTGTTAGAATATGTAATACAAGGAAAAATAAGTATAATCTATTATCTAGGTCCATCCATTAGTTCAAATACATGCATATGTCATGTATGTATCAAGCATATGTCTAGTCATAAATATATTTTAATGTTAAATGCCTGTTTTCCTTCTGAATCCTTTTTACAAAATACAAAAGTAAAGTTCAAATATTGGAAATTAGAGATAATTCATAACACATTATGATAAAAACAATTTAGTTAGGACCTGATTATAAATACATAGTACTATCACTATAGATGTAGAACTATCATGACTATATACCTGTCCTTACATTTGTATATCGAGAAATTTTCCTGTTTGTCTAATCTTCCATAGAAGGTAAATTACCCCATTATTTTAGAGTTCTCTGGTGGTCCTGTGTTTGCAGTAAAAAACAATTCTATTTCCACAGATTAAAATTAATAAGATTTTCACAATAGTCATATAATTGTTGTGCAAATCTTCCATATCAAATATTTATATACATTGTAATTAAGATCTATACTAAATACCAGAAAGCCTAATTTAAAAAAAGAATAGAAGTCAAACCATTACAAACTTTAAGTTGTTTATCAAGAACACCAGTTTTCGAGAGCACTGCAATTTATCTTTAGCATACACTTCACTGTCCTTTCAAATGCTTTGTACATACATGTACAAAGCTGTCAAATGTGAACGATGAACACAGGAAATATTAAGCTGCTCCTTCTAAGGCTAAAACCATTAGAACAAAATGGCAGGAAAATTTCCCAATATAGTAACATGTACATTGTATGACAAGATATTTCACATTTTTCTTTATAATTTTTATGAATGAAACTCATAAGGTAGACCAAGGTGTAATTTTATGATAAATTTGAACTTTCAATCTGTGAATACCAAACAAGACTAAATGAACAATTGGGACAGCAATTATTGCTACACCAACGACCACACCAATTGTAATTGCAGGTCGTCTCCAATCCAATACATGTGGATATATTGGACTGTGATTACCCACACCATAAAATATGGCAGTAAATATGATATAAATCAGGCCATAAATTATTGCATATACTGCATGTAATAATCTAACTGGTACTGCGTTGATAAGAAGATCTACGAAAACGATCACAGAATTTATGCCATGTAGCTGTAAGTTTATCATGTCAATTCCTTTACTGTGGTCAAATTGTGGCCACAAAAATGCAAAAAACATGAATGTCACCATGACAGAAGCTGTAGTAGCAATGGTATAAAAAATCCATGTCAGTTTAAAGTACCATGGCAAGGAATACAATTTAACAATAGCATCTTCTGTCTCCTCTGAATTACGATCTTCATCCCAAAAAGTTGGAGTCAAGGTCAATTCATTGAACAATGCACGATGTCCTTCAGCATGGGGTCTAGAGAGCATATTTGAAGTCCTAAACTTAATGCAGTAATGAAATAATGCAAACAAAAAATGTAGAGTCAAATATAAACAAAGCATTAGGTAGGTCCAGTTTGTCAGATAGACAGGAAAGGAATATTCAATGAACATATGACTGCTACCATTTGACATATTCTGCCATCTCATATTCTCCATCATAGTACCTGTTTCAATTATCCAGTAATCTGCATAGGCTGCAAGTGCTAGTCGATAGATTAGATAAATCAAGGGAGGTAATCGCCACTGAAATAATAAACAAAACTTAAGTTAGAATAAAGTTTCAATATACATTTCTAAAATACATATTTTGTGTTTAAAAATATAATATCCATTTAACAGCAAAGCTGGCAAACATTTGTAGATATTTGAATCTGAAGAAGGATGTGGGTTCTAATAAATGGGGGTTGCTGAAGCCAATCAACTCCTGTTCATGTAAATGTACAAGGAGGATTCATTTATTTTTGTGGGTAACAATTACCGTGGATTGAGGGAAATTTGTATTTTTGTGAATCTTTGACTTCATTGTTTTGCAGACAAACCTTTAAAAAATTTTGCTTTGTTGTACATTTAAATTTGTGGTTCACATTTACCTAAGAAATCCATGAAATTTGATATCCCATGAATAATCCACAGTATTACAAAAAATGTGCTAGTTTATAAATAGTAAAATTGAAATAAACAACTGCGCATCTGCATGATCTGTATGCATAAGTATGATAAGACATCTGTCACAACTATTTTTATTGGTTGATTATATTCTATAGTAAAATTTACTCATCATTTGACTTAAAAACTTACCTAAGCTTTAATATATCAAAATATGAGAAATCACTTCTCACAAAAATTAGAACAAGTGCTAATTCACTTGCCGCAAAAATTTGTATCGTGTAACCCTTTTTTTGTAGTGAATTATTGTGACGCAAAACAATCCTTTAGAAATACAATATGAATTTAAAAGCTTTTGATTTGATTTTAAACATATTTTATTCATAAAGATATGAAAAGGATTGAGCAACAGGCACAGCCTATAAAAGTTCTCTCCATATTACATGTACAAGGTATAAATCAAATATTAACAACTGTATTTAAAATAATACAATATAGTGGAAAGTGCAAGCTTTTGACAGTCAGGCTAGGTGTTTAATTATGTAAACTATTTATAAATCATCATAAAATAAAATATAATCAATTTACACACAGGTATATAAAACACACTGATCATGTTGATATCACAGTCCATTTATAGAGTTAAAATTCAATTTAAGAGTTCAAATTAAGTAAATCAAGAGAGTATTCTCCTTTTCCTTTGAGCCTTCCAGTGCCGGACAGCTTTAGATATGTCCATATCTTGTACATCTGCTCCGTCTAAAGATATATATTGTATTATTAAGCAGTTTGTAATTTTTGGAATACAACTTTTTTAAACAAAAGAATTAAAACGAACAGCTGACCAATTTCCACAGTTTGACATTTCGAGATCGTTTCCGTGCGTATTTGTCCCAACCTTTTCTATGGCAGGTAGAAACCTGACAAATTCTTCAAAGTAAAGTCCAACAAAATTATTTACTATTTGTGTTTCAATCTTTTCCCTTAAATCTAACCCTGAAATCTGGAAAAAGTATCCAAGAAATTTATTTATCTATTCGATGATAATCAATGCAATAATTTACAGGTAAACATGGTAAAGGATAGACTGGAGTCATCGATAATTGCGTAATATGGTGTACTGTTATATCGATTTTCTTCTCAGCGGCAATCTTAAAACTTTATAAAAGTTATCGACAGTTCGTTATTAAATATCAAATATATGCAGGATTCTTTTGTAAGGCATTGCGTGCCAATGTAGGCGCTGCAGGAACAACGAAAATATTTGGAAGGTGCTGCAAGACCGCAGCGTCATATCTGCCTGGGGAGAGCACTGCAGGACAAAGAGGTAGATCCTGTAATATGGGTCCATCTACGACAGGATGACATGGCCATGGGGAATTATAGTTATCTCGTACCATTGTAAACTCGTACCAATGTCAACTCGTACCACTAAAAAAAAACTCGTACCAATGCAAACTCGTACCACTGCTAACTCGTACCACGGTAAATTCATACCATTGTAAACTCGTACCAACTTATTTAAATGCATTCAAATGGTGTTTAATGATGAATATATACTTTAATTTCCCTCAATACCTCGTAAATCTGTAAAGTGTATATAATTTGAAATTACAATGACCAATTTGTAGCTAATTTTCCTTGTCTAATTAGATAGAGAAAACCGTGGCAGATTGGCTTTGTTGTCTCCCTTGAGTAGACTCTTTTTTTAAACTTTTACTGACAACTATTTGATTTAATTTTTAATCATTCCAAATCAGTATCATTGAATAGATTTGTGTATTTTTCTTTTGTTTCTAAAAGGAATTTTTATTTAACGAAAGAATTTATTTATTGTGTTTTAAATAAACTCATCATAGATACCAGGATTAAATTTTGTATTTACGCCAGACGCGCGTTTCGTCTACAAAAGACTCATCAGTGACGCTCGAATCCAAACAAGTTAAAAAAGCCAAATAAAGCACGAAGTTGAAGAGCATTGAGGACCAAAATTCCTAAAAGTTTTGCCAAATACAGCTAAGGTGATTCTATTCCTGAGCTAGAAAAGCCTTAGTATTTCAAAATTGCAAAAGTTTTGTAAACAGTTAATTTATAAATATGACCATATCAATGATAATTCATGTCAGCACAGAAGTGCTGACTACTGGGCTGGTGATACCAAAACAAAATCATAAAACATTCGTATTTTTTAATATATTTTTAATGGTACGAGTTTGCAGTGGTACGAGTTCTGATTGGTACGACTTCCCAGTGGTACGAGTTTACGTTGGTACGAGTTAACTTTTTTGGTACGAGTTTACGTGGTACGAGTTTACAATGGTACGAGTTAACTTGCTTCCGCCATGGGTATGTCACAATGTCAATGGACATGTAACTTTGTTGGATGGGAGAAGAACATATCACTTACAACAGGTCACTTAGAGACCTTTTAGAGTTGTTTGAATCCTTTAATACACTCTGAGTGTGGCACTCTACCAAAACAGACCAAGATGTATAATTCTCATTTTATATGATGATCTTCCCCAACCTGTCATGGCTGTACATGTTCAAGCGACTTAATGATATTGTCATTTTATGAAATACATTAAAATTGACGGAAATAGTTGTTAAAATCAATGTGCATATAAATACCTGAGAATATACAAATCTGCCAGGATGAACATCCCCAAACCCTAATTTCTTAAAACAAAATTCTGCTTTCAAAATTTTAAGAACCATTTTATCTGTTTATTATCTCCCCTGTTACTTATAATCTCTACTTTCATATTTAAGATAATATTTATGCAGAATTTCAATTATTCGATTGTTTATTTCTAAATTAAAAAATAATAGATAATTTTTAATCTTGATATTAAGAACAAAAAAAAATAGCTTTGTTTAAAGAGTAAGTTCTCCAACAAAAACAAAGATGGCGACCCATAGTTACGGAAATTGTGTGGAAAACTGGGTTCAGCTAATAATTTAGGCCTTTTCTTTTAGAAATGTTTATCGATTGCAACGACATCATGTGCAGATGGGGAAACATAAAAAGATAAAACATGAACAGAACAATTTTTTCCCGAAGATAAGCAGCGCTAGCAGAAAACTAGCTGCGAGAAGATTGGAAAGCTTAGATACGGGAGGGGTACCACATTTTATGTTACACACAAAAACTAGTGGAAGAGAACCGCTTGCCCCAATCCCTACAAATCAACCATTAAGCCTTAATGGCAGCAAAGGAGAATCTGTGACTTCTAATGATTCAGTGAGCAAGCGTACATTCGAACAACAGTCACCAAATCAAAGAGATAAAATATTCAAGGACAAAACTGATTCAGTTTCAAATCCAGATTCTAACACTATGTCTGGGAAAGCAGATGTTAATTTAGATGATAACGTTTTCACCTTTAAGCCTAAAGTTAGCATTGCTAGTGCCAAAATTGTAGAAAATCTTGGCACAGATTTTATGGCTAGACAGCAGCAACACTTAGAAAGGCAAAGACGTAATGTGAGTTTCTGCTTTTTGGATATTTATCTGGCCTTGAATTAAAGGTCTATTTACGTGTTCCTTTATATCTTTATTAGCGGTTGACAGAGTGGGTTGTACAGCTGGTGTTAAATGTACTCGTCTTCATTGCTACATGTATGTTGTGTATATATAAATTAGAAGATGTGGTATGAGACAACTCTCCATCCAAGTCACAAATAAGTTAACAATTATACATTTGTAGGTCAAAGTATTGCCTTCAACACGGAGCCTTGGCTATAGCTTATATGTTATCCTGGTCCACTCTTCTGCATATCTCTGTGTGACAGTGTCAATATTTATCTTGGTCTTTTCTACATGTATTCTTTTCAAGTTCTCACTGACAGCTCTGATTTATTATAGATAATATCCAGTGGTACAAACTTACATAGTTTCTACAGGTTGGAATATCGATTCTGGAAACAATACTTTACTAGACCTAGACTCCTAGTCAATAACTAGTCGCTAATCAGTACTTGATTTTTCAGATAGAGGCTAAATCATATTGATATTCATGAAATTCATTAAATGTGTGCACTAAAATAACTGACACAAATAAATTACAAATTACTTATTTATTGTCTTAATCACTAAACATCATAAAAAGAAGAAACTTTTAAGTCTATTTGAGTAAAGAGATGCTATTGATCAAAGTGTTTCATACAACATGTACAAGAGGTTTTGGAAGGGCTCTGTACCCTGCCCTTTTCCATTGTATCTTATAGCACCCTACCTTAATCATGTTAATTTATGATCTGTACTGTGATTCAATTTTAGTAACACTGGTTGATTTATTTCCCTTTGGATGCAATCATAATTTAGATTAATAGCTTGCATTTTTTTTTAATTTCATGATACAAATATGTTTGAACATTTTTAAGCGACTGAGTACAAATACTGTTGATTATTACATGGGGTTAAGTTAAGACAACCCTGACTGTACCTCTGAAAATTTTCAAATGTATATACAATTGAAGGGAAACAAGATGGTCTTTTTGAGTTATATTTTTATCAAGCAAGGAAGCATTGGATGTTACAATCAGCTGTCAGACTGTTTATATTTATATTTTCAATTAGTTAGTGACAATTTTACATATTCTGTGGGTCAAGGGATTAGGTGGGGTCTTACAACGGTTTCTGTCTGTTCTTGTCTTAATTGATAAAATAAAGGTAAAGAACAGTCATGCCAGCTGGCAGATCGTTTTGATTGCAAGGTCCATGTATACAACACATGATCAGCTGTCAGGTAATTTTCATGTTTATATTCTCCAACCAATTGCTTAATTAGGACACCAATAAAACACTTCTCCTGAAAGATAACTACTGTGGAATCATTATTATTCGTAGGATACCAATTTTCCTGGATTTCGTGGGTACAGGGGAACCACGAATTTAAAAGTTCAACGAACTCAAAATTTTCTATAAGAACATATGCAGACTTTGGCAAAATCACGAAATCAAATATCCACGAAATTGCAAGTTTACCTCAAACCACGAAAATTGGTAACCACGAAAATAAATGAATCCACAGTACTCATCTACAATGTTTTTCTAATTTTATTTAAGATCATTGCACACATACATGTACATGTACAATGTATATATATATATGCAGGACTCTAAAGTGTGATGGGGATGCTTAAATGCTATGGTTACGCGAAAGTGCGATGGTTTGATATGCTAAAGTGCGTTTTTCCGCAAAATTATCGACGTTAGCAACGTTAAACAACATTATGAGTTATGACGAGAATGTTTGTCCAGATTAAGGGTTTTTATTACACAAGAAGAGAAAGAAAAGATAAAAAAATCACAATCTGGAGCACTTTTGGTCGTTGCTGGAAGAGGTTATCTTAATTTGTAAAATTGTAAAAAGAAATTTAATCAAAACAGCTGGGGGTGCCAAAAAAAGTCTTCTTTTTTACTTTCTAATTGAATAATTCGATAAAAAAATATTACAATGTGGTATGTTATTTCTGTTAAATAATGAATATACGTCAACTAGACAGCAACCTAACGAACAGATGTGAAGTATCATCATATGATTGCCAATAAGACAACTCTCTATCCAAGACCTAATGTCATTAATGTATGCAACTTTAGGTTATAGTATAACTGTTAGCGCGGAGCATTGGCTTACATTGCATAGTATTCTATTAAGACCAAAAGGGCCTCAAAACAACCAGACTGAGTGTAAAATAATTCGAACAAGAAAAATAACAACCTGATTCAAAATCAAAACAATAGACGAACAGCAGATATGAAATATACCAACAAACGACTACCAATAGATTCCAGATATACTAACTACTGCAATGTAACCATTACACTTTTTGGGCAACTATCGTAATTTAAATAAAAATAAGAAGATGTAGCATGAACTATCCATCCAACCCCAAATGTCGTTCATGTATGCAACTAATAATCATACGGGCCTTCAACTTAAAGCCTTGGCCCTTGCCACATAACAAGCTATATGGGGTTAAACAATAATCAGTGTAAAACAATTCAAAAGAGAAAGATTACGGCTTCATATATAAATAAAAAAATGAACGAAAAAGTAATAGGAACTCAGCAATGAACGAAAACCATTGCCTGAACCACATTCCTGTTACACCATTGGACTTTAGCATATCATACCATCGCACTTTAGCATGTTATCTGATTACACTTAAAAAACAAACAACCATCACACTTTAGCATCTAACACCATCAGACCAATATAACGTATCTTGAATAAAATAAAGCATGTTTGAGAAAAGCTACTCAGAAGGAACTGTCTGATATATAAGAATGCATAACCAGTTATATATATATGCCAGTAGAGTAATAATTGTACAGTACACTAATTCATTTCAGGAGAATTTTACTTTTAACACTTTTTCTTATATAAGTTATATTTTTTAGAGTTTAAAGACATACCAACATGTGCACATTTTGTACGCTTAGATTATAATGTATAAGATTTAATTAAGTGTAATTCTACAGAAAAATGTGTTGATTGAATGCCATAGGCATAGTTTACATGTGTATGTACATGCTGTATACTTAATTATATTATTCTTTGTCAGTATTCTGGTATGAAACATTTGTAAATGAGTACTTTTTATTTTTAACCTGTAAAAAAAATTTAAAAAATGACTTTAGCTAAGTTATAATTTCTGATAAATTAATTATTTTTTTAGTTGGAACAAGCTAACTCTATACCAACTTCATATTCAAGTGGTCGTCTATCTCCAGTAAATAAATCAGTAAGGAAGCTAAAGAAGAATAAAGAGGTAAACATTATTGTTTAAAATGAAAAAAGGAAAGGTACATTGAAAGGTTCATCTGGCCTTACAAATTCATCGGGAATGAATAAATGTTAACATAACTGTTACCAATAGCAGTCACAATTTTTATACCTTCAGCTTCTGAATAAAAACTAGTAGACATTGCTAGGTGTCTTTGTAGCTCTCATTGCCATATGGAGCTTTGTTGCAATCATCTGTCATTGTGATCTTTTTCATAAATCTACTGCTCTTGACACCACTGGACCAATTTCAACCAACTTAGGCTTATGATCAGTATAGTATCTAGTAAAGGACTTTCTTGAAACTCACCTCTGAAAGCCTGAATCTGATTTTAAAATTTCAACCGAATATGAGTTATTTCCCTTGCTGGGAAGTATATACTGTTATTTATACTGATTGCTGTAGTGAACATGGTGAAGAGTAATGGTGATAAGTTAATAGAATATGTGTTCAATTATTTGATGATTTCCAGGTTCCAAAATTTACACTTGGCAGCAGAAAGTGTTACAAGTATATAGAAGCTAAATCTAATTGTTGTGAACTTTTCCAGAATGAAGAAAATGAAAATTTGAATTCAACCTCAGAAACAAGTATAGAAAATGAAAACACAGAAAAAGTAAAAGAGGAAGAATCTGAAGGTGACAACAACATGCCTTTCATGTTGAATCGTACTAAAACCACTGTTTCTCCTAACCTTCAACGTTTACTAAATGGTGAGTTGTCTCCCATCACTAACTAAACTGCTAACTTGAAACATGGCATGCCATTTCCTGTTGAAAAAAGATTTGCATTTTTTTACAAAACGTTTTTTACTTAACCATGATGTGATTTATTAATGAATATTATATCAAAATATTTGTTGGACTTAACTGGTACAGGACGAGGTGTACTATTCATGGAATTGATGTCTATGTTTATCTCAACAGATAGGTACATATGTATATCAACATTCAACCTCCATTCATCATGGGAAGGGTTATTTTATGGAATCCAGTACAATCAGTTTATTTTTAATTAATAAAAGATATAAGTCTTGGTTATAATGTATATAAGGATGATTCTGAAAAGATATAAGGGAATCAAAGATATACAAGTCAATACATGGGAATTTTGAAGAGAAATTGAAATGAAACTCACAGTATGGTTTTAAACGATTAGCATTAACTTACATTGAATAACATATACAGTACTGTAAATTCAGACAGGAAAAGGTAGATGTTTTGGGTTATTTGGCTGTGCAAATTTACCCCCAAAAAATTCAATAACAACAGTATTTATTGCACTTTTTTGAACTTCAGAATAACAATTTGATTAAAAGCTTTCAGAAAGTGTAAGTATTAGTTAAGGTGTAAAGGCACAATTTAACTGTAATGTCCGTAAAATGGAGTTAGTGAAGGAAGATTTCTCAATATTTTAGAAGAATAGGCTAATTTTACTAACTTTTGTCGAAATTTAAAAAAAAAATGCTTTACCCAAATACTTGTGTTTACCAGTGTGTAGATTTTAACAAAACACACTTTCTTTGTTAACATCTTTTTGAGCTAAGCATTAGACTTTTGAAGTCAGAAATTTCATTGGTTGAAGAACTAAGCTTTGTCAGGTTTTTGAAGCCAAGTGTGGACACAGGATTTGTACTTTAATCAGATTTCCATAGTAATAATATGCCATGAGATACAGAAATCATGTTTATTAATATACAAGGTATTAAATAAAATATGAATGATTTGAATGCTGAATTTACAGTACGTTATATATATGAAAGAACAGCAATTACTCTTCTCCATTTCCTCTTGCCAAAAGGTGATCAATATGTTTGCGATTTGTTTAAATGCAATGTTTTATATTTCATTTATTTTTACAACAAGCAAATTTGCCTTAGTATATTAGTCTTTATTTTTGGCAAGTTTGATTAATTTAAAAATTATAATACCAACTTTCCTGCTCATCTGTTGGCCTGGTTGATGGTAAAATACCAGTCTACAAGTTACATGAAAATGTTGAATAGGCAAGTTACAATTGTATTCCATTAAATGTAAAAACAATCATGACAAATCTTTAGTCATATTACTGGTACATTTTTGAAATAACAAGAGCATATACAAAAGCACAGGATATAAGTATAAATTTTTTATAGCTCCAACTAAAAAGTCTTCTAGGTGTAAGTACATATTGCACATCATAATTAATTACTACCGGTTTTACAAATTTGTAATCAAGTTAATTTGATACCCTGAAAAAATAGTCCAGTCCTACCTGGTAGATAAGCCAAATGGTTAGTTATTCTTTTATAAAATATTATAGCTTTTTAGATAGGTGCTTATTTTTGTTTGTATACTAGTAAATAGAATTAATTCTAAATTTCTTGAAATTTTAATTATTATAAATTGTATCTCAATAAAGCACATGTATGGTGTGTGGACAAAAGTTATTCATTTCTTATTTTGTTCAAATTTTAAAGATATTTTCAATTCAATATCTTTCATATTTTCATGAAATTTTCACCCATAGTTTTCAAAGTTATTATATATGAACCCTCAAACATATTTGTAAGGCAACATGATGACAATATATTTTAAAAGTGGGTACATCACAAAAATTTAGGAAAAATTTAAATGTGTTTAGAATTAAAAATGGGAATAGCTTAAAGTCCACATTTTGTACCTTTTTATGACATTACAGGGGTTCAGCTGTGGTAGCTCAGTTCTTAAGGTTTCATAGTTATAAGAAAGCAAAAGGACAAATTTGCACTTTAATAGGGTATATAGAATATTTAGTTATCATCCAATTTGGATAATTTTTTTCCTTAAATTCTACTTGATTAAAGCTTTTAGGAGTAGGCAGTACATATTTTACATCTTTTACAATTTAATGTTACAAGGGGCTAAAAGGGCCAAATTGACTTTTTTTCTGTGGTTCATAGAATCAGGTGTTAGTGTCAAATCTCAATTTTGTATCTGCATCACTTATGACAGTGCTGCCTTTCATGCTGCAGTCTGTTTGTCATTTTTAAGTGCTATGAAGAAGATAACTATAGTTATTGCTATTTTCATTTGATCTTTCTGTGTGATAATTTTCCATCCAAGCTACTCAATTAAGATAAGTTTATCTTTGTGGTGTAAAGTGAAAATGCAAATGCTAACGTTACTGTTGGTGCCTTGGAAAATAGCGAGAAACTGATTATTTATGGTCTTTTATTCAGTGAGCTTCAGGAAGTTTGTTGCCGTTCTATGAGATTGTAGAAAAAAAACTCTATTGTTTTAGAACCAAAGATAATCTAATATGAATGAATTCAGAATGAATGAACAAACGAACAAACAAAATAATGGAAAGAACCAACCAAACAGCGAATGAATAAACAAATGAACGAACAAAGGAATGAATGAATGATTATTAGAGTGCAACCTGGATATAAACAATGTACTGTCAGTTGTATAAGAATGATGATTTTCAGCTAGCCAAATAGGCTTATGATGCATCATCATATTTTGATTTTAAAGTCCATGCATGTTCAAAATCATGAAATCCGGTATAATTATATAGGTTGAATAAAAAAATCTAGCTCCAGATAATCCTTATCTAACAGTAGTTGGTGACAGTTTTTATGCAGTTTTAATATACTTAGAATAGAAAAATTCTTTGGTTTTATCAAACCTCTTTACATATAAAAATTAAAACCAGTATAATATAATACTAGAAGTAGGTTGCAATACAAATGTAGGTACGTAGCAAACATATATTACTTTTGACACTTAAAATTGAGATGAAATTCACATAAGCACTTGCGCAAAGTTTTTTTAAGCAAACTTCAAATTATCTGCAGGTCTTTTTTCCGAAACGATTCTGAGACAAAAGGACAAGGTGTAATAAAGGGTTTGAAAGATTCTACAGCCCTGCACAGACCTGTTTGAATTGAGAGGGTTTTGTAATACATGTAAATTGTACTTCATGTGTTCTTACACACCTATTTCTTGATTATTTTTAATTCTTTATAGCTGATTTATTTTTGAAAAAAAAATATATATTACAATTTTTAGCAATAAAATATTTGACTTTGATTTTTAGCAAGTTGTATAAATATTGGTAAGAATACCTTTTTAACAATACACAACACTTTCTTTATGACAGACATCATTACATTCCTGTTATTTTAATGGGGATTTTATTTTTAAATCAATGCATAACATCAATCACTTTTATATCTTTTATGGGAATGGATAACAGCATAATATTAACAATGTAATTTTAGTCATTTTCATGGGAATTTGGAAATTGTGCAATGCAGAGCATCACACATGTCATATCTTTAATGGGAATGGATTTAAGCATTGCTACTGATAGTTTTATTCTGACTTGATTAAGTTAAGTTATGCAATAAGTGTCAGTGTTTTGAAACCTTTTTTACAAAGATTGTTTGAAAAGATAACATAATGTTCATGAGTTCTATGAAATTTCACAATTCATTTAAGATATCCTTTATTTTTTTAAAGCATTAACAAGAAAATAAGAAATACTATGCTCCTTTTCATTAAATATAGAGTATAGACAACAGATCTCAATTTAATGATGTAGTATGGTTGCCAATGAGACAACTCTTCACTGTAAAACCAAATAATATAGAAGTTAACAACTTAAAAATTCAACATATTGTTGTAAGGGCTTAATGCAATGCATTAAATTATACCATATGATTCATGTTTAGATAAACATAATGGATTTCTAACCTTTGGAGTGTATTGCATACAGTTATTTTCACCTTACATTTCATAGTGCACAATTTTACAATGTTCGTAACATACATGGTACAGCCTAATACTTTCAATGTGTTTCAGGTGTGTCACTAAGTCAGAGTTGGATGCAAACGCCCACCTTTTGCCTCTTTCCCAGGCCTGTATTTTTATCTACTATTTTTTCAAAATACGGTTAAGAAAGCACGAGGCAAATCAAAATTTGTTTATAACCTATTTGTTCAGACCTTACATCTTTATATACACATAAGGAGATGTGGTATGATTGCCAATGCGACAACTATACACCAAAGACCAAAAGACAAGAGCCCTTACAACAACAGAACACCATACAGCCTTCAACAATAATCAAATCTTAGATTGGTTGATTGTTGGTTGCTTAACATCCAGTGGCAAAAAGTTCAGGCCCTTTAGGATGAAGTAAATCTTAGACCACACAAGAAAAGCCCCAGGACAACAAATTGTAAAGCAATTCTATAGATAAAACAAACAGTCTAATTTAAGCAAATAGCATTGAACAAAAAACAATTATGTCAAAAAGCAGCCAAAAATGATCACTTTAAAACACATACTTCTGGTCTTGGAGAGGCGCATAAAGAAAATGGTGGGTCAAACATGAATATGAGTTTTTAACATTCAGATTTCATATAATATACCTTAAAATTACAGCAGGTGAGACATTTTAAACATTGTAAATTCCTGTTTTTCCATTGGTTGCACAAGTTTGCACTGACCATTACTTTCTTGGTGGCAGAATGACTGTTATATTGAATTGTATTGACCATGCTTTTGATTACATTGTATCATGTTATAACTTATATTTGTGTATAGCCAAAACAGTTTGAAGATAGTTATCATTACAGAATATAAATAATTATGAACATAACAATTCTATACTTTTCCAGGAAAGAGCTTGTTTTTGCTTTTAACATTTTGATTGAATTTAAAAATAAATTAAATTGGTTCAGCTTTTTAAAATTAATATGAGATTATATTGGATCAGAAAATTGCAAAAGTGACAGAACTAACCAAGGTTTGTCTTACATATAGTCATTAATTATCATAACTGTAATCTTTTTATTGGTTTCTATAATCAACGTTCTACAATTTGATATCATATAGGTCCCTATGCCGCTGGTAATCCAGACATGGTCCTGAAAAGACAACATATAAAATTAAAACAACATCAACTGAAGTCAAAGTCTGGAGGGGACAGTGTGGATGTGGATTCTGCAGGTAATTTTCTTGTTTAGATGTAGAAGTTGTGGGTGTGTCACTGTGCTTTGTTGACAGTTATCTATTCTGCTTCAGCAGAACATAGGTAAATGTTTGCAGGGTATAGAGATGAAGTTGCTTCTATTAGTAATTTTTTTATTTCTTGCCACAGCTAAGGGGGCATTAAGTGTTACCCTTGTCATCTGTAAGTATGTCCGTCTGTATGTCTGTACGTACGTCCCGAAATTGGTTTCTATTCTCTTACTTTATTTTCCCTCAACCAAATGTTATGAAACTTGTACACAATGCTTATTACCACAAAACATAGATCGAGTTTGAATTTGGGTGATGTCACTTTTACTGTTCTAGAGTTATGCACCTTTACAAATGGAAAAATTGCTGAATTTTTCTTTTGCGTTCTCTAACTTAAGTTTGCTTCAAATAAATGTTATGAAACTTATGCACAATTCTTATTACTACAAAACACAGATCAAGTTCGAATTTGGGTGGAGTCACTTTTACCGTTCTTGATTTATGTCCCTTTATAACGTTATATGCAAGTTGGGGCATCATCTGTGTCCCATGGACACATTCTCCATTTATTTTTGAAAGATTTTGATAAATTAAGTCCAGACTTAGAGAAAACAGTGTTGATGTTTTTTCTACAGGTAGTTGACTGACATGGATAGGGAGAACTGAAGTCCGAGAGGAATAGATTATAATAAAGTATAGAAATTGATTTTGCTGGAAATTATCTGGCTTATGTTGAGAGAATATGACTAAGCATTCATGACTAAGCTGGCATGTCAGTTAACTGCTAGTAGTCTGTTGTTATTTATGTATTATTGTCATTTTGTTTATTTTCTTTGGTTACATCTTCTGACATCAGACTCGGACTTCTCTTGAACTGAATTTTAATGTGCATATTGTTATGCATTTACTTTTCTACATTGGCTAGAGGTATAGGGGGAGGGTTGAGATCTCATAAACATGTTTAACCCCGCCGCATTTTTGCGCCTGTCCCAAGTCAGGAGCCTCTAGCCTTTGTTAGTCTTGTATTATTTTTAATTTTAGTTTCTTGTGTACAATTTGGAGTTTAGTATGGCGTTCATTGTCACTGAACTAGTATATATATTAGTTTAGGGGCCAGCTGAAGGACGCCTCCGGGTGCGGGAATTTCTCGCTGCATTGAAGACCTGTTGGTGACCTTCTGCTGTTGTCTGTTCTATGGTCGGGTTGTTGTCTCTTTGACACATTCCCCATTTCCATTCTCAATTTTATGTATATAATGTGCATTTTGATTCTACAAGAAGTCTACAAGAAGTTAATTATCTAATATGGGTGGGAGAAAGTGAAATTGTTAATTAAAACACTGTTTCAATTTTTAGCTGTACAAATTTTGATTGTAAAAGTACTAATAATTTTTCCAGTGGTTTTGATTTCTGTAAATAACTGAATATGACAGTTGTTTTCCATTCGATGTGTATGAGCTTTTGGTTTTTGTTGAGCCTGCAACTTTAGTCGAAGAAAGCTCGACATAGGGATAGTGTTCCGTCTAACTTCTTAAAAGCTTTGTATTTTAGAAGCTAGAAGACCTGGATGCTTCATACTTTGTATATAGATGCCTTATGTTAAGAAGTTTCCGTCTGTCATATGTCCATTGTCCTTGACCTCATTTTCATGGTTCAGTGACTACTTGAAAAAAGTCAACATTTTTTGTACTGTTAATTTCTTTCTTATTATGAGTAATAGGATAACTATATTTAGTATGTGCGTACCTTGCAAGGTCCTCATGCCCGTCAGACAATTTTCATTTGACCTCGACCTCATTTCATGGATCAGTGAACAAGGTTAAGTTTTCTTGGTCTAGTCCATATATCAGATACTATAAGCAGTAGGTCTACTATATTTGGTACATGGAATGATTGTAAAGTGTACATGTCCAACTGGTAGGTGTCATCTGACCTTGACCTCATTTTCATGGTTCAGTGGTCAAAGTTAAGTTTTTGAGTTTTGGTCTTTTTTTCTAATACTATATGCAATAGGTCAACTATAAATGGTGTATGGAAATATTTTATGATGTACATGTCAGTCTCACAGGTTTTATTTGACCTTGACCTCATTTTCACGGTTCATTTCTCAGTGTTAAGTTTTTGTGTTATGGTCTGTTTTTCTTCAAGTATAAGCAGGATTGTAAGGATTGTAAGGTGTATATGTCTGTCTGGCAGGTATCATCTGACCTTGACCTCATTTTCATGGTTCATTGGTCAATGTTAAGTTTTCATGGTTAAGTTTGTTTCTTAAATACTATAAGCAATAGGTCAACTATATTTAATGCCTAAATTGATTGTAAGGTGTACATGTCTGTCTGGCATGGTTCATCTGACCTTGACCTCATTTTCATGGTTCATTGGTCAATGTTAAGTTTTCTTGTTTAAGACTGTTTCTTAGAAACAATAAGCAATAGGTCAACTATGTTTGGTTTATTGAATGATTGTAAGGTGTACATGTATTTCTCGTTTGGTTTATTTGACCTTGACCTCATTTTCTTGGATCATGTTAAGTTTATGTGTTACTTGTAGTAAAGCTTTGTATTTAGGACTATCAACATAAAATCAATGGTTAGTAAAGAAGGCGAGACATTTCAGCGTGTGCACTCTTGTGTCATTTTGTAAAGGACTTTCCGTTTTGGATTTCCCTTGGAGTTCTGTATTTTTGTTATTTTACTTTTTGTCATGAAATATTTATTAGTGGGAAAATAGGACGGCACTGAGAATCATATAAGATAAAATTTACATTTTGAATTCTTATCACATTCCTGCAATTGCATTAACTAATTACTAAATGTAATTAATTGATCAGCTACTGTGGATTCATTTATTTTCCTGGGTTCAAATTGACATGGATTTATATGGAAAAAATTGTATTTTCCTAGATATTTGATTTTGTGGTTTACCTGTACCCTAAAATGAAATGCAATGGTATCCCATGAATAATAATGAATCCACAGTATTACAATAATCTCTGCACACAATAATTTCTTAATTGACTTTTCTACAATAAATAAAAAAATGTAGTTTAAGATAAGTGTCAGTGTGTATCTGTAATAAGTGTTAATGTGTATCTGTAATAAATTTTTCGTAAGAGTTACTTTTATTTTTCACAGAGAGAATGACAGCTAAGATTAAATATTTAAGTAAGAATATTTTGCTTATTTGGTATACCAGCCACCAATATAACACATTTATAAAATAGATAGGACACACTTTATTTTGCATGTTGTGTGTGTTTGTATATTGTCATTTTGTGTATAAGTATAATACCTGCAGAACAGATGTTGGTTCGCCATGTCATTTTAGGCTTTAATCATTATTTATTGAAAAAGTTACTTTATGGAAAATGTGAAATGTAAAGGTTTGAAAAAAGGGGGGGGGGGGAATAGTTTGGTAATTTTGATAATGAAGAAAATTTTAAATTTTAAATTTTTAACACCATTACAAATTAATTGGGGAATGATTTTTCTCCCTGCTCCTTGTTGTGTATGTGTTTGGATGGGACAACAGTAGCAACTGTTGTGTATGTGTTTGAATGGGGTAACAGTTGCAACCTTTGTATGTGTCTGGTGTTTTCTATGCTAATATATTCACATTTGTACATTCAACTGACCTCAGATATTCAAGAGTAATGTTAAAATTACCTTTGTATTGATTGTAGAGTCCACAATTATGATAGTCTCATTGCATGAAATTTTGTAAGTTGTAAAGACATGTTCTTGTCTCAGGTCGATTCTAAATGTCATAATGAATGATGGACACTATCCTAATTTTGAGCTTTGGAATCACATCCAAACATTTCTCATTAGAACTTACTGAGGTGTGTTTGTGTAGGAAAGTGGCTATGTTAGTATAGAAAAAGTTTTTTGGTTGTTGTGATTGTTGACATTGTACATGTCCTTTTTCCTTCATTTTAAAAAATATCTTTATTTTCATATACAGTAAAACTTTTGTTCAGATTAGACAAGTTTTCTTTTTTTTTAAATTTTGATTTCTAAATCATATTCAGTGTATGTCCTGGTTCATTGTTTCAGTTAAGACAGGGTTCCAGTTAATGTATTGGTTTAGACTGGTTTCATTGTATTTGTCAGAGTGATATATAATATCTCAAGTACTATATAAACACATATTAAGTATTATTAGCTCATTTCAAATGCAATAAATTTTATTTTTAACACATGTATTTGTTCATAAAGAATTTGATTAATGTTTTTATTATTTTTTGACATTTCAAGATTGTTGTCTAAGATATTTAGAATTGCTTATTCACATCTGTATTGGTTTTTACCTATATTAGAAGTTATAATTCTATTTCATTATTAATTTTAGATCTTGATGCAGATGTACATAGTTCTTTGTCAAGAAGTAAGACCATGCCATCACTTAGTCGGCCAAAACTCTCTAAAAAACTGTCCCATTCACATGTGGATGGTAATGCAGAGCGTCTTCGCCATGCCAAAGAAATAGCCGAAAGGGCAATAAAGGTTAGTACTTTAAAAAATTGACCAAACAAACTTTTACTGTTACTATATATTTAAAAATAAAGATTAATGACACTGGGCATTAAGCAATCAACAATCAATCATAAAAATGAAAAGAAGATGGAATTAAAGAGGATTATATCAGAGAAAATCATAAGATTTCCTCAAATAAAATGAAAAGTTTTGTCATTGCTTTAGTAAAATCATCAGTAGGTTTTTTTTTTAGAGAGAAATGGTTGGATTTCCGCAAAACAAGTTTTGAGCATTGTCATTCACAGTTGCTTCAGTAAAATCAATTACTTTTTCACTTGTGGTTTCAGAATCGTAAAGTATTTACCATACAAGGAGGTTATTCTACTGTTAGACATAGTCTGAGGAAGAGAGGATGGGTAGAAAAATTTTATAAACTGCCAGGCCCACCTAAAAAGACTCCTAGGAAGAAACGGAAGAAAGTTGGAGACGATGCAGATGATGATGACGACGATGATGATGATGACGATGATGATGATGATGACGATGATGATGATGACAGTGATAGTAAGAATGTATTTTCTCTTTTTAGAGTCCTGATTGTTTCCAGGATTTTTTGGGGGCCTGAATGTTTCCAGGAATGACAATTTAATATCAATAGACAACTTTCGAGTTCATTGCATTTCCGCCAAAAACTTTGGTTTTAGTGAACATCATTCGTGCATTTAGGGGCATCATGACTTCCTTCCCATGTTGAGCGAGTGGTTGAAAAAATGTGATGCTATATTGCACAAATCATTCAGCAAATTAAATTCTTATAATTGATAATCAGTACTGCTGTCATTAGGGAATTGTTATTAAATACTTATGGAACAAACATTATTTCTAGTTTATCCTGTATAATGATGATCACAAAGACGCTTGATGAACTTTAATAGAGCAGGGATACAGGCGATCCCCTCTATCTGGTAAATGATGTCATAAGGCGCAAAAAATTGACGAACTTTTCTGGTGAAGGACATAACTCGAAAGTGGTCTATTGGTCTGTGGTAAAAAGCATGTGTTATTGCAATTGGTGGACCCTTTTTCTGGCAGAAAATTTCTTATTAGTTATATTTTAAACCTGTCAATGTTTATTCAATAATGAAAAACAGAATTTATTTTTTCAGAATAACTTGTATTTTTGTGTACTGGAAAATTTCTGGTAAATCTATTTGCAGATATAAAGTCATTAACAGAATCTAATTTATCAAGTTAAGAAACTATGAGTAATGTTGGTAATTTATGTAATTATTTATTACAGATGATCAGCCAAAAATTCCACCATGGGAAGAAGATGATGGTATCTATGGTATAATGGTATGTTTTAAATTTTACATATTTAACTAATCATCAAATAGCTATTGGGAATTCCTTTCTGTCCTGCAAGCAAGACTTGTAGATGTACACATGCCTGAGCGGGATGTATAAATAAACACATTGTACCTAAACCTGGACAATAGATTTAATGCATTTGTTGAGAGAATGCTTCTTCCGAAAAGTTAACAGCCAGAACAACACAATACAAAGTCCATAGATGTCCTGTCGTAATGCAAAATTTCTAACCTTACCAAATAAATGATAAGTGACATCTTCTTACTGTAGATTCATTTATTTTCGTGGGTACCAATTTATGTGGATTGAAGAAAAAAAATACATTTTCCATGATCCTTGATTTCATGGTTTTGCCAAAGTTTGTCTTCTATGAGAAATGTATACTACATTGAACATTTAAATTCCTGGTTCATTTATACCCATTTAATCCACAAAATTTGGTACCCAACAAATAATAATAAATCCACAGTATTTCTTTATTTTAATTATTTGACACTGAATATTGAGCAAATACAGGTATATTTAATTATCAAGTGTTCTGGTCATAGAACATAAGGATGAAAGATTTTTTATTGCCTCTAATTGGTTTTTACCTTGACAAAAACTTAGGAAATTATAACTATGAATTTTAGAGGATTGAAATAAAGTTAGATAATATATAAATAGTAACAGGAATTACCCCTTAAAAATGGACAGTACAACAGAACAAACTAACCATCAACTATCAATTTTTAAAATAAAGTTAAGGATGTATTCAGGTCAGGTTTATGAATTTTTGTCAAATGTTCAGACTCCTTGGGGTTTTTCCTATGATACAGGGTAAAAAAAAATTTTCATAGAAGGCTTCAACATCTCATAAAAAGGTCATTAACAAAATTTAAGCAGATTCTAGATTTTTTTCTTATGATTTGAGACCCAAATCATGCCAATGCTAAATATAAGATAAAAGTCTGAGTCAGCCTTTTTACTGCCATTTTAAAAAAATCAAATATCTCGAAAAGGAGTTTGATAACCTATCATTATTTTTAGCTTATTTTGTTCCTTAACTAATGCTCATCTGAGTTATAGTATCAATTTTAAATTCTAGATCTTTTTATTTCACCTAACTACATCCTTATAGTGCAAGTTATAAAATGTTCAATTACCTTTATAATAACTAATCAAAGAATTCAGATGTATATAGAAAAATATTAAACTTGTAACCAAGCAACACATTAATTCATGAATGTGCTTAGCTCATGAAATAATTATTTGTTTTGTTCACTAACAAGTTAATATTTTTCAATATCACAATTCTTGGATTACTTATTCTTTTTATTACATTGACTATGGACTTTTTAATGGAAATAAAGTAGAAAAATGCAAGTAACTATAATTTATCCTACGCATTCTCAATTCGTTTCAATGACAATGTCCAAACAGCACCAATTTTTATACGCCCGTCAAATTTTGACGGGACGTATTATGGTATACAAATGTCCGGTGTCCGTCCGTCTGTCTGTCTGTCTGTCTGTCTGTCCGGCGTAAACATGTCGCACCGTAACTTGAGAATTACTTATCCAAATTTCATGAAACTTAACATAGTTGTTTCTTATGATGGTCAAACAATCTGTATACTTTTTGGTGAAAATAAGATTAAAACTTTTTGAGTTACTGGACTTAGTAACTAAAACAGGTGTGTGTTTTTTTTCACATGTCGCGCCGTATCTCAAAAACAATTTATGATTATTGCTTAAAACTTTACACACTTCTTAGTTATATTAATCTTAAGATCTGTATACTGTTTGGTGATGATTCAAAATTTTATCTTAGAGATATTGAGTATTTTGTTAAAAAAGGGGGAGGGGTTTTTCACATGTCGTGCCGTATCTCAAAAACAGTTTATGATTATTGCTTAAAACTTTACACACTTCTTAGTTATATTAACCTTAAGATCTGTATACTTTTTGGTGATGATTCAAAATTTTTTTTTGAGTTATTGAGTATTTTGTAAAAAAAGGGGGAGGGGTTTTCACATGTCGCGCCGTATCTCAAAAGCGATTAATGATTATTGCTTAAAATTTTACACACTTCTTAGTTATATTAATCTAAAGATCTGTATACTTTTTGGTTTTGATTCAAAATTTTATTTTAGAGATATTGTTTTTTTTGTAAAAAAAAAAGGGGGTTTTCGCATGTCACGCCGTATGTCAGAAACTGTTTATGCCTATTGCATAAAAATTCACACACAAGACGACGGGCATATCATGCGCTCATGGCGCAGCTGTTTATTGTATGAAGTCAGAGGAGTGAAATAGCTGATTTATCCCATTTGTTTCACATGCGATGTTTATGATTTTAACCTGATTTTATTACAGAATGTTTTGTCTCTTTTCAGTCTCGTATTGTACGGAATGTAAACCCAACCTTTATATGGGTGTTGAAGAGAGATATAATTGACTATAGATTTCTGACAAAAGAACAGATGGTGAATCATTATTGCAAAGCTGGCTCATTCACTACTAAGGTAATTTGTAAAACAGATTTATATTGAACTTAAAACAATATTAATATTCAGTGTCTGATTTGATTAATTTTAGCCTCTCATTTTGACTCTAACATAGATAGATATTCTGCGGTAGATTTAAGAATAACAATACTGTAGAAAAGTTCCCACTTCCATTCCTTAAATTGATGCAGGTAACTCTTCAATTATTCTAATTCAAGATGAGCTTTTAAAGATTTCTACCATGAAATAAACTGAAAATTATGTCACTGCAAATAAGGGAGATAATCAAAATATTTTCTCATTAAATTTTCAGTTATTTTTAAGGTGACACAAAATCAATATCAAGTCCCTTTAATGCAGAAATTACTGTTTGAAGATAAGGCAAAGTACTTGATTATATTAAGGCATCAGTGTTAATGCTGAAGAATAGGCATCAATGTTATGTTGATAAATAGTACTTTTATTCTTGTTTACTATGATAGGTTGGTTTATGTGTAAACATGAGAAATGTTCCATGGTTTGAAGATGCAAATCCAGACCAATTTTATCCACGATGTTATAGACTTAGTCATGAAGAAGAAAAAAATGCATTTATAGGTAAAGTATTGATTTTGCTCACAGGAATATATACTCATAAATAGATTTTTAGAGGAAGCTCTTACTAAGATATTTATAAATTACATATACCAATAATGTAGATTTTATGTTGTTGTGATTTTCAGTTTTCATGGATTGAAGTAAAATTGTCTTTATGTGAACTTTGTTTCTTGCGGTTGACAATTCTGTGCATAAGCTTTTACAAATAGGAAATTTGTTTTTTGTTTAACACTTAAATTCATAGTTCTTATACCCAGAGAATCCACAAAAGTTAAAACCCCATGAATACATGAATTATAATGATACCAAATTGTACAACTCTAGATTGTTAAAATGATACCAAATTGTACAACTCTAGATTGTTAAAATGATACCAAATTGTACAACTCTAGATTGTTAAAATGATACCAAATTGTACAACTCTAGATTGTTAAAATGATACCAAATTGTACAACTAGATTTTTGAGATGTATAACTATGATCATGGCTATTTAATTGAAGAAATATATAGCAAATAACAATGGGAAATCTAGTGTAAAAAAAATTATCTCCCTTGCAAACACTGAAAACTTTCTGGTAAATTGTAACAATGGAAATAATTTGAAATAAAAACAAAAATTTTTATTCTATGTTATCATACCCTCCATATATATCAAACAGTAAGTTAAGCAGACAAAAGGAGCTTTGTGAAAAATTGGTTTAGAATGTTGCTGTTTGAATTAATTCCATGAGTACTAACTTCAATTTATTTTTCTACTGACTGTATACCTCTCTGGAACATGCCAATTGTTCATATATGTATGAAGAAGTTCATAAAAAAAAATATTAACAAAATCTATTCATATACAGAAAAGATTAACACTTTTAGAATTTAGTTACTATTTATTCTGATGTAAACATTTAATGTGAATAGATCATGAATTTTAACAATCTGGTGTTGTAAACTATTTGTATAAAGCTTTATATTTCAGAAGGTAGAAGACCTGAACACTTTATACCTTGTATGCAGATACATTATGTTATGAAGTTTCTGTCTGTCACATGTCGATTGTCCTTTACCTCATTTTCAAGGTTCAGTTACTTCTTGAAAAAGAATTAAAAGTTTTTTTGTCAGGTGAAATACCCACTTATTATGAATAAAAGGATAACTATATTTGGTATATTGGTTCCTTGCAAAGTCCACATGTCTGTCAGACAGGGTTCACCTGGACTCATTTCAAGGTTAAGTTTACCTGGGGAAGTCTGTATCTTAGATACTATAAGCAATAAGTCAACAATATTTGGTTAATGGAATGATTTTAAGGTGTACATGTCTGACTGATAGGTTTCATATGCCCTTGACCTCATTTTCATGGTTCATTGGACAATGTTTAATTTTTGTGGTTTGGTCTATTTCTCAGATACTATAAGCAATAGGGTCACTATGTTTTGTGTATTGAATGATTGTTTTTCATATGACCATGACCTCATTTTTGTCGAGCCTTCGACTTTTGTCGAAAAAGCGAGACATAGCGATCCTACATTCCGTCGGCGTCCTCGTCGTCGGCGGCGTCCACAAATATTCACTCTGTGGTTAAAGTTTTTGAAATTTTAATAACTTTCTTAAACTATCCTGGATTTCTACCAAACTTGGACAGAAGCTTGTTTATGATCATAAGATAATATTCAAAAGTAAATTTTGTAAAAAAAAAATTCCATTTTTTCCGTATTTTACTTATAAATGGACTTAGTTTTTCTGCCAGGAAACATTACATTCACTCTGTGGTTAAAGTTTTTGAAATTTTAATAACTTTCTTAAACTATCCTGGATTTCTACCAAACTTAGAAAGAAGCTTGTTTATGATCATAAGATAGTATCCAGAAGTAAATTTTGTAAAAAAAAAATTCCATTTTTTCCGTATTTTACTTATAAATGGACTTAGTTTTTCTGCCAGTTAACATTACATTCACTCTGTGGTTAAAGTTTTTAAAATTTTAACAACTTTCTTAAACTATCCTGGATTTGTACCAAACTTGGACAGAAGCTTGTTTATGATTAAAAGCTAGTATCCAGAAGTAAATTTTGTAAAAAAAAAATTCCATTTTTTCCGTATTTTACTTATAAATGGACTTAGTTTTTCTGCCAGTTAACATTACATTCACTCTGTGGTTAAAGTTTTTAAAATTTTAACAACTTTCTTAAACTATCCTGGATTTGAACCAAACTTAGACAGAAGCTTGTTTATGATTAAAAGCTAGTATCTAGAAGGAAATTTTGTTCCATTTTTTCCGTATTTTACTTATAAATGGACTTAGTTTTTCTTCCAGTTAACATTACATACAGTCTGCAGTTTAAGTTTTTAAAACATTTATTAGATTCATAAACTATCCTGGATTTTTACCAAACTTGGACAGAAGCTACTTACAATCAAAAGATAGTATAGAGAGGAATATTTTTATTAATTTTTTTCCTCATTTTTGCTGAGCCTGTGATTAACAGCAAAAAGTAGGCGAGACACTGGGTTCCGCGGAACCCTTACGAATTTTCATTGTTCATTAGTCAATGCTAAGTTTTCATGATTTTGCCAATTTATCAGATACTATTAGTAATAGGTCAACTGTATTTGATGTGTGGAATGATTGTAATGTGTATAAGTCTGTCTGGCAGAGTCCCTATGATCTTGATCTCATTGTTATGGATCATTGATAATGTACAGTTCATGTGATACTTGTAGTAAAACCTTTATATTGCAGACTTTCAACATAATTCAATCATAAGTAAAGCAGGCAAGACATTTCAGCAACTGCACTCTCCTTTTCTGTACTTGTGAATCCGCTTTATGCTAGTGGAAGTAATCAGATTGTCCAGAGTAATTTACTAATATTGTATAAGTTTATGATAAACTCAGTACTGAATATCACCATTTTTTTTAATGACTTAATTAAAGAGATGAAAGATGCCAAAGAGACATTCAAACTCATAAGTCGAAAAAAAAACTGACAACACCATGGCTAAAAATGGAAAAAGACCAACAGTACACAAAACACAACATAGAAAACTAAAGACTGAGCAACACAAACCCCATCAAAAACTCGGGGTGATCTCAGGTGCTCTAGAAGGGTAAGCAAATCCTGCTCTACATGTGGCACCCGTCCTGTTGCTCATGTTAGTACAAACCCGGTGATAAGTCTAATTCGGTAGGTCACATTCTGGGAAAAGGGGACCGTATTATAGTTACGACAATTGGAACATATCCCTTGTCATCTCTAAAACAGATATTCCATAATGGTCAACCAACTTGTGATGGCGCCTATAAAATTTACGAAGAGATGATTTCAACTTCACCACTTGGAATCTTACCAAAATAAGTATTCTTGTGACACTTGAACCAATATTTTTTTAGATATGTGCCCTCTTTACAAGTTTCTTTATACAACAACCACTCCTGTTATATTGGCATCAAACCTAATTTGTCTTGTGAAATTTATGGAAACATCTGTGGATACAAATACAAATACTTTATTAAATCCAATTAAAGGGCCTGTTTTGTGAACAAATACATGTCCGTTTGGTATCTTTCGCCTCTCTAAGCTATTTGAAATAAGCTTATGCAGGTAGCTTCCAAGAATGTTTGGTCACTTAATTCAGGAGTGCTCAAGATTTACTTCTGATAAAGAGTTTTGGTTTAGGTTTATTATAAGAATGCTTATATAATACTTCGTTCTTCGACAACCCTTAACAGAGAATGATGGCAATTTTGGATTAATTTGGGGTAGTACCGCAGCTACAGCTATTTCCTTGCAATAACTTGAGAATAGTTTAACCAATGCTTTTGAATTGTATTATGTTGTTACTGATGACAAAATTGAGCTCAAGTTTGATATTGATAGTGACAATTTTCACTTTTTTTTCCCCTGGAGGTATATGGTCCTTGATTGATTTGGAAATGTCACTTTATGTTGTTTATGTGCAATAGGTTGTGAACCATTCAACTACAGACTTTAAGGATTATGATAATTTCGTTACTGACAAAAAAGTTAACTAATCCAATCCAATTTCAAGTTTTAAATTTGGACCACAACATGATTTTTTTCTTGGCCTATGTTACAATTACTTAATTAATTTAGACATTTTAAAAAAAAAAAACTTCCGAATTAAATATTATGACCTTGAATATATTCCTCTTTTTTTCAATTTTATATATCTTTTGTTTTCAGACTTCTATGACGCTATTATTCTATACTGCCATACAGAAACATTTATGATATTACTGAATCATCACCATTTGTTTTCATTACATAACATCATATATTTTTTTTATGTATATACTGTTGGTACTCAAGTAAAAGTCGATCTGACTATAAGTCCGATGCCCTTTTCATGTTCAAAATCTAAGGAGTCAGTCTTGACCCTCATATAAGTCGGTCAGAATTTGGGCATTTTTATTATGCCCCCGCAGCTAGAGTGACATTAAGTGTTACCCTTGTCTGTCCCGTCTGTCCCGTCTGTCCCGTCTGTCGTGTACATCCCCAAAATTGGTTTCTGTTCTCTAACTTTAGTTTTCCTCAACCAAATGTTATATAACTTATACACAATGCTTATTACCACAAAACACAGATCAAGTTCGAAATTGGGTGGCGTCACTTTTAACCTTCATGAGTTATGCCCCTTTATAAACATAAAAATTGCTGAATTTTTAATTTCCGTTCTCTAAATTTAGTTTGCCTCAACCAAATGCTATAAAACTTATGCACAATGCTTATTACCACAAAACTCAGATCAAGTTCGAAATTGGGTGGCGTCACTTTTATCGTTCATGAGTTATGCCCCTTAATAAACATAAAAATTGCTGAATTTTTCATTTCCGTTCTCTAACTTTAGTTTGCCTCAACCAAATGTTATAAAACTTATACACAATGCTTATAACCACAAAACACAGATCAAGTTCGAAATTGGGTGGCTTCACTTTTACCGTTCATGAGTTATGCCCCGTTATAAACATATAGATTTTATAATCACAAAACGGTCTTAACAACGTGAATCCTGCATCTGTGTGTGGAAATTGACTCATGCATATTTACAAGTGGATTATATTTATTTTATGATCCTTTCATAAATGAATGTTTGTTTGTTTAAATTTAGTTTATGTTCATCATGATAATTCATATTGCTGTTAATAATAAAGATTTAATCATTTCTTGTTTTGATCACTGTTTGATTTAGCTATATGTTGTTTACATAATGGCTTGAGAACACAGTTATTTCGTAGTGCATTTCTTTTAGACAATAAATACAAATTAAAAAAATCGCACCTGCTCTATCTCAAAAAGATTTTTACAGTGTAGTGTACTACTATTGATACAAATAATATCAAAATTATAGAAACTTCTACCAGCTCTAACTCAAAATATTGACAATTCTGTGTTAAGGGGGGCTAAAATTCAGTTTGACAGCTTCAGACATTCTAATTTTTGACCTTTTTTAACTGGACCAAATCACTACTTAACATAAAGATTCAGCACCCAATTTTTTTTAACATGTAATTTCATCCCCTTACTTAATATTTCATGCATAAAATATCAAGAAATAAAATGGGAAAGTGTATCAAAAAAAAAAGCAAGTTATACACTGTTCATACTAGGGACTATATTTGTAGACAACGAAAATCAAAGGACGATAACTGTGTCCTTGGACCTAATGCATCAATGATTTTGTAGAGTATGACTAAACACCTATTGTAAGAGAAAAACCAATATAAACCAACAAGAAAAAAGAGTTGCATTGACTATGAATGTTGATCCTTTTCTATTCTAAAAAAAGATATTTATGCGTTACATTTTGTATATCGATATTTTGTAAATCTCTAGAAGCCTTCATCATTTGCCGGTTGCTTACTCAGCTTAGTTCATTGTAATTTCTAACAAACTCATATCTATACCAGTATATGTTTTGTCAAAACTATGTTTTAAAATATTGTACTGCTTCTGTAACATAATATTAATTTCAAAAGTTTCTTTGCAGATCTGTAAAAAATTAATTTTATTCCAATGATATAACAGATTCAAAGTTTTTGGTAGTGTTTAATATTCTAGACAGTCACATTATCTGAATCCAGACCTGTTGAAATTTGCCCCAAATTTTGATAAATTAATCATTTATGGTGTTGAACTCTTTTCCTTTGTTTGAATGAATGTTTTGGCTGATTAAAGAAACATTAAAAAAGAGCAGATAAGGTCTATTTTATACATTTAACAGGCCAACAAAGGCATCAGGAAGTATCTTATAAAATCTTAAAAAAATTAACTTTTCATGCTTTCCGTGTGTGAACTTTCCTGTCATTATGATAAGGAAGTTTAAAAGTAGAAGCGAAATTTGATGTGAATTCCTCATTTTTATCATTGGATGAAAATATTCATATAAGAAATAGCCTTACTCAATAACTTTTATACATAAAATAAGTATCAGGAAATTTAAAGCATAAGAAGAGTAAGGTATAACCTCCCTTTGAAACTTGATTATATTTTTATTTATATCTTTTATGTCACAATTTATGTATATGTCATAAATACTTATTATAGAACTAACAATTCCAAATATTATAATTAGAATATCAATGAAGTTATGACAGGTTATAGTATAATCAATGCACAAATAATTAAAATTTGGTACCTTTCCAATAAACTATCCAAGTATAAACTTACATAAATATTTCCTTATCCACATTAACATTTACAAACTTTAACATTTACCATATTTTTAATGAGGAAATTCTGGAAACAGAATACTTGCAGAATAAACTTTATGCATCATTGTCTTGAATATGTCCTTCAGTGCATGTGTACACATATATGTACTTCAAGTTAAATTTTACCTATGAATTTTATAATGGTATTTTAGTGTGTGTATTTAAATGTTTAAAGGAAATATATATAAACACAATCTCACAAAATTTAAACTGATAGTAGATACTTTTGTTTATACTGACATTGTTGTACTTCGTTGCACTTATATAATCAACTTGACATATATTTCATTATCTTTTGACATTTCATAATACATATACAGCGAATTATTAGTATCCATACATGAACAATGCAAATATTTTGTCCATTGTTTCCTGTACAATAAAAAAATATTACATATTTAAATGGAAACAATCTAAACTTGTTACCTTATTGTTTATTTTCAAAAGAAGATCAGTTGTGTATATTAACCTTTTTCTCTAATTAGATAATAAGCAATTATTGATAAAAACAAAAGGTTCTGTAGAATTAAAAAAAAAATACCAGTATTTATTTTATGTTTAAGGTAGCTAGTGGGTGTCTAAATGTTCCACCATAGATTTTTCATAAACTACTGTAAAAGACTTCTGGTGCAATGTATTTTCAAATTTCAATATAAAAACTGGGGTCACAGACCAAATATCCATTGAAATTAACGATATCACAGTTGTTTTAATTATATGGATTATACAGGGGAAACCTATTTTTTCCTTGTTGAGGAAACATTAAATGATAGAATTGGTTAATATTCTATGAGAAAATTGCTTTCATAAATACTTTCCAAATATAAAAAAAAACGGGCCTTATTTTCTTGAAAAAAAGAAAAAACACAAATTGTCCTATTAAATTCAATATTACCCCGGTATTATCTGCCCTTGATTTTAAAAGTATTTTTCTGAAAACTTTAAATTCAATTAACAGTACTTTATATTTTGATAGTATAATCTTAAAATTTGAAGTCTTAGATATTTCTGTTATTTATTGAATGATACTTTTTAAATATTTTTAAGCCAAAAGAGTATTTTTGCAACTTGCCCATAAGGGATGCTCAGAAAAAGACACCTGATCTAATGTAAAGAAATAATTTACAAAAGAATTACTCAGATGTATCTTAGAACCAATTTTTGTCGAGCCTGCGACTTTTGTCGCAGAAAGCTCGACATAGGGATAGTGATCTGGCGGCGGCGTTAGCTAACTTCTTAAAAGCTTTATATTTTAGGAGGTGGAAGACCTGGATGCTTCATACTTTGTATATAGATGCCTCATGTTACGAAGTTTCCGTCAGTCACATGTCCAATGTCCTTGACCTCATTTTCATGGTTCAGTGACTACTTGAAAAAAAGTTCAGATTTTTTGGAATGTTAAATTCTCTCTTATTATAAGTAATAGGATAACTATATTTGGTATGTGCGTACCTTGCAAGGTCCTCATGCCCGTCAGACAGTTTTCACTTGACCTCGACCTCATTTCATGGATCAGTGAACAAGGTTAAGTTTTCGTGGTCAAGTCCATATCTGAGATACTATAAGCAATAGGTCTACTATATTTGGTGTATGTAATGATAGTAAGGTGTACATGTCCAACTGAAAGGTGTCATATGACCTTGACCTCATTTTCATGGTTCAGTGGTCATAGTTTAGTTTTTGTGTTTTGGTCTGTTTTTCTAATACTGTATGCAATAGGTCAACTGTATTTGGTGTATGGAAATATTTTACGATGTTCATGTCAGTCTGGCAAGTTTTATTTGACCTTGACCTCATTTTCACGGTTCATTGCTCAATGTTAAGTTTTTGTGTTTTGGTCTGTTTTTCTAATACTGTATGCAGTAGGTCAACTATATTTGGTGTATGGAAATATTTAATGATGTACTTGTCAGTCTGGCAGGTTTAATTTGACCTTGACCTCATTTTCATGGTTCATTGCTTATGTTAAGTTTTTGTGTTTTGGTCTGTTTTTCTTACACTTAAGCAATAGGTCAACTATATTTGGTGTATGGAATGATTGTAAGGTGTATATGTCTGTCTGGCAGGTATCATCTGACCTTCACCTCATTTTCATGGTTGATTGGTCAATGTTCAGTTTTCCTGGTTAACTTTTTTTCTTAGATACCTTAAGCAATAGGTCAACTATATTTGGAATGATTTTAATGTGTACATGTCTGTCTGGCAGGGTTCAAATGACCTTGATGTCATTTTCATGGTTCATTGGTCAATATAGAATTTCCATGGTTTGGTCTGTTTCTTTTATACTATAAACAATAGTTCATTTATATTCTGTGTATGGAGGGATTGTATTAAAGGTGTACATGTATTTCCGGCTTGGTTTATCTGACCTTGACCTCATTTTCTTGGATCATAAATGTTAATGTGATACTTGTAGTAATATAGGGTTATTGCATGAATATTGTCCCGAGTAGAATTTTATATTGCACGAGCTTGCGAGTGCAATATATGTTCTACGAGGGACAATATTCCCCAATATTCATGCAATAACAATTTTATTGTTTAGCAATATAATATTTGAAAGTAAAAATTGGTTTAAACTAAGATTTTGTCGTTGATGACGTCATAAATTTTGAAGATTTATTGCACTAGTGCAATATTAGAATTTATTGCACGCTAACTTTTGGTTACTTTCTGTGGGAAATACTATATTGCTATGCAATAAAACTTTATATGTAGGACTATCAACATAAAATCAATGGTCAGTATAGTAGGTGAGACATTTCAGCGTGTGCACTCTTGTTTTATTAATTATGAAGTTGAAAATTTCCTTCATGATTAAAACTTGCATCGGTACAAGTTCATCTAAAAAGATTCCATGGTTATTAAATTTTGCAAGAATCTGTTTGTTTTCTTGACTTACATCCCTGACGTTACCACACAGGGTTTTGTGTTACTGTACTCCCAAGTTGGAAGGCTTTGGTTTGATTCCTTTATTTGTCTAATCAAAGTTTTTTATCATTTTGGAAGTATTAAGGGTATTTTTTATTTTTATTTTCAGATGACTTCAGAGAAACTGCCTGTGTGAATATACTTAAGATAATATCTAGTCAAAATAGTATGAATACTGTAGAAGAAGTTAATAATAATGAACAAAATCCTTCTGAAGAAAAGGATGCTCCACAAACCCCAAAGTCTACTGATCCTGCCACAGAGACAAAGGAACCAGCTGGCACAGTCTGTAGTAATCCAGAATGTACTAGATCTCGACCTGGTACTACTTCAGAGAATGTCTGTGTACATGTACAACCCCAACCTCCTGTAGATAAACCTAAAACTCCTGCAGGTTAGTAGTCATGGGTACCAGTCATTCATTACTAAATATGTATACAGCCACAAATACCAGTCAGTGTAAAGTTATAGAATGTATGTTGTCTTGGAAACCACTCAATTCACAGATTAAAAATAGTTTGTATGTTTGAGTTTATTACAATTTTCTATACATTTGAACAATTCTAATCCTCAGTCATTACATATTGGAAGTTATTGTGCATTAATAAATAAATAGTATTTCTCTAATTTTTGTGCTATTTTCACATTTCTTGACCGGTGTGAGAAAAATGTTTCTCCTCACTAGTGAAAAATTTGTTCTCTGCAAATGATTGGTCGAAATTTAATAATGACGTCAAATTTTCTTGGTTTCTTCTGAATTTTCCTATTGTGACGTCATGAAAAAAGGCGACCATGCCTGATGACGTCACATATATAAAGAACACAACTTTCTGCAAATCTTTGAAAAGGAAGGAAAAGAATCATTAGAGAAACAGATTCCACCACTATAACTCGTGTATTAAGATATTTCTCCACTCTCAACAGTTAAATTTAATGTATTTAAAAAGCTCGGCAAGCCTCACGCTTTAAATATTAAAATTTAACTGTCTCGAGTGGAGAAATATCGTAACACACTTGTTGCAGTGGTGAAATCTATATTTCTTGCTTGTAAACAATGTTAAAGGCCTACAAATATTGACTAAATTGGAAAATATTTCAGCCAGTTGAGCCTTATGATAAGGAATTTTGTTTTTATACGACCGCAAAAAAATTTTTGTGGTCGTATATTGGTATGACGTTGTCGTCGTCGTCGTCGTTGTCGTCCGAAGACACATTGGTTTTCGCACTCTAACTTTAGTTTAAGTGAATGGATCTCTATGAAATTTTACCACAAGGTTCAATACCACGAAAGGAAGGTTGGGATTGATTTTGGGGGTCATGGTACCAACAGTAAAGGAATTAGGGGCCAAAAAGGGGTCAAAAATAAGCATTTTTGTAACTTCCAGACATAACTTGTGTGTTAGTGTATGGATCTCTCTGACATTGTACCACAAGGTTCCATATCACAAAAGGAATGCTGGGATTGATTTTGGGGGTAATTGCCTCAAAATTTTAGGAATTGGGGGCCAAAAAAGGGGCAAAAAACAGCATTTTTCTAGTTTCATGACAATAACTTGTGTGTAAGTATATGGATCTTTCTGAAATTGTAATACAAGGTTCCATATCACAAAGGGAAAGCTGGAATTGAGTTTTGGGGTAATTGCCAAAACGTTTAGGAATTGAGGGCCAAAAAGGGGCCAAAAATAAGCATTTTTCTAGTTTCCAGACATTAACTTGTGTTCAAGTATATGGATCTCTCTGAAATTGTACTGCAAGGTACCATACCACAAAGGGAAGGCTGGGATTGATGATGGGGGTAATTGCCTCAATATTTTAGGAATTAGGGGCCAAAAAGGGGCAAAAAACAAGCATTTTTCTAGTTTCAGGACAATAACTTGTGTGTAAGTGTATGGATCTTTCTGAAATTGTACTACAAGGTTCCATATCACAAAGGGAAAGCTGGGTTTGAGTTTGGGGGTAATTGCCCTAAACGTTTAGGAATTTAGGGCCAAAAAGGGGCCTTAAAACACATTTTTCTAGTTTCCAGACAATAACTTGTGTTCAAGTGTATGGATCTCTCTGAAATTGTACTGCAAGGTACCATACCCCAAAGGGAAGGCTGGGTTTGAGTTTGGGGGTGATGAATCATAAGGGGGTTCAAAAAATTTGGGGGGGGATTTTTTTATTTTTCCTTTTTTTTCTTTTTTTCCTTTTTTTTTTCTTTTAAAATTTTCCATTTTATGTTGGTTATTTTTGATTTATATTTAAAAGCAAATAATAATGGTATGGTAGGAGATACACACCAAACAGGATGTGTAAATTATTATATAATAAGTATTGTGCAATAGCAAGAAATTTTCAATTGCACAGTATTGCACAATAGCAAGAAATCTTCAATTGCACAGTATTGCGCAATAGCAAGAAATCTTCAATTGCACAGTATTGCGCAATAGCAAGAAATATCCAATAGCACAATATTGTGCAATAGCAAGAAATTGTCAATTGTACAGTATTGCGCAATAGCAAGAAATATTTAATTGCACAGTGTTGTGCAAAAGAAGATACTTCGTATAAATTGCTTATTTCTTGACCAATTTCAATGGGGTTTTATTCTTGAATTCTTGGGGTTCTTTAATATGCTGAATCTAACTGTGTATTTAGTTTTTGGATTTTGGGCCCCGTTTTTAAATTGGTCCACATTGAGGTCCAAAGGGTCCAAAATTAAACTTTGTTTGATTTCAACAAAAATTGAATTATTGGGGTTCTTTGATATGCCAAATCTAACCGTGTATTTAGATTCTTAATTTTTGGTACCGTTTTCAAATTGGTCTACATTAAGGTCCAAAGGGTCCAAAATTAAACTTAGTTTGATTTTAACAAAAATAGAATTCTTAGGGTTCTTTGATATGCTAAATCTAAACATGTATTTAGATTTTTGATTATGGGCCCAGTTTTCAAGTTGGTCCAAATCGAGGTCCAAAATTAAACTTTGTTTGATTTCAACAAAAATTGAATATATGGGGTTCTTTGATATGCTGAATCTAACCATGTATTTAGATTTTTGATTTTTGGGCCCCGTTATCAACTTTGTCCACATTGAGGTCAAAAGGGTCCAAAATTAAACTTTGTTTGATTTCATCAAAAATTGAATTCTTGGGGTTCTTTGATATGCTAAATCTAACCATGTATTTAGATTTTGGATATTGGACCATAATAGGTGAATGTCCAATTTAAATTTTTTAAGTTCTTAGACCACATTCATTCTGTGTCAGAAACCTATGCTGTGTCAAATATTTAATCACAATCCAAATGCAAAGCTGTATCAAGCTTGAATGTTGTGTCCATACTTGCCCCAACTGTTCAGGGTTCGACCTCTGCGGTCGTATCAAGCTGCGCCCTGCAGAGCATTTTATTAGTTCGTGTGCTCCAAAATGTAAATTTGACAAAAAGTGCTTTTCTCTTGGAGATGTCTTACAGCCAGTCATTTTTATATTTTTTTCTATTTTAGTGCCAAGAATGCCTCCACAACCACCATTACCTAAAATACTGAATAAAAATAATAATAAGAAAAAGAAGATTTCAGTACCAATTCAATGTCTAGAACGTGCCATGGTTCAATGTGAGTGGTTGCTGATAGAACGAGAACATGATGATATAGATCTCTCAGGAACTTTTGTAAGTAATATTTGTTGCCCAAGCTATCTTTAAACACATTTGTTTTGTTATTCTACTGTTGTGGTGTAATAAACTTACCAGTATAAGGATACAAACTCCTGACTTGCTGGATAGCCTCTTCATCAACATGTTACCTTTTGTTTACTTGAAATTCAGAAATTTTTGTGTGCATTTATTAATGTGATTGTCAATCAAAGAACAAAATATGAAATGAATTAATAATCTTCATGAAATGCTGTTATACAAAAAATGAACTTTCTGCCGCTAAATTTACCAATAAAAAAAGTATAATTTTTGGCATAAAAAAAGGTTTAAAGAAATCTACATTATAAGGGTCAGGCCTTGCATTGGTAATCATATCAGATTTTTAAAATATTTATTATTATTTATTTTAAAACACCTTATTATATTTCAGAAATATGAACTAACCCAACAGCAGTGGGATGAACTGTTGAAATGGTACTATCAACTTGTGTGAGTAACAAATATTATTAATTAACATTGTATCATGTGTGTTTTGTTCTCTCCTGATTATCATTGTGTCATATTTGTAAATATCTGTTTTGATTACCATATCACTTTTATGCATGTTGCAAATGAATTTATAGATTAATATGATAGTTGTTGATCACTTGAAAATGCATGAAATATTTGCCACTGGACATTACTCAAACAACAATCAATCAACTGTTTACATTGCCCTGTCATTTTTTAAACTTGGTTGGTTGGAAATATTTTGAATATGTAACTTTAAACTTTGGTTTGTTATTGTTTGGAAAAAGTTGCTAATTCCTTTTATTTGCTTAAAACATTCCTTTTTTATTGAAAAACCCATAACACTATCATGTCTGTCAACACTAAGGTTGTGAGTTTGAACCCCGCACATTGCAAGTGTGTTCGACTCCAATCTTGATTGACCAGGATTGTCAGTCTTCCTACTGAAGGTTGTGGTCCTCTCGGGGCACTCTAGCTTCCTCCTCCAACAAAATTGACCACGCTGATATAGAAAATAGTGGCATTAGTGCTGAAAGTGGTGTTTAACACCAACAATCAATCATGTACAAGATTTAAATGTACAGCATGAAATTAAACTGATCATTGATTATGAATTTTTTTATTCTCTTATTTCATTCATTGTAATAATTCTATTGTTGACACTTTGTCATAACTCATTAAATATTATTGTAGTATTTTTGGTATTAAAGTTGAAGAATTTAAAAAAACCAAATGTACATCTTTCACAGAATTGATATTAATTATGAATACCGCATATCGGGTTTTTTCGCATGTGTTTAATTTTCACTTTGTTCGCAGCACATACAGAAACGCGAAAATTTGACCCCGGGTAAATTTCTTTGCCTATTTCTTGATTTACAGCTGTTCAAACGTTTCATACACAAAACAACAAATTATTAAGTTTACATAAAATTTATATGTAAACTCATTTCACCCTAAAGGTGAAATTACATTATATATAAAATCAGTCTTTTGTGTCGATCGGTAGATCACAAGAGTGTTTATAATTATTGAAGATATTTGTTTTTATAATGATTGAATTGGCTAATCATACATGTCATACCTTTTGACAACACAGCAGTCAGTGACATGTTCAAACATTACCTACGTCTGATGATTGTTGTCATAACCCGAACATTCTGCATTTAGTGTAAAAATTAAATTAAAATAAATAACATTTTATCGAATATTTGCCCAAATATGCTTTCAAAATGCTCTGCTATACCAGCACAAACTTGATCAAAACCTTCATTTTTACCATGCCGCAATGAACTTGATTTAAACGATTATTGAAAGATCTCTGAATATGTGTATTTAAGTTTGTAGTACACATATTTATTTGTAATCGATTATCTGTCAGTCAATGAATTTTTTTTTTTTTTTACGTCTTTATCAATACAATATGGTGATTTGTTCGAGTGTATTTTCCCACTCACTCTCAGCAAAAATTATACACAGCGAAAATTTAACTTCTCCATTTTCTCATCAAATTGCGAAAAAAAGCCGACGTGAAAAAACCCAGTATACGGTAAGAGTTTGTCATTTTAAACAGAATTAAACAGTTAGAATTGGGTATGTTGGTTACTCTTGAATATAGCCAAATGTCAGTTGGAAAAGCTATAAGAAATAACCATAAATGGACAATTTAACTAATAATTTTATAGAAATTTTACTGTTTCTTTAATAAGTATAAAGATTTTGTGATTGTCTATAATAAAGGCAGCCAGAGCCTGGAATTAAGCTGATTTCTAAGAAATAGCCAATGTGGCAAAGAAAAGCATATAAATTGACATAATAATACATGTATATTATGTGCTGCACAGATTTTTAGTTTTATCAATTTATTTATTTTTCAGTGATGAGGCAGTTATTCCTAACATCCCACAAAATATGCTCAATGAAGTGGAACAAATGTTGAACCAAATCAAAATTAAAAAACCCCAGTTTGAACTTGATGGAATTAAGAATGTATGGATTGTAAAACCTGGTGCTAAATCAAGAGGCAGAGGTATAATTTGCATATGTTAATAGATTTGAATATGATAATCTTTATATTCATAAATTAATGTGATGTTTTCATTTATAATGGAACAAATGATAATTGGTGAAGATTGCATTATTTAAAATTATCATTTTTATTTTAATCATAATTGTTTTAATAATCAATTTATGTGAGTTGCTTTAATAATTTTGCATTTTAGTTAAATTAAACTTCATCTATTTACATGAATATAAATAAAGTGCCCAAAATTTTCAATTTTCAAAAATGCATGGCAAATGAATCACACCTATTGGAGCCTGATTATATGGACCTAATGAAATTGTTGTAAGAATGACTTTTAATTTATTAATATGCAATTAATTTATTTTTCTTCCTTAAAATGCTCGCAGATCAATTTGGTAGCATAGAGAGTTTATGAAAAAAAAATTATTTCACACATTTTTCCTGATAAATCTAGCTGCATACTTTGGAATTTGAAAGTTTCTGTGATGGCACTTAAGATTTCTAAGTGAAACCTGATCTTTTATATTAAAAAAAAACACTGATTAAAAAAGGCAAGTCTCTTGTGTTTGATGTGTGAGTTTTAGACTTGCAGAAAAGAGACCAGAGCACTCGGTCATAAAAATTTACTCAGTGTCCGGGAGTACAAAATTTGTTCTTGAAACACTCATTCCAGTGTTTTGATTGGTTGGTTTCTGAGTCTGAGTATGACAATTGTGCTCAAAATTTTAATGACCGCAAAGACAAGATAACAAGAATCAATCAAACAGTTTATTTCTTATTGAAAATAAAAATAATACATTGAGCAATGTAGTCATTAGAAGAATGAATTATACCAAAAGGTAACCACTTGAACGTATTTTTTAGGTATTGTTTGTTACAACAAATTGGAAGATATGACAAAGTTGGTCAGTAGTCAAGTTGTGAGAAAAGACAATAAATATGTAGTACAGAAATATATGGGTAAGTTTATACTCCGTAAACCTAGGAAATCAAATACAAGGGGTGAAAAAAAAAAAAATTGGGGGGATAAGTTTCTTAGATTTCATGGGTATAAGTGAGCTATGAAAATAAGTGTTACTCCTAAATGCAGCATGCTTTGCAGAGAAACAACAAATTCCAATTTACAAGTCTTTGGTTTGATCCTTCCAGGGATAGAAAACCAATTCCTTCAGCACTTGAGGCTAGAACACTCCATGAGACCATGTAGGCAGCACTCATGGAAAAGATAAATTTCTGCTTTCTTAAATTTTTGCTTTTGAAAAAAGAGGTGAAAGACACCAAAGTTACAATTAAAAACTTGTTGAAGAAAAACTTGAAATGCCATTGCAAAAACAAAAGACTGATGAAAAGACAAACAAGTCCTCAAAACGCTACAGTATCTCAATTACATTAACTATATAAGAAATTTTTTCTCAATGTGATATTTCAGCAATTTTTTTTTCCATTGCAAATTTTAGACACACATGACATTAACCAAATATATAGTATAATACCAGTACATAAAACATAAGCCTAAAATAGAAAAATAAATAATGAAGTGTATTATTTATGCACTGGTTATATGTTTTGTTTTTTATATTTTCAGAGAGACCATTATTAATATACAATACAAAATTTGACATTCGTCAGTGGTTTTTAGTGACCGATTGGAATCCATTAACGATCTGGTTTTATCGGGATAGTTATTTACGATTCTGTTCACAACAATACACATTAGACAATTTTGATGAAGCTATACATTTATCTAATAATGCAATACAAAAAAATTATAAAAATGGACCAAGAAGTAGTAAACTGCCAAATGATAATATGTGGACACATGACCAGTTTAAAGATTATATAAAGTAAGTTTTGATTTTTGGGCTGTTCTATTCAACATAAGGTAATAAAAGGAAGCATTTTTATTTGCTATTCGATTTAAGAATGTGTAGTACCCCAAAAAAGGTACCCAAAATATAGGAGATAATATCAAGCCATTGTTAAATTGTTTCTTATTGTTAAAATGTTCTTTTGGATAAATATTCCTGATTTTTTTTTATTGTTTATAATTTTAAACTATGATATGATATTGATGGCAATTATAATATATAAGGAGATAAGATATATTTTCATATGTGAAATTGGATTGCAATTAGTTATTTTGTGAACAAAGTCCAAACTACACACTTAGGCATATGTTGTGTATAAATAAAAGGAATATCTTGGATTTATACCAGCCACACAAACAAATAATTAAGACATCTAGATATCAATATACTATCTTCAACAAATGTCAATACAAGTTTGTATTATATGAATGGATTGCACTTGCATTATTTCATACCCCCCAAGGGTGACTGGGGAATAGAAGTATGGTCACCATTGGTCTTCCACCAACCGGCAGTTAAACCCTTGCCAAAGTGGGGCATCCGTTTGGCTGTGTGGGATGTACAAATTTGCAGCCACGTCCGGTCAGAATGGGAACGATAAATCCCATGCCTCGTGTAAAGAGAGTGCCACACTCTTTGCACGTTAAGAACCCTTGCAACAACTCTTTGAGGGGTTCGTAGGTGACCTGTTGCAAGGCTAAATTTCTGTCCCTATCTAATATACCCTCATTTCCTGTGGCAGTCCAAATTTCTCCGACCTTAATCCTGGACGCCTCTATTACAGAACCTACCTATTGTATTTATTGTTAATTTGTTCTCGTCCTGAATATGCATGAAATATTTGCCACTGGATGTTGAGCAACCAACAACCAATCAATCAATCAATCATTATTTCATATAGTAATTATGGATCTATCTTTCACTACTCTCTATATGACCGAGTATTTTTGAAACAGTCCTTAAGAAGATAGAATTATGATCAGTTAAATACCCTATTTTTCTTCCAGTAGATCATCTTATTGTCATTACATAGGATTTTTTTTATAATTTTTAGGTCAAGAAAATTAGGCAATCTATGGGATGATGTGATATATCCTGGAATGAAGAATGCTATTGTATGTGCTCTGTTGTGTACTCAAGATATTATAGAATATAGAAAGGTAAATAGAAAAAGAAACCAATTAGTGTTTTCTTAAGGTTTATTATTACAAGTAAAAAGTTTCATACATTTCACTAATGATGATAATTTTCATTTCAAGTTCATCTTCAAAAGATAATTTAATCTCCAAAAATTTTTTTTTTTTTTTTTCTACAACAATTATTTCTTTAAGGTTTTTGTAGAGCCTGCGACTTTTGTCGCAAAAAGCTCGACATAGGGATAGTGATCCGGCGGCGGCGGCATTAGCTAACTTCTTAAAAGCTTTATATTTTAGAAGGTGGAAGACCTGGATGCTTCATACTTTGTATATGGATGCCTCATGTTACGAAGTTTCTGTCAGTCACATGTCCAATGTCCTTGACCTCATTTTCATGGTTCAGTGACTACTTGAAAAAAAAGTTCAGATTTTTTGTAATGTTAAATTCTCTCTTATTATAAGTAATAGGATAACTATATTTGGTATGTGCGTACCTTGCATGGTCCTCATGCCTGTCAGACAGTTTTCACTTGACCTCGACCTCATTTCATGGATCAGTGAACAAGGTTAAGTTTTGGTGGTCAAGTCCATATCTCAGATACTATAAGCAATAGGTCTAGTATATTCAGAGTATGGAAGGACTGTAAGGTGTACATGTCCAACTGGCAGGTGTCATCTGACCTTGACCTCATTTTCATGGTTCAGTGGTTATAGTTAAGTTTTTGTGTTTTGGTCTGTTTTTCTTATACTGTATGCAATAGGTCTACTATATTTGGTGTATGGAATGATTGTAAGGTGTACATGTCTAGCTGGCAGGTGTCATCTGACCTTGACCTCATTTTCATGGTTCAGTGGTTATAGTTAAGTTTTTGTGTTTTGGTCCGTTTTTCTTATACTTTATGCAATAGGACTACTATATTTGGTGTATGGAATGATTGTAAGGTGTACATGTCTAGCTAGCAGGTGTCATCTGACCTTGACCTCATTTTCATGGTTCAGTGGTTATAGTTAAGTTTTTGAGTTTTGGTCTTTTTTCTTATACTATATGCAATAAGTCAACTTTATTTGGTGTATGGAAATATTCTATGATGTACATGTCAGTCTCGCAGGTTTTATTTGACCTTGACCTCATTTTCACGGTTCATTGCTCAGTGTTAAGTTTATGTGTTTCAGTCTGTTTTTCTTAAACTATAAGCAATAGGTCAGCTATATTTGTTGTATGATAGGATTGTAAGCTGTTCATGTCTGCCTGGCATGGTTCATCTGACCTTGACCTCATTTTCACGATTCATTGGTCAATGTTTAGTTTTCTTGGTTAAGTCTGTTTCTTAGAAACTATAAGCAATAGGTCAACTATATTTAGTGTATTGAATGATTGTAAGGTGTACATGTATTTCTCGTTTGGTTTATATGACCTTGACTTCATTTTCTTGGATCATGTTAAGTTTATGTAATAGTTGTAGTAAAGCTTTCATTTAGGACTATCAGCATAATATCAATGGTTAGTAAAGAAGGCGAGACATTTCAGCGTGTGCACTCTTGTTCATAGAAAATGAAAGGATATGGAGTAAATGTACATGGGACAAAATCGCACACAATACATAGAAAAAATAGAAATTGATCAATGAACAGGGCTTTTATTCCTGTTCAGTGTTCTGCATCTTGACAGTTGATGTAGGGTCTTCAACAATGAACGAATCATTCATACCCTACAACAAGGTCAAGACGGCCCCTTGCGTCGACTTAAGCGGTACTATTGATAAAAATAAACCACAGTTCACCTTCTTGCTCCCCACCCACCTCAGAGTGCCAACCTGTGCGATGCTTGTGTACGACGGTTCTCCAGTCGAAAGCACAAGGGATACAAGAAAAGTGCAGTAATTTTGAAAGACATCGATCGCCGCTAAAATATGCCTTGAAGTTACACATGTCGGGAGCGGTCAATGAATTACATAATTTATAATTACGGGCGAGGTTTTTCAACATATATTTGTCATACATTGCCCAACAAAAGACCAATAATTTCGAAACAACAAATGATAGACAATATATATAAAACTAAACAACAAATGATAGACAGCACGGGGCACATTGAAATATATGTAAGAAAACCTAGCAGTTTAAAATAGTATGAAAGGGCAATATACAAAACAGATGACCAGACCAGTATTTTGAAGAAACTAAACATGAAATTTTGACGGTGTATTAATATGAGAAATTCTCACATGAACAATCACACCATAACTGTAAATATTATATAAGAGCATACACCTCAAGCACGGGGAAACGTTCTACTGCCTCCACACAGCACTAGAGACAAACTCTAGAATCATACAATAGATTTTTTTACATCTGAACAATCAAACTTCAAATGGCCATTAAGACATTGGTATTCAAATATTTTTAAAAGCCTGTATACAAATTCATGCTTTTATTCTTATAGTATCAATTCCTGTGCTTCATTATGTAAATAGAAAGCATGATAACACTCATGGATAAATTTCTTTCCATTCATAATGGAATTACTTTCCAGAAGCAGATATATACTTTATAATGGTTGCCTTGCACCTCAACACATTTGATTGTGAAACACTAACAGGGGAACACTTTGTTAATAATGTAGATTCCATACTATTTTTTCAGTCCTCTTTTGAATTGTATGGTGCTGATTTTATGCTGACAGAAGATTACCAGCCCTGGTTGATAGAGATAAATTCTAGTCCAAGCATGGAAAGCAGTACAGCAATTACGTCGAGACTCTGTGCTAATGTAATGGAGGACACGATGAAAGGTGCAGTATTTGTCTGTTGTCCTGAATAAAGCAGTATCAGTGGATATTTGCCTTGTGTAAATCTTTTTAAAAAATTGTGGTTGTCAAAAAAAATAATGTTTGGCCCAAGGCTTCCAAAACGGTCATATATTCCGGACATTTGTATAATGTCCGGTAAAAGTCCAGCTGGGCAAAGCACGAAACGGTCATCTACTTTTTATTTTTCAAGGCTTTCTTAAGAGACGGTCATTTTAACATAATTCGCGATCTTTTTGACCCAACCTTTTGCCTTTAACAGCCACACATTTCCGGTCATTAAAGTGACATGATCATTAAGTACTATCAAAACAACCTCTGCTTTAATACCTTCTCATTTTAATCAAGGCTAATTAGTTGTCGAACAGCTGAAATTTACCTGTTCAGGTGACAGGTAAACTATTTTGAACCGGACATTGATCTGTCTATTCATAGTTATTTTCTTACATTTCACCGGTTTGCATCTAATTAATTTAGTCAAAAAGATTTAAATTATCAGAATTACATTTACAAATCAGATTTGATGAAAAAATTAAAGAGGTGAAAATGAAAAATCGTCATAACCACGTTGTTTGAACCAGAGACATGTTTCTGTTTGAACTAGTACATGTGTGCGCATGTGCATGTGCACAGGTGTGAAATTTAATTATGCATCCTAATTTCTTAAAAAAATGCTTAAATTGTCATTGATACCTTTATCTCACATTTATTTCGAATATTTTCTTGAAGAAATAACGTAGAATGAGCTACTTACACTCATTCATGCTTTGCAATGACACGGAATTTACGTATCCGTCTCTGGTCCATGTTTTACCATTGTCAAGATAACATCCGGTTTCAGATTTGAAAAACGAAAGTAAAGTTTTTGACAACGTTATTTTGCACAAATAAAGAGTCTAAGGCAAATATAAGTATGCTGATGTTGCACACTTCGGATGGTGCACTGCCAATTTAACAGTTTACGTCAGAACTTCGAATTTGAATCAAAGAAAGTTTAATATCGTTTTTTTTAAATATCAATCATTGGGATGGCAAACTCGGCAACTGATTACCATAATTGCCTTTTGTTTATTTAGTCTTAAGGGATTAAAATCGGGATAATATATAAAATGTCCGGCTGGCTAAAAATAATTTTGGAAGCCCTGGTTTGGCCTAATGCAATTAAAGAGAATTCTATTTGTCATAGGAAAACAGATTTCAAGCTTTTTTGATCTGGAAACGAGGAGAAATATCTGAACTTTCCTGTCTGTTAAACAGTTATTAAACATTTCACATTTCAATTTGCTGGTATTAAATCAAGGTCTGCTCAGTTTATCTTTTCTTTGTTTAATAGATATACTTATTAACTTTACTAAATGATAAATACTAATATGCTTTGAAATTACTGAATAGGTCTGAGTTGACTGGAAGGGAAATGTTCGAACATTTATGAATTTACATATAGGATAAGGTCTTAAAAAATACTAATATCATGAGATGTTAACAAGTTCATATATTTCTTATTCTGATTAGATCTAAATTTCTATTTCATTTTTACATAAGGCTATGTCCACAGTTAATGCTTCAGTATTAATATTATATGTTCATAGATATAATTGCTATTTGTTATTGTTTGTTTGGCTAGATTTTAAGGATTTTTTGCTAAATAGTTTGTACTGTTTTCGAATCAGTGTTATGAAAAAGATTTAATATTCATATTATCAATGTAGATATTACCGAAAGCTTGTTACAGCTTGTAATTAATAGCATTTGATTTTGACAGGGGAGATAATTCAGTATTTATTTTATTTACAAAATGAGAAAAAGACACAGAACTTATCTTTGTTTTAACAACATTTTTATGAAAATATAAGCTTTTAAATGTATTAAAATTTGTTAGTTTGTTTGGTTTTTTTTTTGCTCTTGTTTTTATTTTATTTTTTAAGTTGGGTTTTTGTGCAAGGGAGGTAATTTTACATTACATGTTTTATGTTGTTGTATAATTAATGAGATGTTTATCAGATGTACAGTAAGTAACACTATGGCATGATGGGTAATGGTAGATATATGCTTCATATAACTTGTCTCTTGTCACTTATAATATTACCCTATTGTAGTATTTATTATCTTGTCACTGATATACTCCAGACGTATTGAACACATCTGTCTCTAGGATATAAAATATTCTTTATATAAAATATTCTTCATCGAAAGTTGGTTTACCAATAACAATTTTAAAATTTAAGGAGTTTAGTACCTGCTAAGCCCAACATTTTTCTTCAAATAACAAATTAAGAACCAAAAGGACAAAAAAAAATTAAAATTGAATTCTTTATTATTTTTAGTCTATCTGTTGTTTTACAGCTCAATATTGAGTATGTACTTAGTTTTAAAAACAACGATATAGTTATTTCATAGTACACCTAGCCAAAAAAAAACCAAACTTTCCACTTAATTGTCCTTTGTACATACTCAGATAGGTATGATGAAAGGAACTTTTGCCTGAGTTCCCTTTCTTTTACATAAAAAAAAAATGCTTTAGCTTTGCATGTGACATGCATGTTACGTTCATTTGTTGTCATTTTTTTTTATAGCACACCATTAGAATAAATGTATAAGTTTGTACACTATTTATTTGATACAAATCAGTGAAAAATAAATGAAATAAGATTTTCTATTAGCTTTTTATAGAAAAGGAAATCATATTATAAATGAAATTAAAACTTAGATTTCATTTGGTTACATTTGTCATTGGATTTACACCTCACATCAAATTCATATTTGTATATCTTCATAATATTTAGATACAACAGATCTTCACTTATTTATGTAACCATATTTTGTATATGTAGGTAAAATGTTTTTATAAAATTATTATTATTATGTCTCTTTACTCTTATTTATAATATATGTAAGTAGTTTTCTTATCCCAATTATTCAGTGTTATACCTTTTCATCACTTTTAACAATAATAACTTAAATGATCAAGTAAACCCATATGTTAAATGTGTGCTTTGACAGTGGTCCTCCTTTATTTTATTAAGAAATAATGTTTCACTTGAATTTTGAGATATCTGTACAGATATTTAAACTAAATATAACAAAATGTACTCTTTTTAGTAAATATTTATTACACCTTGGTGGAAGAATCTTTTTGGTTTATTATTTTATGGAGGCTTTTATGTTATAGTTTTGTTATGTTTCACATAGTATTTGTAGCAACAATTTTTAGGGGTTATATCTTGAGCTAAATGTTTTTGAACTGAAGTACAATAAATTTCTTAAAAATTTTTATTTTATAATTCTAATGCATTATGATGATGCCTGGTGTCATTTCCATGATTGATGGTCAGAGATATTGCACAATCACAGGGATGTTTTCATAACATTTCAAACATCTATTTTGATTATTTCACTGGTATTGCATAAGAATAGGAATAACATTACTGTGTTGGATGAGTTGCCCACATCAATTTCAGATTTGACAGTGGCATCTCTTCAAACAGTACTATTTAAATATTATTAAATTTTAGAATTCTCTGTACAAGAGTTCACTATGGACTTTTTGTTTACCATAGGGTTACAGATTTCACTGTACATGTATCAGAGTTTTGTACACTAAAATATGATACCAATATAGATGCCCTTGAAATTTTCTATTTTTCTGTTTTTTCCCCAAGTTTTCTTAGGAAATTCAAAGTTTACTCAAATTATCTTAATGATTTTATACTTACATTTAGTGTATTTTAAGCAATCCTATTGGAAATTTTGATATTCTGTATCTTTAGCAATCCCATTGGAAATTTTGAATCAGTAATTGACAGGAAGGCATTTTATTCTCACGTTGATAATTAATATTTTTATCTTTACAGTTGTGATTGATAGAAAGTTTGACAGGAATTGTGATATTGGGAGATTTGAATTGGCATATAAGCAGCCCCTGGTAACAGTGCCCCCATACATAGGGATGAGTCTGGCAGCAGAGGGACAAGCCATTAAGAAACCAAGCTTCATAAGGCGAAGCATACAGGACAGTAACCATGGTAATAATGAGTCTGCGTCCACCAATGCAAACTGTACTCCACGTAGACAGCCATCTAATGCTGTGACGTTTAGTAGACGTCCCCAGAGTGAAAATTTGGACCAGAGCAGTAACAAGCATGGGTCCAACTCTGCTCCTGTCAAACTTGGTAAGTCAGCAACTGAAAATCGTGTCAGTCAGTCTAAACAATCATCACAACAACAGACTAAACCTATTGTCAACAACACAGAAAAATCTTCCAGACCAGAGAAGTCATCCAGTTACACAATACGTTCCAGTAGCCACTCGGATGTTGTCAATGTCAAAGCAAAGGAACAGAATATACCTCCTTCCCCACCTGTGCCAAAACTGGAGAAGTCTGCGGCTATTCCAACTGCTAGCATTATGCATTATACTCCAACCAGAATGGTTTCTAATACGTCTTGTTCAACAACAAATTACTCCATTCCAAACTTAGGTGACAATAGGCCAAACCTTACCGTAAACAACGTTGAGTCTACAGACTTAAAGACAATCAAACCAGCATTATCGTCGAGTACAATCACATCTAAAGGTAACGCAGAAATAGATATGGTTTACAAACTGGCTGCTTTTCCTCCAAATAAGCCGCCAAGAACCAGAAAAAGGATACATCAACATCGTCCTTTAGGACATCAGATACGTAAACCAAAAGAAATATTTAAGAGGCCAGAGGTTATGATCACATTTCCCAAAGTTCCTTATGCTAGTGTTAATGTCAGTATCAAGGGTTTGTCTTCACCTAGATTGAAGTATTTCAATTTGAGGAGAGAAAGTGAAGATATATATCGATCTGACTTAACACCAGTATCAATACCCTAATTTCTTTTCAGAGTGAAAACTGTTTGATTCATGATACTATTGATTCAGGGAGTCATTTTGTTTGGATCCAGTTTTAGGCAAAAATCATTCAATGTAATATATTTCATTTTGGTGAAAAGGATAAGTGTTTATATAAACAGAAATTTTTCATTTGTATGATGAATGCTAAAACATTTGTTGTGTAAATTCAACATTTTAATGATTTATTCTTATATTGATACAATTCAGTCACTTTTTTATGTATTTGATCAGGAGTTACTGAAAAATGATTGATAGTTGACTGAATTCAAATACTTTATATATTTCTTATAATTTTACATTTATTATCGCAGACTTTTTTCTGTAGATTTTTTATGTTAATACAAAGCTTCAGACTATATAACAGTAGGATAAATTAATTAATAGTTTGGCTTTTCTACCATTTATAACAGGTTATTTAACCCTACAGTGCTAGAGTAGAATTCACTCCCCTGATTAGAGTTCACTCCCCTGTTAAGAGTTCACTCCCTTCATCATCTATTTTTCTTAACTATTCTTTTACATAACATCATCTAAGACATTATATCACCACTTTTGCTAGAAAACACTTTGGTGTCATATTACTGTTTGGAGTGCACTGACTTTGGTGTGGGAATGACACAAAATCCTTCCATCCCCAAGTTAACTTGATAGAATGGGTTTAAAAGGGATAAACCTTGGAATCAAAAATTTGAATTGAGATTTCAGTTATGGATAAATGTTAAGAAAAACATTGCTACCCATTTTACAGCTAAAATACTTGAACTTCGAGTGTGTATATAGTGCATAAAATTTGCTTGCTTGTTATTTGTAAAATGTAGAAACTAACTTGGTTTTAGGGGGCATTTTGTTTTTACATGTTCAATGATTTAATTGGCCAATGATGATTATGAAGGCTCTTTTAAAGGACATTTAACAAAAAGATGTTGAGTTTATGGTCCACCTAGTAAACAAGTAAACTTAACTTCATTGTCCTTTGTACACACTCAAATTTATATGCTGTGAAAAATAAAAAATGCCTATTGTGAGATTTCTTTGAATAACTATACAGAAAATTTCAGAAAATTTTAATGAACGCTACACTTTAAAGCCTTTTCATAGATATTTTAAAAAAATGAAAAAAGAGGGAAAGGTATAAAAGAAAAATTCGAAACTGAAATTTATAGAAGCAATTTTTTTTTTTCATCTTTAAATTTTAATCTGTTACTAAAATTACAACAAAAATGATATCCATCTCTAATGAAACTGGACAGATAACATATTTTCAATACAAAATATTATTATCAGAGTTTCTATTCATCTAAGTAAAATGTTCATTTTGAAACAAATTCCATCTAGCATTGTAGGGTTTTAACCAGAATTATATAACAACTTAAGAATATAATAACTAAGCAAAAATTGTTTTGACTTCTCAAAATATAATGAAGGAAAACAGAACTGGGCAAGAGTGGAAAATACAAGTGTGTTCATTGAAACACTATGTGATGAAAAGCCAAACAGGAAACAGAAGTTTGTATAATACATTTAAATTAGACATTATGTACTGACTTTGATGTCAAGAATTGTTTATTTGAAGGCAAACGTCGACGTAAGAAAGGACAGTCATCGGGGAGCAGTTACTATACATTTCAGCAGTTTCCACGTCATCCAATCAAATTACATCTAACGAAAGCTTATATCCCAAAACTTCCAGTCATTAAGGTCCATATTGTTAACCACGGTAGTCCAAGTGTTGAGTTTTAATGGTGAAGGTATAAATATTAACCTCTGGTATACTGACTTTTGGCTTATGACCACGTTTACACACCCAAGTGGCACTTTATATAGTCAATATAAATATATCGCATGTGGTGTAGGTTTATGGCACATTTCTGGCATGTTATCATCACAACATTTCTCAGCTAATATTAATATTGTGGAATTGCATGGTGGTATATTTTTAGAGGTCGGTGCATGCTTTATTTCTGCATTGAGGTGATGGTGCTTGCTAGTTAGCGATCAATTATTGTCATTCCAATCTTTGTTTCTTCTGTTGTTTTTTCTTATTTTCTTTCATTTCATGTCTTTTTCTCATCATCTGTATTTGCTTCTAAAAGGTCACTTATAATTTTGAGCTCCTTTAATAAAGCACTTATTTTCATTTTGTGCAATTAAATTGACTTACCATGAGAAAAAAGCTGCAAATATTTACCATATTAACTTAATTCATGTGCATGTAATACCCTCATAAGAACATCAAAAGCATATAAAGCTAATACAATTATCAGTTTAATGAACAATTTTCTTAAATTAGAAATTCATACATCCTTTGGTAAATGCATGTACTTTTACCAATTAATTTTACAAAGGACCTTTAGTTAGTTTGGAACAGTTGTCCATTTGTTCTCTGTGCCTCTTTAAGAATTTAAAGGACTATCAGTTATTTCATTATTTAGACTCCCAAATGATAACAATGTTTAGCCATTAGTTGAATATCCATTGTTTTGGACATTGTTAACCAATCAACCATTTTAGATACTTTTTAAAATATTACCCAGAGTGCTCTAAATTCTGAAGTTGTGACTTGGTAAGATGTTACATGTGGTACATTTTATATAAATGTCTGTAAATCTTTAATGTTGTCTGTCATTTCTATATCAGTTGTATTATTACATGACAAGTATTTGAATTGTCCCTATAGGAATATTGGATGTATAGTTTCTTAGTGCTTTTTTATATTTATTGGTCCATGGTCTGCATATCCTTCTACTTCTGATTCTTCGTCTGTTCTGTAAGTAAACCTTTTTTCTGTCATGTTAAGGAGATAAGAATCTCTGACTTAGGCCTTGGTGAATAACAATAACAGTTTTCACACTGCTCACAAACAAACATTTTACCTTGTTAAAAGACAACATATAAATCTTCAACTTGGAAACACATTTGGTTGATATACATATTTATGCATGTTCTTTGCAACATTTCTTTGCCTAGTGATTTATAAGCTAGTAGATTTTAGCAAAGTTATAGATGACCTTGGTGAAGGGTATTTAGACTCTGAAGGGAAAAATACCTGTTCAAAGAACTATACCTTTAGCTTGATGTAACCTTTGACCTTTTAAACTTTTAACCTTTATCTCATTGTAACATTCTTGTCTTATTAACCAGAGGAAAAGCTGCCAGTTTTGTTGTTTTATGCCTCAGACAAGTTTTTTACTGCAAAAAAAAAAAATTTCATTCTTTTTGTTTCCAAATTCCTTTTAATTCAAATTTAAAATGATTGACTTCTTTGGAGATGCCTCCAAATTGATTTTTTTTCCAAAGCTTCAACATTTTTCATACTGACGAATTTATTAGTTAATAAGCAGTTATATAACAACTCTGAAGCAAATCTAATTATTGCTTTCACCTTTTAGCTTGAAAAGAACACCAATATTTGAATTTAGATTTGCAAGAAAATTGGTTAACACATGTATGGTGTACACAATAAGTAATTTTATCTACATTGTACTTCCAACTGGATGAATTTCCCATCATTCAAAATTTGGCTATTCTTTTATCATCTTAGAATCTAAACACATTATGACTTGAAAAAATGAATGAGAGTTATAATTACATCTATACACAAATATTGGTGTTCATTTTATTAACATCTATATATGCATTATTTGTATTAACCTTTAAACCAACATTTCCATTTTCAGTGTTTCTAACTGTATATTGTTTGTTGTTGTCTGCCTATATACACTCTACATCAATGCAACTACATGTAGTACTTAAATATTTGGTATTCAAAATGATAAGTATAAACAGCAAATGAAAACAAATATCAAGTAACATTTAAGTTCAGGGGCCTTTTTGACTGAATGGTCAAGATCTGTGTTGGTATCCTGATTTAAGAATGCCTGACAACTGAAATTGTTCCTGTATATAGAAGAGTCCAGTGCATACAATATTTTAGTTCTTTTGTTTCAATACCAGATTTTTTTTTTAATTTTATAGTGTTTGTAATATACCTGAAACACTGTATTATTTCCAAAAAACATATATATATATATCAAGCCTGATGGGATAGTTTGGTGAGGGATACAAACTATATTGTTGATGCTCATAATGGGTTCCCCTTTTGGTATCTGTGTAAGATTGCTATGCATGATCCAAAGGTTCATTTTTCAAGGACCATGTTTTATGTTTGAATTTTTACTTGAACATATATACATGTATGTGCATATATTTTAAGGTTCACTCTTGAGTCCCGAGTCCCCATGTCAAAATTAATTGATATCTTGTCATCATTTTTGTCCCTACATTCTACTTTGAAGCTGTGGCTTTGTTTATTACTACACAGATGTCTGAGGTTAAATTTTATGATACTAGGACCTAAGAATGTTTCTGTTCTATTTTTCACCTGTTTTTCTCCCAGTTATACTGTAACCTGCACCAATCACCAAAAAAAACCACTATTCTCAAGGTAACAAACAAAGTTTTTATATTTTTTTTATTTTTAAAAGTTGATATTAATATGTGATTTAGCTTTATTTAATGTCCTAAATTAAATTTTGTTGGCATTGATTATAATCTGAAAGAAAATTAGATGTTAAAGTTATTTCCATATCTGTGCATATTAACATATTTTATTTCCACTCATCTCTTATTTATTTCCTTGATTTTGACAAAATTGACCTTTATTCATCATTCTGCTGTGGCACGATTATTACTAATTATAAATACTTTGTCAACATCAATTTTAACTTTAATACTTACTGATGATACTCCCATGAAAAGGGGGATTTGTTTTTTTAAATTGAAGGCTCACACATACTACATGATGTTTTAGATCAGTTTTATCAGCAAAAATTTTGAGGCTTAACATTAGAAGTTGTTAGTTTTCATTAAATATATATCATTCAAATGGTATGCACGCAAATGCTGGGAATAACTCAACAGTTTAAAAGAGAAAAATAGAAAATTTATTGTTTCTAGGTAACCATTGATTTTGAAAGTCTCAATAATTTGCACAGTTATCTAAATTTAATTGTGGGATTTTTTTCCCTTTATTTTTTCAATTCAAGCTTTTTTAACCAGTTAATAATACTTAACCCGAAGAAAATCATTTCCATGACAGAGTATCAATTTCATGTCATGTTCATTTCTTAAGCATTTTAAACACATTTTCTCTATTTTAACATTTTAACTAAGGTATCTGGACAAATTTAATAACTAAGGCCACATTTCTCATCCCCAACCAAGATGTTTTCTTTATCCAAAAAAAATAAAAAATTTCAGTTGGATTTTCTGTTTTTTTTTTTCTACAGTACACAAAATATAGCAATTGTTCAACAAATTTGTATAAGAAATCTAGGATTTTTGTATAATGGCTTAAAGGTTTAATTCATTTTCCAAAACATACATTTGTTTGCTATTTTGATTAAGTTTCAGATACCTTAGTGTTTGGTTGATATGTTCATTCCAATCTTGTCATAAGTTTTGTTTCTTCAGTGATTTGTTGGTATTTTGAAAAGGAACCTCTAGAGGAGACTTTTTTTCTATTAGTGTCTTTTTCTTCCATTTGTTTTTGTTTCTTAAACTTAAGATCTTTTCTCCCCAAGTTGGACAAAAAAAAATTGTAAGTACTTTATATAGTTTTAAATGATATTCATTATATTTTGACATCAATGATATGTTCAATTTGTATTATTAAGAATTATAGATATGAACGAGTGTTACTTGATATTTGTGTAATTAGGAAGTGAATTATTACATATTTCTATGAAAAAAAAAAGGATTATAATGCATGTAGGACTGTTTACTTTATCTACATTCTCTGATTAATACCAGCTTTGGAATTACATATTTCATACCCACAGAAAAAAAAAGAAAATTTTACTTTTTTTACAATGCTTTGAAGAAAAGAAGAACACTTATATATATGTATGCAAAGAAAAAAGAAATGCTTACATGTATTTAACAACTAAGGATACAGGCAAGCTTACACTAAACTGAACAAGGCTATAGGTTGATTATGTTAAATTTGGCCATATTTGATTGAATTATGTTTGGTACAAATAGCCTTTTTAACCAACTTTTAAAGTCATGTTTGGAGGAATGATATACAGGTACTTCTCATTTAGCAAACCAGGGATGTAAAGTCCATTTATTTATTACTCCCAAAATTCTGTTACGGTACATTTTGTCAAAACTTTTTTAATCCTCCCTGTCTACCAACCAATTTGGTGGTCATAAGTGAAAGAAGGAAAAAAATTAAGTGCCAATCTGCCTAAGAATCAGGCAGTGGTGAAAACATGACAAGCAAAAACCCATTCAGCTTTACATTAATTTGAGTTCAGAATGTATAATGGTGCATGAGTATAACATTTGTTTCCTTTCACAGTTTTGGTAATTCAAGATATAATTTGGTTGAAATGCACTAGAAATCAACAATTAAGGGGAGATAACTCCATAATTTGCTATCATTCTAACCAAAATTTATCTAGATATATCTCGAATTACCATACACGCAGAAACGAAAGATCTAACATTTCTAACTCAGGATGAGGGTTCCTTCAAAATAGGTTGGTTAGGTTTTTTTTCGGCCATGTTTTGATTTCTTTTTAAATTGCCCGATTCTTACAAAGACTGGCACTTAAACAAAAACTATATGATGAATCAACAAAATTCTGTAAGTAGTGGCCTCATTTGTTAAATGACACTGTTATCCAAGTCAAAGTACCTACCTGTTTTTTTAAGTATATTTTTCAGAATTTTAACTACCTGCCCACCACATTTTTCATGGATTCCTCTGTGCCACCTTCTTGAAAATCCTGAATCCGCCATCAGCATTAAATATCCTCGAAAGGGAGATCTGTATTTCGTTAATAATATTTCAAATGACTTATCATTGTATAACCATCTTCCTTTGATTTCTATTTTAGATTCTTAAACTTTGGTCCAAGTTCTTCTATCTCTTATTTAACCATTGAATATTTAATCCAACTCATTCACTTGTTATACATACGCAAGATAAAAATCTGCACCAGAACCTCTTTTTGTCATTACAATTGATTTGCAGTAAAAGATATATTTGGTGAAGAATTTGCACTGTTTCTTATCCTCAAAATGGTCTAATAAAATTTCCACATTGATAGGTCTTTAGGTGTACAAGGGGTAGTGGCATGAACTTATGATTTGTTACCCACATTTCATCTTGGAAAAATTAAAGAAATTTTATCCGTAAAAGATGGAAGGAAGTGTGTTGATATCTTTCCTGGTAAAATATATATCTTGCGGTAGGATACCTGTGGTTTGAAGTTTTTGAATCCCATGTAAAAGATAGAGAATGGAGAAGGACAACAAGGCAATATTCATTTTATGGTACTTTAGGAGTGATGAATATTGTACTATGCATGAAAAATATTTAAAGAATCTGAAACTCTTAGAACCCTTATCGTATTCAAAGTATATGGTAAACTTCCGTTTATGAAAAGAAATTATTTGGTAAGGCTTGGTTCCTTTGGCATATTGTCACTGTATATCATCACCACCGGATATAGGTACCGTTGGCCTGGTTCTCTGTTCATTGTCTAAGAAAAACTTCGTTACTGTACGTATACCAACATATAGATACCCAGGTAGCTATACACTGGTATTTGTACAGTAATGTTGTTTTTCTTAGACAATGAACAGAGAACCAGCCCAATGGAAACTATATCCGGTGGTGATGATTCACAGTGATTGTATGCTTGACATTAAAGAATCTCTATAAGTTAAAGTATATACTAAACCTAGATGTCCTTCTCAATTTGTTGTTTTGCTTATGGGACTTCAAACCATGTGACTGCTGACAGTGAGTGTATAGCTTAGCCTGTATATTTATACACAAAATAAAGTGTGTTTAACATTGAAGTTCAGTCCTGTATTTTTTAAATTGTAACACAGTAACAGATATCTCAGCTCAAAATATAATACTAAAGTTTTAAGACTGTCAAGACATTTTTGCAAAAAGATAATAAAAAAAATAATCATATTTTATAAAACAAAATGATTAAATAATGAAAACAAATATATGAATCAGTTATCAGGCAAAACTAAGAATAGAAAAATTTAGAAAATGTGTTTAGAATTTTTTTTACTTTCTTGACAGTTTTAGAATTGATATATGATTGTCTAACCATTGATTGATTTAACCTTTGTGCCAGCAATAACTAACAGCATCATTTTCTCAACAGGTTTAAATCCCTTCATCGATGGTAGCTGGGCTAGGACATGTTCTCAATGTGGAGGTGGAATGAATTTACGTCTAGAAAACTATGATCCTAATTGTAAATGTCGGCAAGACAGTGTGTATTTTCCATCTTCAAAATCTCCTACTGGTAGTGTAAGAGGCTTTCATCCAAAGAGACCAAAAAGTAGCTACACTTCACGTCCAGCTAGTGGTAACTCAGTTAGCGGACGTGGGTCTGCTTCTAATCTTGCTATTACTTCTGCTCGTAATGATAAGACCTTATTGCGCTATACAGATGGAGGAATTCAGAGACCTAATTCACCACAGTTATATGTTGGTGGTAGTCCACTTCCAAAAATTGTAAGACGGTATATTGGTCGTCGAACTATGCCTTGTCATGAACTATCTTCTGGGTATCCTTCAACTTCATCTATATACATTGACACATCTCAGATTCGTAATCCATTATCCATTATATCACACGGTATAGGGAACAGATGATATAGGAAACCAGTATGAATGGTCTCCCTTTTCATGAACTGAAGGTTCACAAGTGAACCGATAATAAGTATGAACTGCACTTGTTTTGAAATGAAGGTTCACAAGTGAATTGTGTTTTTTCTTATGTGATAAGTCATTGCTAGTCACAGATTTTTTCTCATAAAAGTTTTTTTTAAATGTAATAAGAACAGTTAAACAAATGTTTGTTTATATGATTTAAGCAAGTTCAATTTTGAAAGAGTGCTTTATTGCCTTCTTTTATAAACGGAAAGTTTTGTACAGATCTAATCAACTTTAAGAACTGTTTTAACATGTTTTCAAAGAAATAATTTGTTTCTTAAGTTAAGTAGGAATAGCCCTATAAGTGTATACATTTTGTATCTAATTGATCCCAGCTATCATGTTTCTGTAACTATGCGATCAGTGTTTGAAAGAAAAGATGAAGGATTTTTGTATTCAATTTTGTAATATCTTTGTATGGCATTGAAGATTTAAAATATAATTTTGTAATGGTATACGTTTCAGTGAGAATTCCAGAGAGATTTTTATTTTTGTCATAAAATGTCTGTGATTTAAGTTACCTCAGGCTAAGATGATCTCAGAAAACTGTATTGTGCCAAGAAATAAAATTGAGATCCATATTGCTTTCCATTGGTTCTGATTGTTTCTCTTCTCCTGCTTTTATGTCGTCTTACACAAAGAAGGGATGGATTTAGGGTGTTTGGCATACTAGCAAAAATTTGGAAGTTGGAAATTTATGAACCTTTTTTAAAATACAAAAAAAAAATGATAAATTAGTAACGTGCCTTCATATGTTTATCAAACATTTTTATGCCTCTTTAATTTAGATTTGCAGAATGAAATTTTTTTCCTATCAAAACTTCAAAGAAATTATGAGGTCTATGTTTATTCCATGTTTTAAAGTTGTTTAGACCAATTAAAAAGTGCTTTGTTAATTTCATATTTAAGATATATTGAAATATTTCAAAAAAAATGTTTATATTATCCTCGCTTACTTATAACTGGCCATATCTGCATTTATTATTAAAAGGGTCAATTTTAACAATGTTCATATCAAGAAAAAAATATGTGAAGGACATTTTATGACCCATATATCAATATGTTATGATTTGTGCCAAACATTTTTTCTGCTCATTGTTTTATTTGTTGTAGAGGTTCCTTTTGATATGTTTATCTATACACTGTAACTATTATATATCTAATTGTTGAAAACCTTAGCTTGTGTTGTTGGGCTGCTGTCTCTTTGATGGATATCCTCCTTTTATTCAATATAAGATATATCTCAACAGGTTAAATAAATTTGTAGGAATTTATCACCATGTTTACAATATTTGGACTCTGCAGCAAATAAAGACCAACAAGTCAAGAGGGCAAATTTCTTCCACATGTTTTTGTTCTCGAAGAATTCATTTGCCAGTAGTATAATGAAAACTAAAAGAAATTAACTTAGGTCAGTGACTTGCTTTTTCCAGTTACAAACTGTCTCCTGGCAGTACCGGTACCTAAAAATCAGAATTTTATTAGGAAATTTTCACTAGATCCCATCATTACTTGATGGTAAATTTCGATTGACAAAAAATGTGTATGTCAGGAAGTTTCTATAGCAGGTAAGTTTTTCGTCAGGCCCTCACAAATAAAACTTGACTGCAATATTTATCAAAGATCGGATAAATGTTAAATCCTAAAATAATTTTAGTAAGGAAAGTAAATTTTGTTCACCATTTTACCTTGACTGTTTAATTAAATTTCTGGTACCTGTATTGAAACTTTTACCCAAAATTTTAAACATAAAACATATATGATGTCAGTGTTTAAGAAGTTGCCTTTTCAATTGTGTCTTATTTTATTTTACAAATATTATTTTAAATTCCAAGCTACCTGCTGTTATGGAGCAGATAGCCATTTAATGGAAGAATGCTCAGATGTTCAAAACACTTACTCTTATGGAGATATATCTTTGGGTTATTTTACTAAAAAATATGATTGTTTTTGGTATTGTACTATGCTTCAATGATAAAGCATGCCACTGTGTGTGATGAAAATTATACAAACTTGGTATTTGGTGTAGGATCATATTTAATGAATTGATCACTATGACCTATATTTCATGCATCACTGACTTTAAACTCATGTTTAGAACCATTGATGTTAGGTCTTAATATTAGAATATGACAATGGTTTTCTTGTTACTGTGGCATTGAAATTTTATTTTTACTGTTTATTTGTTATCTGCTTTGTTCAGTTTTATTATCACTGTGTGATTTTGTTACATGTTTTTACTGTCCGCATTCCTACTTTTCATAAGATGTGAGTTGACTCCCCGAAAAAAATCAAGAGATACCAAGGGTGGAAGGAATGCACCATGCATAGTTTCTATGGGGAAATCAGTACTTTAGGCATGTGATGAAAAATGTATCAAAAAGCCTTTCAGAAGTTACATAAAATTAAGTAAATAAAGTTTAAAAAAATTAAATGTAAAAAAATAGCTATTCAAACCATTTTAAAATCTCTACTAAGATGGGAAATAACTCTTTTGAAACTTTTTATATGAAATGTGAAGTATGGAATAAATTTGTGGGGGGCACAACTAACTTTAATTTAATTGTATTCAGATAATTACTCCCAACTTGCAAGGTATTCACCTTTTTTTTTCCAATAAAATTCTGGTTTTTTTGCACTGTTATAAAAAAAAATCAATTCCTTTACTGTTGTTAAAGCATTATATTTTGTGATTTTTTTTTTTGCCATTACAACTGACAAAATATAAAAAAAAAACATCAGTATAAAGTTTTCCTATTTTTGGTCAGTTTTAACCAAAAATCAAAGCTTTGTTTTTTGAATTTTTTTCATTATTAGACACTGATTTTTAATTGCATTTTGAACTCTTTTGTGATAATTTGAGTGGTGCTATGTTTTGCTGCTGAATATTACAGAATTTTGTTGACTATACTATATTTAAAGTCACTGTATAAAATCCTACACACTTTTGAAATTTTCAATATTATTTCATATTTTAAACTTTATTGCTATGATAAATGATTTATTTTTATATTCCACGCTCAAAATTAGCACAGCCTGAACTGTTATTCGTTATAGAATACCTTTATCTTCAGTTTTAAATCTATATACCGGTATAGTCTTTCCCCACATTAAAAGTTGGATCAATAATGAATTACAATGGGATCACAATATCTTTTACATTCTTCATTTCACCTGTACCAGAACAATAACAAAAATACAGCTACAATTTACATTGCTTGTTATACTGTATGACTTTATTTATAGTGAAGCAAAGTTTCATTGAAATTGACTCCAACGGAGTAAATTATTGTGTTTTAACACAGGACCACTAAAAAAATTCGACTCCCAATTTAGGTGAGTTGGAGAAGATAGTCAACTGTACTTACATTCAAAATTAATCTATGTGAAGGAATATTCTGTATCCAAACCATTAATCTAAAGTGACCCCAGCTTGATTCTTACTGGCAATTAAACATCCATCGGGTATCCACTTCCCAACGTAAAGAAAATATATTAAATTTGAAAAAAGTATAGTCTACCATTAACCATATCTCTTAAAATTTTGCATTTTAGTTGTTTTGTAAGATTGAAAGGACTGAAGATTTAATAATATATGACATATATTTAGGTTTTCATAATACCTATAGTTTCTTAATGCACACAGGTTTGATTTATTACGAAAATTGTATCGCTTACATTTTATCATTTTGTCATCAATGAAGACAATCTATATATATTGACCCAAAAGGGAGGATTGTTATTCTTGCATTACTGCAGTTCTATACGCTGGATGGTAAACTTCTTCATATACACATCACTGAAAAATACCATTGAAAGTTCATTATCTTATTTCAGATTAAAGTTTGGGATTGCACTTTTTAACATCTCATCTAAATGGTAAAATTTGAATAATTGCCTATTGTTTTTAGTGATTGAAATATATTTTATAAAGCTTGATTTTATGTGGCTCAATAAAATATCTGACAACAGACATTAGTGGCAATCCAGGAGAACAGTTCAGGTAGTTAATCAGATAAAGCATAATGAACTTTTTCAATCATATTTTCAAAAGTGGTGTATCAAGCTGGTTATCATCTTTGCATTGGTGATTGTTAAAAAATCAAGATATTTGAGTTAGAAGTTTATTTAAAGGAATAATTCAGATATCTGTTTTAGAGATTGTGATCAAGTTTGTTGATTTGTCTGTCAGTAAAGAGTTTTTTGTGAATGATTCAATCAAAATAAAAGTGCTTAAATGTTATGGCTTTGGGAGTAATGCTGGCAGAAAACCGTTTTCAGTTTGTTACTTTTTAATTCTGATTTGTGGCATGCTTGTTTTATCTTTGTGGTAAGATTTCAGTATTGAATACTGAAACTTAAGTTACATAAATACATTTGTATTTATAAGTTAAAAGTTTTTCACTGTTGTGAAGGGTAGATGTGTAATCAAAGGAAAGAATACTTTCATAACACCTAATTAAGGTCAAAATTATACAATTTTTAGATTTTAATCAAACTTTTTAGATTTAATTTTCAATTTCCTTTTCATAAGGAGGTCTTCCTTTTTGTCTTTCATTTGACTTTTTTCTGGTGTCAGTGGATAATTAAAGAAAACAGAGTTGAACTATGTGTCTGTAAAGGGTAAGATGTACCAGCTGTTGAAGAAGGCAAAAGGGAACATTAAAAAAATACAGAAAATCTAATATTTGAATTCTGGCCTAGAGGTGTCAGTTAGTTTTTAAACAATTAAAAAAAAAACTATATAATTGTTGAGTTTATGATACTTTGTTTTAATTTTTTTTAAAGCACATGTGATAAAATCATATGTATTGTCATAAAATTGTTTAGAGAAGTTTTATTTATACATGTATATTATTTTAATAAATTGTTATGAGTTTGTAAATCTTGTTTTCTCTTTTTTTAAATGATTGATAGTTGTTTAATACAACTGTCTTCTATACATGTCAATTTTATAATTTCATTGCTGTTTGAAGGAAACTGTGCCTTTGGCAGGTATCTATCTTTATAACATACAGCTTCAAGTCAAGTGCACCTTTTTTGTGCTTCACAAAGCCGTGTTCAAAATCACCCTAAACCAGTGAAAGGGTACAGTGATCTATAGAAGACAACCAGCTACATCCACAAGTCAGCCACCAAGGTCCCTTTCTCATATTATCAAATAAATACCGTAAATTTAGAAATAATTGCTATGTTTTGATTAATGTTAAAAATGCAACAGCATCAGGTTCACAATGATAAAAACTCGCATTAAAAGTAGTAATTTTAGTTCATAAAATTTTTGCAATTGCATTAATTAGATTTTGCTGCAGAGGATTTTTGTCAACAACTGAAATTTTTAAAATCTATTCATTGACTGTAAAATATCTGCAGCTGACCGGTTCTAAGACTATTTTGGACCCTAGTTATACATTCTATTTTTTTTCTATTGCTATTGAAGAACTTGTGAAATTGGTGAGTCATTAATTAATTTGTAATATGTTGCACACTGAATTCGAAATAAGAGTAAGTATATGTAAAGTCTGAAAGTGAAATAGATGTAAGCTAGTGGCCGTCTGTTCAGTTAAGAATTTTCAAAGCTGTCTTCTATCTTACACTTCGTATTGACTGTCTATTAAATTGAGAGCTTTGGCAAAGCTGTCTTCTTACACTTTGTATTGGATGTCTATTTAGTTGGGATTTTTATCAAAGCTGTTTTCTTACACTTCGTATTGGCTGTCTATTAAGTTGAGATTTTTGTCAAAGCTGTCTTCTTGCACTTCGTATTGGATGTGCATTTAGTTACGAGTTTTTCAAAGCTGTCTTCTTACACGTCGTATTGGCTGTCTACTAAGTTACGAGTTTGTTAATACTGTCTTCTTACACTTCGTATTGGCTGTCTATTAAGTTACGAGTTTGTCAAAACTGTCTTCTTACACTTCGTATTGGTTGTCTATTAAGTTATGTGTATGTCAATACTGTCTTCTTACACTTCGTATTGGCTGTCTATTAAGTTACGAGTTTGTCAAAGCTGTCTTCTTACACTTCTTATTGGCTGTCTATTAAGTTACGAGTTTGTCAAAACTGTCTTCTTACACTTTGTATTGGCTGTCTATTAAGTTACGAGTTTCTCAAAACTGTCTTCTCACAATTCGTATTGGCTGTCTTTTACGTTGACAGTTTTGTCAAAGCTTACACTTTGTATTGTCGGTCTATTAAGTTGAAAGATTTGCCAAAGCTGTTTGCTTACGCTTCCTGTTACTAGTAATTGGCTGTCTATTAAGTTAAGAGTTTGCCAAAGCTATGTTCTTACACTTTGCATTGGCTGTCATTTTTGTTGAGAGTTTGTCAAAGCTGTATATTCTTGCACTTCGAATTGGCTATCTATTAAGTTTAGAGTTTGTCATAGCTATCTTCTTACATAGATAAGTAGGGGGAAAACCAGAGCGTAAGCGTTGTGTAACGTACGTTTAATCCATTGATAAGATCAGTCTATTAAAACATTATTGTAACATCGACAAACTTAACTTATCCACGGTAATCTGTCACACAAATATAAAGGTCATCCAAAGTAAACATTCGAGATATTCGAAGTTAAAGAGTGAGATTGTTTTGACACAAAATTTAGATAATCGTAAATTACTATTGTAACGACAATCAAGAGTATATTTTAGACACATTATTCCATAAATTGTAGAATAAAGTAGCAAATTATTTTTTCTTGTGAACCCATGTTGTTTTCAGTTGGAGTCATTTCGTTTACTTTTGGTAAAAAATCTTCGAATTGTCGTATTTTCCAGAACTTGAAGTTTAATCGAAGTTTAACAGGTTGTGGACAACCCATCAAATGGGGAATAGTTCCCCAAATAAGTGATACTTTTCTAGTGTTAACAAAATTGTAATACACATTTTATACATAGCACAGATTCATGAAAAATGCAGCAAATTTTTTAACCAAAACAACCCTAACCTGATTTGCTGAGAAGTTAGTAGGCAATGAAAACCTTTTTTTCAAGCCTACTAACTTTTCTAAAACTCAAAAATAATAGTATTGTTCTTTGGAAAGAACGGTTGTTCCGTTTTTCTATAAATTTGTGCCATTTTAAGTAAAAAGACTCAGCTAATATAATTTTGTTTTAGCACTGTCAAATGTTTACTCAGTAAATGATTTTTAACTCATTCGGGGAATAAATCCTTCAGACTATCTGTCATACTTGGTCTTCGTTGATTTTTTTTGGTCATAAATCAGGCTGTTGTTTGTCGTTCGGATTGTTTCACATTTTGAATTATTATGTTAGGGTCTTTTGTGGCTGACTATACGGATTGGGTGTTGCAATAACAAGAATTAAGCTAGTTTTATTCTATGCGATATATTTAATATGATAATATATTGATTCTAACAATACAAATCTCAGTTTGGTGACTATGGTGATCGCATCTATCTTATTGAAGTTAAAATACAGGATATTACAGATGTAGTTGGTTTATCTTTCACATGCACCTTAACTTTGAACTAGAAGTTGACAGCAAATGTCAGTTGAGACAAAAATGACTACACTTCAGTTGTAGCATTGTGAATATTTTCGAAAACAGCTAGAAAAAGACATAATTGATATCTTTCCAGGATTTTTAAAATTATCGGAAAAAGAGAGATTACAATTACTTCTATCTTTATTTGATAATATGCAGCTTACTGCCGTTCTGTTCATTAAAAAGTCATGTGCACTGAGGAGAGTGGACACAACACCTGCATAAGTATCATTACAATTTTGTTTACTTTACCGGTATATATGATGTTTAATATTTTATAACTGTGTATATATTTGTATTGTATTGTTTATATGCCACCAACCCCTCGGGGTATAAATGTGCATTTCATTAATGAAATAAAAATTCTCTATTCTGTAAACCCCACCAGAACCTCATTTATAGTCCTCCTGGACCCGTACTGAAGAGTTGTTGCAAGGGTTCTGTAATTTGCACAGAATGTGGTGTCACCGAACGTTTACATTTGTTCCGCCCCCGGAAACTTTGTCATACACAATGCCATTATATCTGTTCCTGTTGGAATAAATATTTTATACCCTTTATTCCGTTAGGAACAAATATTCTATACCCTTTATTCCGTTAGGAACAAATACTGTAATATTTGTTCCAGTAGAAATAATATTCGGGAATATCTATATCACTTGTAACTGATATTATGAAGAAACTTCTGTTCCATGACACTCTCTCCACACGACACATCGAGATCAACGTCCCCATTCCAACTGGACATTGCTGCATATAAAAACGCAGAGAGAAGAAATACGAAATATCTCGAATTAGACATAAGCGGTCATCTCAGTACCAGAATCTATGACAAACGAGATGATTTTTATTTTGAAATTATCAATTTCCCTCACCTTAGTAGCAATATACCAACTTCACCTGCATATGGGATATACATGTCCCAACTCATTCGGTATTCAAGAGCTACTCAGACTGTATAAAACGTCACCAGTGTCTGAGCAGAAAGCTGATGAACCAGGGTTATGTCAAAGAACGTCTCGTTCTTTTTCTAAAAAAGTTCATTAGAAGATACCAAGACCTTAAATATTCCGTATCAACTTCACAAATAATACATGATGGTCGTGATGTTCCTTTGGCACCATCTTACGGTGTTTATATATCACAACTCGTTCGCTATGTCCGTGTCTGTTGTAACGTTTCGGATTTCAAAGAACGTAATCTATGCATGTATTACTGGTAAATTATGAAGGCAGGGATTTCGTTACCACAAATTACTTAAAACCTTTACTAAATTCTTCCATAGATATAAAGATTTGGTTTTTTGAAGTTTGGTTGTACCTGTAGAAAACTTATTTCAAACGGGATAACACATCCTCATTTTACGGAGATGTTGTTTACCGAGCCCGGAAATTTGGAAACGATCCGGGTAAACTTATCGATCCTTTAATATAGGATTAAACGCCTTTTTAAAGGAATTTATTGGTGTATAAACTCGACCAATTCACTCACAATCAAATAAAAGTCCGAAGGACTTTTATGATATGTTTGTGAGTGATTTGGTCCAGTTTATACACCAATAAATTCCTTTAAAAATGCGTTTAATCCTTATAATTCTTTAAAATCGGAGATAAGGAATTTATTTTTCCACACTCGTAACCTCTATCACACGTAAATTGTATATTTGTGTCATTGAATTGGCCTAGCGCATGAATATATTTGTTGGTTAACGCAAAAATATGTACTACTTGAAATTTGCAATCTGAAAAAAAAATAACAATTAAAACTCTTATTATCATTCAAATGAATGTTTTGTGTTATTATTCAATTTAACGATTAATGCGAAATGAAAATAAATGTTTTAACGTCGAGACAGATTTGTGTTATTATCGCCGCCATCTTGTTTACATTGGTTACAAAAAGAAGTTCGGTCAACGTCGTCTATCGAAAAATAAACAACGTCAAGAACAACTACCCGAAGTTCTCTCGACCAATCATATCAACGTTTTCTCTAATATGCAAATCATATAAGAATTATATAAACTTATCCTAAAAGGTTACCAATTCAACACTGTAATTAGATCTTTGAATATTGTTTTTATTGGTATTAATATTGATTTTGTTATCAGTAAATTAAAATCAAACTAAATTTTATTTTTATATGCATAATTTTTTTATGCACATTCATGGCTCTACAATCTGTCGATACCCGTATCTTGGCATTGCACGTCCACGTCCACTCTGTGTTTTCGTTAGATGTATTTCTATTTGTATCCATCTAATGAGTTAAGCCTTTTTCAACTGATTTTTATAGTTTGTTCTTATGTTGTACTGTTACACCACTGTCCCAGGTTAGGGGAGGGTTTGGCGCCAACAAACTAGTTTAACCCCACCACATTTTTTATGTGCCTGTCCGGCCAAGTCAGGAGCCTGTAATTCAGTGGTTGTCGTTTTTTGCTGTGAAACATATTTGTTTTCGTTCATAATTATGTACATGAATTAAGCCGTTAGTTTTCTCGTTTGAATTGTTTTACATTTGTCATTTCGGGGCCTTTTATAGCTGACTATGCGGTATGGGCTTTGCTCATTGTTGAAGGCCGTGCGGTGACCTATAGTTGTTAATTTCTGTGTCATTTGGTCTCTTGTGGATAGTTGTCTCATTGACAATCATACCACATCTTCTTATTTTCATATTGAAGCAGGGGCGGATCTCGAAATTTTCATAAAGGGGGGGGGGGGGGGGGGGGGAGAGAACTGACTGCCATAAGAGTGGCCCGCTCTAGTCATGCTTCAGTGCTCCCTTAATAATCAGCCATTTTTTTCCCACAAAAGGGGGGCGGGCACCCTGCCCCCCCTGAATCCGCCTCTGTGAAGAATAGATTCTTGGTACTGAAGTTGTTTTCATCTTAATTACGTGTTATAGTGTTCTTTTATTTGTCTTTGTAAATTATTTACTATTACTGTTTAGTCCATTTTTGGTAATATGCTTTTGGCGTGGCTCGGTACTCATACATCCCGCCATTGACTTTGTGTTGTTGTGCTATTGTCATTTTTTGTATTCCTGTCTTTCGTTTTGCTTATAAGCTTTGTCTAACGTTATATATATGTCATTTTGTTTTTCTTTGTTGACATGTTTGTTTGGTTTTTTTTTACTAGTGATTAAGATTATTACACAATGTTGACTGCTGTACTCCTATTTTTGACATTTTTACCTATTAGGTCTGTTTGTCAAGTTTGTTCACACATTGTTGTCAATATAATGGAATTTTATGCGACTGTCATACAAGTGAAAGGTTTAACTAGCTTAAAACCAGGTTTAATCCACAATGTTCTACATACGGAAATGCCTATACCAAGTCAGGAATATGACAGTTGTTTTCCATTCGTTTGATGTGTTTGAGCTTTTGATTTTACCATTTGAAAGGGGACTTTCCGTTTTATAAATTTTCCTTTGAGTTCAGTGACTTCGGTATTTTTGTTATTTTACTTTTGACTGAAGACGGAAATTTATACTGTCACCGTACTTTTTCGTTTATTAGAATTCTTCAGGTATGCAACACACCTGACATAGATCTGCATTTTTCAGTGACAGCAAGTTTTTGAAGATTTAGACCTGATACAAAGTAACCATCTAAATTCCGAAGAAAAGAAAATACAGTAAACTCAAATACAATCATAATTAACAGGTAAAAATAGTGCCAAACCTTACACAAACATGTAACTTTTCTCGACTGGAATTTCCGGTATGAGTAACACATGTAAACAAACCGCAATCATCTCCAAAACTAAAAAAAGTTCTAAGACACCTTCAAAAACGAAAAAAGGTAAAATATTGACAGTTTGTTTGGAGTCAGTACAAAAGGTGAAACGCAAAAACGTAACTGAACATTAGTCCGTAGTTATAAAATGTGTGAAAATACGTCAAACGTTTTTATTTTCAAAGTGAAAGTACACATGAAGAATATTGTTTTTTCTCTGTTGGTCTGGTGGAATATAAGAGTTTGCAAGCTGTACCTTATTAATTTATTTGCGTTGTAATTACATGTTCTGACCATAGACTTGATCTGTTGATAGAGAAGCATACATGTAAACCTCCCGACGGGAGTACAATAATCCTGTTTTCAGGGGTCTCCTCCCGTTGAAGAGAAAAAAATCCAGTGTATGAAATATTTCATGTATGAAAACTTTCAGCCGCCATATCCGGTGTAACTGACATTACCTGAGGTTAAATTTTACCTGTAAATCAAAAAACATGCATAATTATATGGCTTCACTTGCCAGCTTGGGTGTCAAACATACTGGTAATCAGCGATTTTTACCTCAGGCTAACTGCCGTTGTGTAATAAAAACTGTGTATTTAAAAGTATTTGAAATAAATTTTGGGCTACTTCCCTTGTTTTATTCTGTTTAAAGTTATTTTTCTTTAAATAATGTAAATTGTTAAAAGAATATGAATGAAATATAAATTGAACAAAATAATCATAAAAGGATGGTAATAAAATGATTTTAAATGTCTTTGGACAAATAAAAAAATAATAATTTGAAAATTATTTGAGGGTTCTATACTTCTTTTCAAGGCTTAAATTGAAATTTATTTAATAAGTATGACGTTTTACAATAGTTTTTGCCGACCGTATAAGAGCTGGATAGCCAATTGAGGTTGTTAAAATCCTCCATATTCTATACCAGTCACCGGTATAAGCATGTTAAATAGCAAGAAGGAATGTTCCTTCTGCAGTGATTGTTGTATAGAACAAAGACAAAACAAAAGAAAAAAAAATGAAATTAAAGAATGTATGAAAAACAGAATGTTAGATTGAATAAAGTTAAAAAGAAAATTTAATAGTACAAGGGTACTATAAACATATTACCTTTCGGATGGAAAGTTGAAGAATAAAACACTTTAAAAGACAATTTCTACATCACACGGTTACATTTACGACAAAATTTATGTCGACAAAAAACCTCCTGATCTGAGTCCTAATCTCCTGACCAAAATTTCCCAATCTCCTGATTTGAGTTTCACAGTCCATCACATGTATGGAGAAGGTAACATGAGCCAGTGTCTGCCACTCTCCCAACAGGGCTACATTTCCACCTCATTACTTATGATAGAGCAGACTTGGAGTGGTACACTCCTGGTAGACTTAACTGGTACAACTGTTCAGTAATTTATATAATAGGCCACTTTCAAGTTATGTCCTTCACCGAAAAAGTTCGTCAATTATGTGTGCCTTTATTACGTCATTTACGAGATAGAGGGGATCGCCTGTATCCCTGCACTATTAAAGTTCATCAAGCCTCTTCGTGATCATCGTTATGCAGGATAAACTAGAAATAATGTTTGTTCCGTAGGTACTTAATCACAATTCCCTTATGACAGCCGTGCTGTTATAAGAATTTATTGCCAAATAATTCGTGCAATATAGCATCATATTTTTCAACCGCTCGGTCAACATGGGAAGGAAGTGACGATGCCCCTAATTGCACGAATGATGTTCACTAAAACCAAAGTTTTGATGGAAATGCAACGAACTCGAAAGTGGTCTATTAAGTTAACATAACCAAGGATACCTTCTATCTCACTAAATATACACTCATCAAAGACACTAGTAGCTTTTGTTGATTATAAAAAAAAATTATCAAGGAAATTTAGATTTTGAAAACATCAGATTTCAAGAAAATGTCAGTTTTTAGTTTAATCAAATGATTTGTATGAAATTCTGTATTGTCAGACCTGGAAATCTTTTGTTTTTGTTAAAATGTCTTATTAAAGATAAAACATTTTTATATCACTTCATTTGTTTCAAATAATTGAACAATATTATGTTATTAGAGCAATGAATTCACTTTTGATCTCTTGTGAGTAATATGAAGGAAACCTAAACCCTTTTGGGGGATAAGCGGACACATCACAGAAATACCACTAAAAAGTTGTCCAGCGAAAGCTGCCATGTTCTCAAGTACAGCACAATACTGATTCTGTTTTGATATGCATAATATTGTGTATGAATAAATGAAAAATGGACATATTTTTTTATCCCCAAAAAACAGTAAATTAGCGACAGAACACATGCTGAACTAGAGAGACATCATTAAATTTGTTTATATGTTTTTTCTATTACCTTAATTTTACATTTGTTTGAGATTTGAAAATTGATTACTGGTAGATGAAGGTGATTTGGGACTAATATTATTGTTTCTCCCATTCCTTACTCGTTTTCCTAAAATAGCTAGATGTCATATGATTGGTCCATCAAAATAAGTGAACAACTGACATGACTGATTCATACTTTGATTGGCAAATATTATTGAATTAGCTAAGATAGAAAAGGGAATACAGGGTCTTCTAAAAAAAAAAACCATGAATTTCAGTATTGTCAGGGCTGATTGGGATGATGATTAATTGATAAAAAGAGAAATAAGTGAGGCTGATGACCTTTTTTTCTGTGTTTTCAACTTTTATTTATTACTAGCTCTGACATAGGACTAGTACACTGCAGCTTTTATTTGCCCGAGAACGACTTTCACTTGTCCAAGGCAAATGGGAAACCTTTAATATCATAACCTGAATGTTTAAAAATGCAAATTACTATTTTTATGCCCCCGCCGTAGCGGTGGGGGCATTAAGTTTTACCCTTGTCCGTCTGAACGTACCTTACGTACGTACGTACGTCCGTACGTCCGTCCGTACGTCCCAAAATTGGTTTCCGTTCTCTAACTTGAGTTTGCCTCAACCAAATGTTATGAAACTTATACACAATGCTTATTACCATAAAACACAGATCAAGGTTGAATTTTGGTGGCGTCATTTAAACCGTTCTAGAGTTATGCCCCTTTATAAATGGAAAAATTACAAAATTTTTAGTTACCGTTCTGTAACTTAAGTTTGTTTCAACCAAATGTTATGAAACTTATACACAATGCTTATTACCACAAAACACAGATCAAGTTTGAATTTTGGTTGCGTCACTTATACCGTTCTAGAGTTATGCCCCCTTTATAAATGGAAAAATTACAAAATTTTTATTTTCTTCTAAATATCAAGTAATTTTTATTTTGGAGTTATCTTCCTTTGTCCATGATTATAGTTGAATCAACTACAATCAATGCTTTATACAATGCAATGTTTAATTTTGACTTCCACTGATGAAACACAGATCAAGTTGAATTTGGGTAGTGTCACTTTAATCATTATTGAGTTATGCCCCTTTATAAATCGAAAGATTGCAAAATTTTTAGTTTCCATTTTGTAACTTAAGTTTGCCCAAACCAAACATTATGAAACCTATACACAATATTCATTACCACAAAACTAAGATCAAGTACAAATTTTTTGTTTCCGTTTTCCAACTTTAGTTTGACTCAACCAAATGTTATGAAACTTATACACAATGCTTATTACTACATAATACAGATTAAGTACGAAATTTGGTGGCGACACTTTTACCATTCTTGAGTTATGTCCCTTAATAAACATAAAAATTGCTGAATTTTTTAGTTTGTCTCAACCAAATGTTATAAAACTTATACACAACCGTTCTAGAGTTATGCGTGTTTACAAATAGAAAAATTGCTGAATTTTTAGTTTCTGTACTTAAGTTTGCCTCAACCAAATGTTATGAGACTTACACACAATGCTTATTACCACAAAACTCAGATCAAGTTCAAATTTGGGTAGCGTCACTTTTACTGTTCTTCAGTTATGTTCCTTTATAACTATATGATATGCAAGCGGGGGCATCATCTGTGTCCACATGTGGACACTATCCACATTTATTTTCTCTAGAAATGTCCATGTAGGATTTGGAAAATATTAAGATTTAATCAATGAATACGTACAGACTGCGACAATGCATATATATATGAATACAGAAAGTTTGAGCACTATATGCAATGACCATACATGTACATTTGTCTTAAATCAAAATCATATCTCTGTCCATTTTTTTCAATAGACCTTTTAAAGTTTCTTTAGAGTTTTAGATTTTATTAACAGCAATTGATGAAATGAAAGATGCCTTTTGATATTTCTGTATTGTTAGGTTGCTGTCTATTTGGTGTAAAACATTATCTTATTTATTTTTGTCAATTACAGCATACATTTATCTTGCAGATTTAGATATTTAAAACATCAGATTTCAAGAAAAAGATTTGAAAGGCTTCAGGTCACAAGTACATTTTGTACTTAATTATACATTTGTATGTCTGCTTGTAACTTGTTCATACACATTTTCCTAACAAATTATAAATTTCATTAAAGAATCAAAATGATTGAATCTTGAATATCTTAAACTTAAAAGATTAAAAAAGGAAAAGGAAATGCCTAGATTTTAAATGACCCTAAATCATGTAAATAGACCATTTAAATACCATGATTTAATAGGTAAAAGCTTTGACAGTTTCTTTTTTAAATAGGCCAAAAATAGAGAATTTGGTGAAAGTTGTTTAAATCTTCTGAATTTCAACCATATTTAGGCATCTTAGCGTGCAGTGTTTGACATTAACTACATATAAAAGCCAGACAGGTAATTTGTTATAAAAAACAACCCACTTATTTTTTTCTGAGCACCTGCACAATGTTTTTTTTTCAATCCTAAAACCAAGGAAATTGGCATCCTCATCAAACTGTTGAATAGTTGTCTCATTGGCAATCATACAACATCTTCTTATTTTGATACTGTAA